CTGCCACAGATGGATTGTAACTCATGTACGTTTACGCCAGATGGGCATAGAATTATCTGCTAAATGACCCCTCCACCATTCATCTCATGCCATGGCTTTTCTCTCAACAGCTGCTCATTCGGGCATATTAGACCTCACCTTTGAGCCAAAGCTGGGCTTGACATTGATTGTTGCAAAACCATAAATGAATAGGTGGCCAAGTTGCAACTGCCAGGACGATCATCTTCGTAACCAAGTAACAGAATCCATGGAATCCATGGAGGAAACGGCCAGCTCACATTGGTCCAGCCTCCATTTTTCCACTGACCCTCAGTGTTACAAAAAAAAAGAATTATCGAGTCCTTTGAGCAATATCAGGGATAGCGGATAATTAAATTTAAGAAAACTCGTGGCTGCAGTACTTCTTCAAAACAGCACGAATCTCTGAAAAAAAATCAAAGATACTGAAAAGGTGCTGTCTGATCTGAAGATACTGAAAACGCATCCTGCTGAAAAAGGAAAGCTTTGTTCTCTCTAAAGATGAGTGTTTCTCAAAGAGCAGCTATAGCATGAATGGCAGAAAAGAGGAGACAGACCTTGAATCTAAGGACACAGTTTAGGTGACAAATTAAATCTCAATTTTATTCCTGTTGTTTTTTTATACAGCAACGGATTACATATTTCCACTGGTCAATTTGTGCTTGAATAAAATATTGTGATATAAAAACATTAAAACATAGTACGAGTGAATACAAAAACAGACATCAGTCCTTTTTAAGTCATTTTTAAATTGTGTATTATTTATAACACCATCACTTTCCATTTCATTTTTTGATGCGGCTTTCTTGCCTGCAGCAGATCCTGTGAAATGCTTTATTTGAGCCAAACCATGATATTATCAAGCCAAAAACCATAAACCATAAACCATAATACCAAAAACTTAAGCAAGGGTTTTTAAAGCACTAACCCCAAAATAACAGTGAAACTCAATTTATTAAAAAATAGACAAGCAACAAAACCAGGTTGTCATGGTGAGCCCATACTTTGTTGTTCCTGAAAGCTGAAAAAACTTTTGCACATTTGTTTTTCATGTCCATGAACACAAACTGAGAACAAAACAGGCAATATTTTGTGATTATTTTACCAGCTACCTTGAAGCTTTACAGAAATACTCATGTCCCATTCTCTGAGACATGAAAAAGCTCCTCCAGATTTGCTATCTTTCAAACCAAAAGCAAGAGACTAAAATGCTGCAGGGCTGTTGAAACAGTGCTACTAATCCCAATATATTTTCATCTGACAGGAAAATTACACTGGCATATATAGTTGGACTTGCCTCTTGGGAGCTTATGTGAACTTTAACATAACTGACTGCACACATCAACAACAAATTTATTTGAAACTGGTGGGTCAAAGCCTTGTGCAAAAATGGTGAAATATGTGAGAGAGATAATTCATGTAATTCTTTTGGCCTGACTTTAGATAGCCTCTCAAAAGATCAGAAAAACACAAAAAATCAATCATCCAATAGTAAGACATGTCATGTGCTGTTGGTGGTCAAGGACAGATAGCAGATAGACCGCTGAATGGGCTGCATACGTGTGAATAGCATTTTTTAAAATGGTATAAATAAAGAAGCCAGGATTACTTTACATAAAAGCTAAAGTGACAAGATGAAGATAATTTTTTTAAGACTATTTCAAGCAGGTATCCACGGGGGCCAGCAGGGTAAGGGTGTATTTTCTTTTTTAAATGAATCCTCTCAATACAGTTTGCATTCTACAGAAAGGTTGAGCTGAATTATGATGCAATGTTTTGTATCGTATAGTAGACAGCTGGTGCCCATGGCCATAATGAAGGCTGCACACTCTGCAGCTGCACAGGTGAACGTCCCTCTGCTCCTGATTGGGACATTGTGGCAGTGACTTCGGTTGTTATGATTCTGGCTGTGACACCTTGGCTTATAATGGGGGAAACAATGCAGATGTTATGTGTCAAAATTCCTGTTGAGACCCCTGGGGGGGGGGGGGGGGGAGTCTTTAGCGGTGGGCTCGGTTTCATGAATTATGGAGAGAAAGATGCTTCCACACGGAAGACTAATGAAAATATCCTAGAGTACAACAAAAATTATACAGCACCGGTTCTGATCAGCCACTGTCAGGGAAAAAAAAATAGAGAACTGCATCCCACAGGCAGCAGCTTTCTTTCTACACACACAGCACAATCAGCAGCAGAATGTCTGTTAAACACGTCCTTGTGTTTTCTGCCTTTCTTCACATCTTCCCTCTCCAGTCGCCCATAAGGAGAGGAGAAATTACAGAAAATATACACTTGAGTACCTTGTCACAGCCTAAAGAATTGTGAATGGGTAGCAAAAAGAAACAAGGCAGCTCAAGCATTTTTAACAGGCAACCCTATTATCCTCCAAGGTGACATTGCTATAGTAGATGTTCATGTGCTGTTCCAGAGCTCGTTGTGAGTCCGGTGTGTTATATGACTGACAAATTCAAAGCCCTACATTTCAGACGGACCTGCTTAATCTATCAAACTCTATACATTCCAACGGGCATGGTTGTTCATTCATAACTTTCCCTGCAATATCGGTGGTGAGTGCGCGCTGCTGGGGAGTTACAAGCTGTGCGTGAATAACAGCTATTTAGAGCAGATTGCCTGCCATGCCCATCTGCCGAGGAAATGTGTAAATGCGCTGGCTTTGGCACGCAGCCAGGAGTCAATCCTCACCACCTCATGCTGTCCACAGCTGGTGGTAATTTTGATAAAGGCTACGGCAAAGATGCACATAATGGAATAATAGTTGAACAATATAAACCTAAACCGCCACAGACGTGACTCAGATGTCAAGCGGTTGGGATTGAAAACTGGATGGCATAAGACTAAATTTTTAACTAACTGATTTTGAGGCCATGGGTGTCTCTGCGGTAATCAGAGAGCTGCTGTTCTGGGGCTGGGATGTTCTCAGGGAAGGACAATGCTGCCCTCTACCGTTCCCAAGCAAATACAAACAACAGAGGGGGGGGCAAGTCAAAGCTGGTGGTACTGAGAATTTTTAATCTTTTGCTTTGATGTTTGTTCGACTCTTTGACAGGCTGAGTCAACCATCTGTTTATCTGTTAATTTAGTCGTGGTATGACTGAAATTGGCAGCTTGTGATGAGCAGGTGCAGCTCAAGCAGGGTGAGACTGTTAGTGGATGAAATGACTAAACTCCTGTATAACTCACTTAACTCACACACAATAAATCCTGACTGTCAGAAACAAAAACAACCTTGCTTTTGTCTGTTATTTGAGGCGAAAAAACAACTTTGAAATGCACTTTGAATCTGTTTATGGTCTGTTAATTGTGATGTAAATGTGTGCTTGCTGATATATCATCACTTTATACTCCATGAAACAAGTTCGGCCTAGTGTGTTTGCAAAGGTTTTAAATTGCAACTTTAACAAAATGCACAGATCTTACCACTCATATCAAGGGATTTTACAGGAATTTGTTTATTACCAATGGAAAACGAGTTATCCATATATCTATTTGAATCTATGGTCCTTTGTCAAATTCAAGTTCACTGGGGTGGAAGCCTGTCCTTGCACACACTGACACTTTGTGTGGTATATCCGTGATGGGCTACCAGTCTGTTGCATCTGTTTGTTAGATGTTCCATGTGTTAACACCTCTTGTGTGAAGTCCTCATTCATGTAGCAATATTGTATGAATGTTACCCAAGTATGTTTTCTCTACTTCTGAGCAGTCTTATTTATCTTTCCAATCACTGAAAACACTTGGCACCTCAGCCCTTTTGAGCCATATGGTCATATTTGTCAGAGACCATTAATTGGTTGATTTCTAAAATCAGTTAATAAGTCGAGGATTTCAAGTGTAAGCATGTATATGTCTATCACCACCATCTGTTTATTTTATTTTGTACAGACATTCAAGCAAGAACAATCACTGGCTCCACTCCTGGCAAACTGTAGAGTACATTCACAGACTGTCTGGAGAAAGTCTGTTTATTTCCTTGCTGATTCCAGCAAATGGGTGCCATTTCCGTTCCCAGGAAATTATTTTATATAATTTGAGTGCACATGACAGTTAACCATAAAATGTTTGTTTTTTTATCAAGCAAGGTGTTCTGTACACTGGTGTAATAACAAATTTGTAACACCTATTAAATTACACTTTACCACGAATATAACGAAAACATTTATGAACTTTTGGGGATTTTCGGTAACAAAACTGAAAAGAAGTAAACAAACCTTGGCTTAAAAACCTTTTAATAAAGTCATTTTAGAGTGCCCATGTATATTTTAAATAGTTATAGGCCTATATGTGTTACAAAATACAGCGTTGAAATGTGTATTTGAAATTAATTCAATTTTGGAGATATACAACATGCAAATGTCACCCACTCGGTGGAATGATCCATAAGTCTTGCACAGTAAAGCAGGTCAGCAACTATCACATATTATTTAACTTTTTACTTCTGCTGCAGTTACGTCTGAGAGGGCTATTTTTGCATCACACGATGCACAGAATTTCATAAAAACTTAGGCTTTGAATCTCTGTGTTGCGTAAGCTCTACCTGACAGTTCAAGCCGAGGGACAAGCAAACCAAAATATAACCCAATCAGAGACGGTTACGAACTCCCAGTACATTGCTAAATTTTCAGCCAATCGGAATCTATCTTGAATACGCCGATAACCAATAATATCAAAGAATGTTCAACCTTTCTCACAGGAAGTCGATGATGTGTATATTTTGTGTACAGCGGTGCCGACACGGACAAAATTGTTTGTCGGCTATTAAAGTCTCATGTAGAAGCTGTTTGAGAGCTTCAGCTGATATTCTCAGCAGACCCGCGGGAGGCTAACTTTCAGAGCTAGCTAACGCGCGAGCTGTGCGTGTCGGAGATAACTGAGCCGATCTCCACAGTGTTTTTACCGGGCTCCACGTCGTCATGTCAGCAACCATTCGGCTCTCCAAGCAAGGATGGGAATAGAAGGGGTCTGCGTAGTTAAATGATGGAGGATTTAACCCGAGATGATCATGTCTTCTGTGACGTTGTGGCGGTTCACCAGCGGCCGCCGTGTCCTGGGAGGATGGGGCCCGCTGCTGTGCCTGGTTCTCGGCTCCGTGGTGGCGCTCCTGATGCCGCTTCTCGTGGTGAAGAACCAATGCTGCGGCTCCCTGAAAGGCATCTCCCAGCTCCGCTGCCAGCTGCTGGGGAGTTCCCAGCCGTCCCCAGCTGTGCAGTCCACCAGCCTCACCGTCCCGTTCACCGCCCTGGATCTGCTGCCCCACAGGTCCAAGCCGAGCAAAGGTACCGAGGACGAGCTGTTCCCAGCCCGCTTCTCAGCTACCGGTCCCGTGTGGAACAGGGTCAAGGCTCCACTTTGACTGTCTGTGCTTAGACATCATCATTTATCATAAAAAAAAACCTCACGAATGCCCCCAATTTAACAGAAGCAAGGTGCTTGGCTTTGGCAGAGACTCCTTTTATCTGTGGCCCAGTTGGTTCACATTAGTTCTATGTTTGGTGACCTGACACAGACATTAAGCCATTTCCAACCGTAGAGTTTGGATCCATGTCTGTCGCTTTACTTGGGTCACTGTAAAGATAACGCCTGTTTTCTGGTAGTCATGTTGGTAAAATGCCAGTCTATTGTACACCACACACTTATGTTTCAGTCCCAAAGTTAACCATAGATGATCAGATTCTGTCAACACCGCTGCATTGGTTTTCTGATGCCTGCGGTATTATATCTTCTGTATTATATCTTATTGGCACTGTTTCTGGAATGACCTGCCGTGGCTCTTACCTTCTCTAAGTGTTGTTGGTGCTGTGTGTTGTGTTCTGGTTGCAGAGATGGAGCTGGAGGCCAAGGCGGCGCTGCAGCTGGCTTTGGAAATGAGGAAACTTGGAAAGCGGGAGAAGGCGCACAAGTTGCTGGTGCACGCGCTTAGTATGAACCCCGACTTTGTGGACGCTCTGACGGAGCTGGGGACCATTCTGGAGGAGGAGAAGGATGTTGTTCAGGCGGACCACCTCTACTCGAAGGCCTTGGCTCTGTCGCCGTGCGACGAGAGAGCCCTGGTCAGCAGAGACCGGACGCTGCCCCTGGTGGAGGAGATCGACCAGCGCTACTTCAGCATCATTGACAGTAAGGTGCGCAGGCTCATGTCCATTCCAAAAGGGAACTCCGCGCTCCGGCGGGTAATGGAGGAAACCTACTACCACCACATCTACCACACGGTGGCCATTGAAGGCAGCACGCTGACCCTGTCTGAGATCCGCCACATCATTGAGACGCGCTACGCCGTGGCGGGGAAGAGCCTGCAGGAGCAGAACGAGGCCATCGGCGTGGACGCCGCCATGAAGTACATCAACACCACGCTGCTGTCCCGGTCGGGGGCCATCTCCGTCGGCGACATCCTGGAGATCCACCGGCGGGTGCTGGGCTACGTGGACCCCGTGGAGGGCGGGAGGCTGCGCACCGGCCAGGTGTTCGTGGGCCACCACATCCCGCCGCACCCCCAGGACCTGCAGCGCCACATGCAGGAGCTGGTGCAGTGGCTCAACTCCGACGAGGCCCTGCAGCTGCACCCCGTGGAGTACGCCGCCCTGGCCCACTACAAGCTGGTGTACGTGCACCCGTTCGTGGACGGCAACGGGCGCACGTCCCGGCTGCTCATGAACCTGGTGCTCATGCAGGCCCGATACCCGCCCATCACCATCCGCAAAGAGCAGCGGGCCGAGTACTACGCCGCCCTGGACACGGCCAACGAGGGCGACGTCCGACCCTTCATCCGCTTCATAGCCAAATGCACGGAGATCACGTTGGACACGCTGTTGATTTCCACAACCGAGCACGCCGTGGGCCTGCCGGGGGCCGGAGAGGAGCAGGCCTGCCCCAACTGTAAGCAGACCATCCCCGTGCACAACTGAGCCAGACCTGCTTATCTCACAGCTAATGGACATCAACCCCTTCATAGGAAAAAAAAAAAGAGGCACAGAGTCACCTGCTATGGCCATGACGTTACCATGTGTGAGTTTTTATTCATCTGCTGATTCATTTTAAACCACTGGAGGCTGCGGAGCTGAAACCAGTTTTTCTTTTTGTGTTCGTTTTCTCTCTTAAAAATAATTTTCCTCCACTGTGAGAAAGCTTATTTTCTTTTCTTCGCCTCCTAGTTGTAGTCTGCATTTTTTTCTTTTTTCAGGGAACGACACGTTTTTCTTTCCATCAGAGAACAATCTGAACTTTGACTGCTGCTGACAAGAAGAACCAGCTCTTTTTGTTGTCTGAATGATAAAGACGGAGTGACGCTGCGTGGACTCATCTTTGATATGAAGACGCCAGCTAACACTGTAAAGCACTTTCATGTACTTTATTTATTTTTTCAAATAAAGTTCTATTGACCCGATTTTAAAACGACGCGTTAAACAATGAAGCCGAGCACCGAGCTGGGATCAAGTGACACAGGCCTTTATTGAATCAGGCCCGTTTCTCTTGTTTTTTTTACAGAACTCAAAGTGACAAAGGTATAAATAGAGCATTTGGACAAAAGGGAAATTAAAAATCATTGTTATAGTAATATATAGCATTTTGTGTACCATATTCCAGATCTGAAAAACTGATATATATAAATATGTGATGTAACCTTTTAATACTTGACAGAAAACAATTGACTTGTACAGACTCGCATACTTAAATGTATTCTTTTTTTTTTTTTCTTGGATTAGGGCACTGTGGTGAGAGTAGTACGTACTATCTTAAATGAAAATCTGAATTAGTTTATCACAAACTATGGTGACCTTTTTTTAAATCTACTGAACAACACACAGAATCCATCAGAACAATCTGACGTGGAAAAACTGCATAGGTTATTTTCTTATTTTTTTAATCAAAGGAGCTGCTGAGCTAAAAGTGTGTAGATGATATCTGTAACCTTTCCTTAATACAAAAACAGCTCCACTGACACACGTTGGACCCGGTCCTGTTCACGCGAGGCCACCTCTGATCAACCGGTCCAACCACCTCAAATCACACACATATAGATTGGTTTCAAAGCACTTTATGTATTTTTCCCATTTTTTCCCCCTAAACCACTTAAGGGCTCCATGAAGCACATGTTTTCTACCATCACCTTCTCTAAAAATGACTGTCCTAATAAATTCTTCAGGCTACAAGATAAAATGTGAAAAACATTCTATTCACAGACATCCAAAATAGAATATACTTTTTTTTTAAACTCATAATGGAAATTCACAGACTGTAGGGACTGAGTCAGGTTACTATCAAACCGACTTAAAAAAAAAAGACATCAGAACACTTTAAAAAAAAAAAATTAAACACCAACACATGGGTCAAATGTATCCACTACCAAAAGATCTGAAGTCCACAGGATCACTGACCAGATAAAGGAATGTGGCCCGATTGAGCTTAAGTCTCTTCTGGGCCACAGCTGACAAATAAAGCTGGGACTTAAAACCTGGTTTAAATAATTCAGGATTTTCTGCCCGGCTGGAACACACGCGGTAAATGTTAAAATGATTAAAGAGGATAGGTAAATAGCTAGCAGTTCCAGAAATAATATAAACTCAACTAGCAGCAGGGGGACACAACAGGGCAGCTCTCACCCTGTAATGGACCCCAAAGCAGAGACCAAACCACTTAAACAGTTAGACGGAACCACAGAGCTTACCTCAGAGCGCCATAATACCGATGATCAGCAGCAGTAGCTCAGAGATGCTGCTACGCTAAACCGAACCCCAAAAAAAAGGAAACCTTTGTTCAAACGTAATGACAGCTGGTCTTGATAGTTTAGTCCTCAGGTTTCTAAATAAGTCAAAACAAAAGCCAGAGGTCCCTTTAAAAGTCTGGAGAAAGTCGTTTTGTTTTTTTGAATCACCGAAGCACATCCACTTTATGTACACACACAAACTATATTACACCATATCTCAACTTTTGCATATACCTTTTCTTCTTAAAAACAACATTCATAAGTTTGGAACATTAAAAAAAAAAAAAAAAACAAAGATCCTTCGTATCTCTTAGCAGTACACCACAACTTAAGTCTAACTACTGTAGATACAGCGTATGTACACACAACTATGTTACACTTTTAGAAAACAGCCTGACATCCAGCTTCAAACACAGTGAACAAAGACGCTCAGTCCCACGGGGTGGGGGGGGGTCTTGCTTTGTGATGGAGGGCAGCTTAAGGCAATCTCGCAGAACGGACGATGAGCGTGGGACTGAGGTTAAAGGGGCCGCCGGGTCACCGATTACAGAAAAAGACCACCGACACCGAATCCTAAGGACACAAGATGGCTTTGGGTGCGAGGGCTGCGGGCGTCCTCCTCGCCTCCTCTCACTTGTTGAGAAGCATCCTGGCAAAGTCTGAATTGGACAGCGGCCTGGACTCGGCGCTGGCGGCCGTGCCGGCCGGCGTCCCGTTCTCCACCTTGCCGGCAGGCGGCGTTTGACGGTGCAGGGAGCGAGGGAGTAGGGAGAGCTGGGTGCGCCCCCTGCCCCTCCTGGAGACAGACAAAAATAAAGAGAAAATCTTGGTTTTCACTTAGATTCAGTGAGGTGCGGGAGGCAGAGTGCAGAGGGAAAGTGGGCGGACTTACGACCCGTAGGCGTGACGGGGCATCAGGTCCGCCGCGGCCCGGCTGGAACCGGCTTTGTCCATTCGGCGGGGAGGGTTGCTTATGGCGACAGAAATTTTGTTGCCTTCCACCTCCATGCCGTCCATTTTCAGGACCGCCTGAGAAGCCTGGTTTTCATCGGAAAACTCCACATACGCCAGGCCCTGCAGGAGCACACAGAGCAGAGGGGTTACGCGTGCTGTGGCGGGGCCTCGCCTCTCAGGATCCAGTCCAACATCTGGACGCGTTACCTTGGGTTTCCCTGAGCGGTACGTGACCAGGCGCACTTCTCTGATGGTGCCGTGGCCTTTGCAGAGCTCCTCCAGCTGTTCTTTGGTGCACGAGAACGGCAGGCCGGACAGGAAGATTTTGTGTTTCTCCATCGCAGTGTTGTACTTAAACACCTGAAAGGACGTTGATGGGAAAGGGTCAGCTGTCCATGTTGTCCACTTTCTTCACAGAGCACACCGGGAGAATATTAGAGATTAGTTTGACGGTCGTGCCATTACAATCAAATGAAAAGTGAGGAGGGACTCTCAAGCCGAATGGAGCGAAATACATCTGCATACAGACTAAACAGAAACACACGCTGTTAATGTGACCAAAAAACTTTTCTACAGACCTTGAAGTCGGGATTCTTGTTTTTGTCCACACACGGCGACACAAACATGGGCCTGCCCTCCACCTCCCGTCTGTCCAGCTTCAGGGCCTCGGGGACGGACAGGGGGGCCTCAAACTGGACGTAGCCGTAGCCTTTGAAGCCTCCCTTGGTGCCGAACACGGGCCGGATCTGCTTGATGGGCCCGCAGGTCTCGAACAGGGTCCTGAGCTTGGCCTCGGGCTCCTCCAGCGTGTAGGCCAGGTTGCTGATGAACACGCTGGTGTTGTCGTCTCGGAGCTCCGGCTTGTCGTCGTTGTTCGCCGGGGCAGGCGCCGCTGCTCTTTTGGTGGCCTTATATCCAGGGGGGGCCGTCCTGCCTATGAGCCCCGTCTCCGTCTCCATGTAGTCGTCCGCAGCACTGTCCCCGTTTCCTCTGTGCCTCTTAGAAGCTTGTTCTGTCACAGGAAAAAGAAGGAGGGTTACAAAAAGGGGAATTTTCCCCAACCACAAATAAAACAAAATTCCAGCCTCTGTAACTGCATTTCACCAGAATCCTCGTTCCATTCGTCCCGGTAATCGTCCTGCTCCGCTTTCCTCTTCTCCCCAGGCCGACCTCCTTTCTGGACCTTCTTATGCGCTTTCTTGTCTGCTTTGCCCCTCCGCCGCTGCTCTACTCTGTCCTCCTCTTGGCGGGCCTGGTTGGCCTCCTTCTCAGCCGCCTGGAGGGCGAGCAGAGGAGGGTGCCGTTAGCCAAACGCAGCCAGGGGCCACGCCTGCCCGGCACCGCGCTGGGGGGGGCGCCTTACCTTTGCTCTTTGATCGTTGACTCTGTTGAGCCGCGTCTCCGTCTTCTGCACCGCCACGTCCCAGTCCTCTAAGGAGCCTGCGGAGGGCAGCGGAGTCAGGGATCAGCGGGGAAACCGCTCCCAACTCAGACCAATCCTCGCTACACGGTGGAAAACCGGATTCCAATGGGCAGCATATAGCAGCAAATGTAAGTGTTTTGAAGTGACCCCCTCCCCATGTGGAAAATCATCCCCTGGAATTCAGTTTCTCTAATGATTAAACAACTTTAAACTTTCAGATCGGACAAAGTAAAACACAGATGGGGTAGGTTAGCGTGGGGTTTACCTTCCACCCTCTCGAAGGTGAGCAGCACTTCGCACACATGCTCTGGGTAGTCTGACGTGCACTGCACCGCTCTGTGGAGGGCCTTCCGGCAGTGCACGGAGTCCCCGTGAGACCTGAAGAACATCAATCTTTGAGTTTTCCCCCCCCCAGAGGCACTGAAACTTGAACTCAATTAAAATATTCTGACACAAACCGACCTTTCAAGGTTGTAGTACTCAAGCCACATGTTGGCATATTTGGCGTTGCCTTTGGTCATGATGTTGTCCCACAGCTCTCTGGCTTTTTGCATGTTTTTGCAGTGGGAAGCCTGAAAGGACAAACAACATCAGAAATAGCTAAACCTATCTTTGTTATGGATAGCAATAACTGGTGCTTGACACCAGATTTCACTGGATTCCTCTGTAGCAACTAAGACTTTTCAGGTCCGCTAAATGCTTTCATTCTTCACCATAAAGACAACTCTGCTGTTCGACAACATAATCTCTGTGGCGCTGCCTACCTCTATCTTTGCCCAAATCTGCATGATGGCACAAGATGGATCTCCACTCTCACCGAACCCTGCAGTTACACAACACAGTGAGTAATTTCCAAAGCGAGCCCGGAGGCCCACGCAAAGAGAAAAATCCACCTACGTTCTTCAACATCTTGTTTAATGTAGTCTAGAGAGCGAGAAAAGGCCCCTCGCAGCTCCTCCAGCTCTTTACTTGATTCTGTAAAAAAACAGAAAATAAATACATAAAGTGAAAAGAAATTCAAACAATTCAGTTGTTTGCTTCAAGAAAGATTGCCGGTCTTGCTTTTAACATGCAGGTCTTCTCACCTTTGCTGAAGTCCACACGTCGTCTCAGGTAGTCCAGGTATGCCTGCCATATTTCCACGTAATCTGTGGCTTGAATGAAGCCAGCAGTCAGGGCCTTCTCGAACACATCTGTGTGGAGGAGCAGAATGATGCAGCAGCCCTCTACGTGGTGCCCTCCGCAGCACCTGGCAGCCCGCCACACGGCGCCCGTACCTGACACGGTGGGGTGCTCGGCGCCGTGCCTCTCCAGGGCCAGCAGGTAGCTCTTCCACAGCCCCATGGTCCAGGGGCAGTTCCTGACGGCGCGCTCGTGCGTGGACAGCACCAAGTCTTTGATCTTCAACTGACGGTCCTGCGGGATGGGCGCACAGACGTTAGTAAAAGGCTGAAAACCATTCCACGCTAGCTGAGATTTGTTGAGTGAAAAACACTGCAGTGGCCTTTAAAAGCCAAACTTCAATTCTGACGGAGAAGACGGCACCGTGACAAACAATGTTACCCACCAGGTAGGTGGTGTATTTGGCCCACATGTCTGGTACCAGGCAGTTCTCTGCCATAGTCCGCTCAAAGGTTATCTGGATGCGTGCCGGGTCGCCCTCCTTTAGTTCAAAGTCGATGTAGGTCTGATATTCTGCCAGCCTGGGGGAATCCGCTACCAGCTGTGACGAGACAGGAGAAAACAGATGTGAGGGGCTGCAAGCTGCACGCGGATTGAGGAGAGAGGGATCAAATAAAACAGGTTTCCATTCTTCAGCTCAGTTACCAGTGCCTCCTCAAAAGGTTTGCGCTTCTCCATCTGCTGCAGAGCTTTTTTGTACTGGTGCACGGCGGTCTCTGGCACGCCGTGCTCTGCCCACTCCTCGTACTCTGCATAGGTGGCTCCCATGTCTGCAAAGCAGCAGACAAATATAGGAGGATTTGAATAAATCAAGTAAAGACTTCATTTTTGCATCATTCTGTCAGACTACCAGAAAACATCGAAAGGCATTAATTTGCAGGAAAACAACAATGTTTTCTATTTAATCACTGCCCCATATTTTGTGCCCTCTAACCAGCAGAGTTAAAAAATAACACTTTTATAACAACTGGTTATATAATGCAAAAAAAACAAAACAAGAATGCTGCAGAGGACCAGTTTTCAAGTGATCAGTTATACACAGCTCCACCAAAGGAATACGGCCCATTTTCACAGCAATCCATCTGGACAGAAGAGTCGCCCTGCTTACCCATTAAGGGAACGGCCAGCTGGCGGCGAAACAGTGTGTGGATGCGCTCTAGCTGAGTGTTTAGCAGCTCCTGCTCCTCACGACTGGGAATCCTCCCAGGGGGAGGCTGAGAGCAAAGGCAGCAGAGAGGACGGAGCTGAAAACTGGTCCGTTTCACCAAAAATCCCATCAACTCATCTCGGCTTATACAGGATTTGGATTTATTTTCAGTCAAGCAAGAATAGTGACAAAGAGTCATGTGACACGGTATTGGAACTGGAACTGCATCTGGATCGTTTTCATCCAACATGATTATTTGATCTAAAATTATCAATTCTGTAGAGTTGGCCTCCCTTCTATGGCACATTTGCATCAAAGGATTTAAAAGGGGTGAGAGGATGGCAACTGACAACATCCCAACAACCGATGGAGACACTGACCTGCACTGTGGACAGGATGGCGTTCTCAAACTCTCTGTAAGCCTCCCACACCGTCTGCCCCTTGGTCACATGAAGCCCCACAGCTGTGACGGCTCTCTCAAAGATAGCTCTCACCTTATCTATCCCACCTGGCAGGCCCATGCCACCAATTGAGTACTGGGCATATTCAAGCCAGATCTCAGGACCTGCAAAAGACAAAAGGGCCACAGAGTTAAAGGTTGACAGGCTGGGATAGCCGAGGATCTCAGGAAGGGGCAAAGGGAGGGTAAACTTACAGATGTAGTCTTTAACAGCTCTTTCAAAGAGGTCATACACTTTCTCTCTGTTGGACTCTTCCTCAGTCAGGCGGATTTCATCCTTGAGCCAGTCCAACCAGATCTCTACAGATTTTTTTGGTGGAAAAAAAAGCATATTTTATGTCGAATGTCGTAGAGAGGCTGATTGTTCTACCTTATCAAATGTATGAGACATGCACCAACCTTCAGTAAGAGGGAAAAGCTCGCTCATCTTCTGCCTGGCCTTTCTCAGACGGATAAGTTCTCCCTCCTGTTTAAGAAGCTTGATAAGATCCACGTGGCAGTTGTAGTCAAAGGCATTGATGGACAGCTAAAAAAGAAAAAGAGAGAAATTGGAATGAGATTAACCACATCATACATGTAAAGAAACTACCCGTTTATCTTTGAAAAGTAACCCTTCAGGGCATCATCATGCAATCCGCTTCATTCATAAATTGAAATGAGCACCATCCCAGTAAATATTAAAACTTTGCATCCAATCTTTGTTATTTTTCAGGCTGACTATTTAAAATCCCAGACGCCAGTAATTGTACGTGTTCATAGTGATAATAAAAACCTTGCCATTGTTGTTGTTCCTGCTTGTAGAAAGGAGCTTATTGGCCTGCAGCAGTTTCTCATTTCTCAGAGTGCACATCATTCCTTACCCCACATTTAAAATGATTTCTTTATGACTTGAAAGCGGAGTCCTTTTCAGAAGGAGAAAAAGTGTCAGAGGAACAAACGTTTAACAAATTGAGTCAAGTCAAGTCAGAGTGCCTCTGCCAAAATGACAGATGGGAGACGTATAAAGAAGTTTTAGTAAAGCTCACCTCTATTATATGAGCTGTCAGGTTATCAGTAATAAAGTAGGACTATTTGTCAAGCCGTCTTTACTTTATCTTTCAAAATCATTGCTGCTGAGGATACAGCTACCAGTCGTTGCTTTATGCCCTGCTATCCTACAGGTGCATTTGGGAACAGAGACATCAGCCAGGGCGTTTTGCAAGATCTATTTTAAATTTTAGGTCACAGGCATGAGCAGAGCCTGATCACAAATAAGGAGAACAGATACTCTCATCCTGAGTCCAAAAACTCCTCAAAAAGCTCTCTTCTAACTGCTTAGCACCAGCCATCAGAGCAGCTCCCTGGAAAATTGTTGCTTTAGATTTATCTGAGGGGTTGAAGCCTCAGGGAGTTACACCTGACCATGTCAAGCTATAGAGAAGTAAACACACTTGAATGCCAACACAATAATGAAACCTGCCAATCCGCATAATAACACTCCTGTGTAAGCATGTCCAAAAGTTAACTTGTAACTTTGTCTAGCTGTTAACTGAGCAGCTTAAGTGTGTTATATGTGACACCACAGAAATGACCTGGATTCGTGCAGATTATTTTTGTATCACTGGTAAATATTAATAGACGCTGGTACAAATCGTGATGAAACAAATTAGACACGAGAGCCAATCAAGACAACATCAACTTTTTACTGTCACGTGGAGTCTTTAATTTTACTTTGATGAGATCATTATCGAAGATGCTAAATGGAAAAAAGGCGCGTGACGTGAGGCAAGCAGTTAGCATAACAAATTAGCAGCAGCTAATCACGACTGCTAATTCGTTGCAATTCAATGCGCCCTTTTTTAACCGTTTTGGGTGACAGCAACTAACACAACCTAAAAATAAAGTGTCTATGACTCCGACACACCTGAGAAGTTCGCTCTTTTAAAGCAGCCGTCTCCTTGTAGCCCTCACGAGGTTTCACCACCCCATTCATTCTCAATAGCTCCTGCGCTCTGCTAACGTTGGTTAACCGATTGTTGGCTAATTACCTGCTCCTCCAACCGTTGGATCTCGGCTTCATTTTCTTTCTCATCCTCTGACGAATCGTCATCTTCGTCGTCTGAATTTTCAACACCCATGCCTTCCTCCTCGTCTTCGTCCGATTCCATCTCTCTCTCCTCCATCCCTGCTTCTTCCTCCTCCATGTCTTGCAACTGCGTTTGCTCTGCGTTGCTTGGCGCTGCCATGTTGGAAAGCCCGTCTGCCTAGAAACAACCTAACAAGACAGCCCTGTGACGAGAGGCGGGGTCTTTCGCGTGGGTCGTCCTCCACTCTGACGCCGTGAGTGCGCATATCAGCCGCTAGTGGGGGCTGGCGGCTAACGTTTCCTTACGGGAACTGCGTTTCGACTGTTTGTCAACAAAAAGCGGCCGTCCTCGGTCGCCCTTACTCACTCGTTGACTTCCGGTGGCAGTCGGAGTGGAAACATGGCGACGTTCTCCTTACGAAAGTCGGCGTCCTTGCTATTATTTAGCAGGAGGCTGTTGAGGCCGGAGCTGAATAGAATTTGCTGTTATCACGACAAGGTACGAAAAATGTTCCCTAACAGCTGTTTTATCTACGAGTTAGCTCTGAAGTAGGTGTGGCTTTTCCAATAGCCCCTCTCATCTCCGTCGTAGCCCTAAAAACAACAGTAAATGTCAGCGACATTTGTTTTTCTGATGTCATAAAAGGTGGTGGACCATTATGAAAACCCGAGAAACGTGGGCTCTTTGGACAAGAACTCCAAAAATGTGGGGACAGGACTTGTAGGGGCCCCAGCCTGTGGGGATGTTATGAAACTACAGGTAAGCTGGGGGTCACGAGTTGTAACCTCGTCAAAGCTTTGCAAGTTAAAAAGTGTTGGGTTGTGTGTTGTTTCCAGATCGAAGTAGATGAAAATGGAAAGATAGTGGATGCAAAATTCAAAACCTTCGGCTGCGGATCAGCTATAGCCTCCAGTTCTCTGGCCACAGAGTGGGTGAAAGGGAAGTCGGTGAGTCTGGACCTCACCGGAGCCAAGATTGACCCCAAGACAGATTCTGAGAATAGTTTGTTTGTGGAGGATTGCATTAATCTGTTTTTATCCTTCAGGTCGACGAAGCTCTGAAGATTAAAAACACAGACATTGCTAAAGAACTCTGCCTTCCTCCAGTTAAGCTTCACTGTTCTAGTAAGTTCGGGGAATTGTTGTTGTCTAAAATAGACGTTTGGCCTGAATTGTCAGCTTGATGGGGTTTTTTTTATTATGAAGCCTTAACATAAATCCTTGTGTCTGCAGTGTTTGACCTACAAGTGAAACTTGACTCCAATGTTGTTTGTGCTAGATAAAAACACCAGAGAGTCTTTAAACCAGCTAACGCTTTAATGCTCCTCATTAATGGTTGTACTGTGGATTTTTGGATCAGATTGTTGAAATTAAAGTTGTTTTTATCCCCTGCCCATTATCTCCCTGACAAATCTGTCCTGTGTGTTTCCTCTCAGTGCTCGCGGAAGATGCCATAAAAGCAGCGCTTTCAGACTACCGACTGAAACAAGACAAGAACGAGGAACGTGCCAAAGCCAGCAACTGAGACGCTGTCGTTCGCTCTCCATTCAGGGATGTTTCACAGATATCTTTATGCCTCTCTCATCTGTGCAGCAAAGAGTGATCAGTGAACTTCTTCAGCTTCTGAACTGTCACCTGATTATGCTTTTTTCTGGATTTTTTTCTTTTCTCAGCTAGGTTGTTGGTTTTTGAGGTTGGGAGTGCAGGTTGAACACAGATAAGTGTACTTTTATTTTTAATAAGGGAGCCAGACCTTCTCCACTTTGCCTCTATTGCTCATACTTAAAAAGAAAGATCTTGAATAAAGCATTGATACATTTAAATTAGATGTTTTTGTGTTTTGAAAAAAAATCTATATGTATACACTTTTTGGCTTGATTTGGGTTCATCAATTGTGTAAAAACTAACCGGAAAACCATGTAAAGACAAATGGTGGGTAAAACCGTCTCGGTGTGTGTGCTGACGTCATCCTCCGGATCCGACCAGAGCCGGGGCCACCCTCTGCTGGTGCCCCAGCAGCAGTTTCAGCACCAGCAGCACTGCCAGCATGAGCAGGGCTATAAGCACGCACAGCACGGCCAGCAGGGACACGATGGCTGCAGAGTGCTGCTGCCTGAGGGCCGGTGAAGGTTCATCTCTGTCTGTGGACAGCCACGGCCGCGTCCCCGCAGGGCCGGTGGTGTTACCCAGCAGTGTTGGAGCTGTCGCGTTTTCTCTGCACCTCTGGGCCTCCTCAGGGAGAGGAGTGGTAGTTCTAGAATGGGATTGGCTTACAGATTGAGTTTTATTCAGGGTCAAACACTCCTCATAGGTGAGCGTCTCCAAAGAGTAGTGCAAGACGCGGCTTTTCGAAAGGTCTTTAACATTACGAGCTGTAGAAAAAGTGGTTTCCTCTGATATTTCCAGCTGCCAGTCTCCAGAATCGACATCGTTCTCGTATGAGATTTGGTCTGTTGGCATCATTGTGACCAGAGAGTTAGGATGGAGGCGTTTCCTCTCATTTGGCTTCAGGAGGCGAGGGCAGATGGACATGACGGAGAGGTTCAGAAGCAGGCGCTGAGCAAGATGGACGGGCTCTTTGCACACCAGAGCCCAGGACGCCGTCTTGAGCCCGTCCCTCAGCAGCCAGCGGTAGAGATACAAGATGTCGCACTCGCACACCCACAGGTTGTTGGCGAGGTCCACAGAGCGGAGGCGGGGCAGGCTGTCGAAGGCCTTCTCCGGCACGGAGCGCAGGCAGTTGCTGTTGATCTTCAGGACCTGCAGGTTGACCATGCCGGACAGGGAGGGCAGGTCCAGGGAGGAGATGCAGTTCTCCGAGAGGTCTAAGTGGGTCAGCGATGGAGGGAGGTTGGGGGGCAGGCTGGTCAGCTTGTTGCCCTTTAGCGTGAGGACCCGCAGCCCGGTCAGGGCCAGCAGGGCCCCCGGCTGGATGGCCCGGAGGCGGTTGTCCTCCAGGTCCAGACGCGTCAGGTTCCCCAGCTGCCTCAGGCCGCCGGCGGTGAGGTAGGTGATGCGGTTCTCCCGCAGCGCGAGGGACTCCAGGCTGGGGGGCAGGCCCCGGGGGAAGCGCTCCAGCAGGTTGTGGCTGAGGCTCAGCTCCGTCAGGCCGGAGAAGCGCCGCAGCAGGTGGTCCACGTTACACAGCTGGTTCCTGGCCACCGAGAGAGCGGACGTGTCCAGAGGGACGGAGCGAGGGAGCGACCTCAGGCCCAGAGACTCGCACAGAACCAAAAATCCCGGACGGGGACAGCAGCAGCCCGGGGGACAGGGGGTCAGCGCAAGGCAGGCCAGGGGACACATGCACAGAGCAAGGAGGACATCACATCTGCACCGAAGCATGACTCACTGTGAAGAATACAGGGGGGGGGGACAAATCATTACACACAGAGAGAGCCACTCTATGCTCAAAAACAAGTTCAAATGAATGACTTTTTTATGTATTTTTGTGGTTAAACGTTGTTTATTTTGTCATAGTTTTACTTTGCTTTACTCATTTAGTCTTAAACACATCCCCAAAGACCATACACGGTAATCGGATGAGGGAATATTGGGGGATGATCCAGTTGGCAGGGCTTTGCCCTCCGTTAGGTATAAAAACAATCAGCGGATCGGCTTCTCGTGGCTTAAAAGGACAGCAGAGGGGAGAAGCTGGAAATGTATAATGAGGGTGCTAATGTAATTTACACGCTCATTATACATGGGCTGCTACAGGATAAGGTTCTGAGACTACTAAACAGGTATTATCCTCCCATCCAAAAAGGGACAATATACTTTGTCAATGCAAACGGAAGGGATTCACCATGAATACGCTTTTTAAAATGTGGATTTTAATCACAAACATATTCTTGATTTGATACTTTCTTTAAATTTACAAAGCACTGAAGTCTGTATTCAGACATGGCATGATTACCACCAATGTAGAAGAATAAACTTCTAACTTATTCCCATGGAAGAAAATGGGACCTTCTGTCCTTTTTTATTCTTTACACTTTGTAGCAATAGACCACCTTCTCCTTAAACCTAATCCATTGAAAGACTCACCCAATTTTTTTCTCCACTGTGAATGATTTGTAAATAATCCCCAGAAATGTCCCATCCTCTCATGGGATCCAGCCAAACTTACCATTCTTCTGCCCGGGGCTCCTCCGCTCCTCCTCAGAGATGGGCAGCGCCGTGTGGCTGTGGTTCTTACATGATCCTCCCTCACTAAAGATAACCACCGCTGCTCAGAATTCCAGGCTGAGTCTCATCAAAGTTTAATGTTTGCCTTAAGGTGCTGTATTACCTATTCTAGATCCTCACATGGACCAGAGGCCTTGTTTGTTTCCACAGACAAAAAGTGAGTTGAAAACAAAAAAGCCATCAACAAAATATGGGGTTGAGAGTAGAAAATTATTTTAAAAAAGTGATGGGCATTCACTCATTTGAAGCTACCGTCAGCCAAGGTTCTTGAAATTTTGGGAGAAAATAAATAATTAGGGACTTTCACAGACTGACTGTACGAGGGAAAGTGAAGGGTAGCATTTTCTCAAATTATTTAGCACCTCAGTGACAGGAGAGCAGGGAATCTGAGCTGAGCGCTCTGAGGCTCTGTCCAGCTCACATGTCAGCGTAGTGCTGGAGCTGGTGTTCTGTTTTGTCATGTTTAATCTTTGACATACTGACCAGTCAAGATTGAAATCTTTTTGCTTTTGTTTTTTCTAAATCAGGAGAGGTTTGAGGTGGCCTGTTTTAGAAGAAGCCTGTTTTAGAAGTGTAAAGTTTAAAAAAAGGCATTGTAAAGATATTCAAGGAATTGTGTCATTTCTAACTTTAAAAAAAAAAGTAGCCTAAAAGTAATTTGATCATTTGATTGGACATTAGAAAAAAAAATCTCCAAGATTTGTTCAAATAAGAGCTGTCTGTATCAGACAGACTTGTTTATTTTTTCTCACTGAGGATAATCAGGATCCTGAGGAGTCGCCGCTGTTGTGTCTTCAGTCCTGAATTAGAGGAGGCCTTTATTCTTATCACAGAGCACATATCAAGGATCTTACATTTGGGTAATTACCTTAAAATAGTTAGCCATGATTTTTGAGTGGATGTAGCTCCAAATTACAGATTCCCAGCTGAGCGTAATGTGCATGTAGAGAACATCCTTTATTTTTGGATCGTCCTTGCCTTCCCTAATTTTAGGTCTCCCTCAGGGCTGCGTTTGTGTTTCCTTTGGCACCACTGCCACCACTTCATGCTGCACTTACAAGGACCACGGAAGCATGTCCATCAATAGTTTTATTAAACATTTGTAAACAATGTAACCGTCACAGAAGAAGCTAAATCTGAGGACATGAGGAAAAAAAGAAAATGAAGCCAGACGGTAAATTGCAGAAACTGCCTATCATACACAGAGTTTAGATGCTCGGTCACTAATTTGAGGAATGGGACAGTAAGTTGGAAAGTTTCACCATCTTAAGAGTTAAAGAGCAAATTAAATGTGACCAGTGTGTCAGCTTCGGTTTGGTTATTTTGTAACCTTTAAAACAACTGGTCAAAATGCTGTCCCTGAACTCAACTTTACATTGAGAATAAAAAGCAGAATTCATCTCATACACATTATATTTACCAGAGTACCAAAAAGACTTAAAACATCATTTTACCAGCTGTTAACGTGCTTTCCACAAGGAGGCAGATTAGAATTATAAACCATATAAATATAAAAACAAAGGTAATTAAAAGGTGTGATTTAATTAAGGTAACAGGAAATAAAAATAAGATGTCAAGGATTATTTTGGTGTTTCAGTTTAGCAAAAAAAGAAAAGACAAAACATTTAAAAAAACATTTAAGGAAGTAAATATGAAAGTAAATATAAAGAGATTATTGATCAAGTCAGGTTTACAGGCACATCTATATGCAGCACCAAAGATTTAGCTCTGGAAGGCTGAATCAGCCAGAAGGCTCACAGCGGCTTTAAAAAGGTACAGCAGGACACACTAAGGAGGTTCCTCTGGTTAACACGTCTCTGACCATCAAACTCCTGTTTGGCAAGAACTGAGAATTACACGCCGCCCGATAATAATTTTCAATACATTTTCAATACTTCAATTTCAATTTTCAATACTTTCCCCATGTGTAATTTGGAGGAAAAGCTACTATCTGAGGGAAGGGCTGTAGCCCCGGTGGTGCAGCACTGTTGAGTTTAGTGTTGGACAACAGACTGGACGGAATCCACTGGGGAAAAAAAAGAGTGAATTATTGTGTAGTACGTCCAGATAAAGGACCATCTTGGCCTGCATCCCCTGACCCAGGGGCTGAATAATGCTGTGGGATTAAAGCTTGTCATTTTCTGCCCACTGCATATGCTTCGTTCACAAAGATTTTACACAACACACCCCTCCGTGTATATACACGCACTTCCTTGCATTCTTCCCTTTTTTACATTTACGGAGATGTTAGGGTTAACTGGACAACTGGGAATCTACACCACCCACTTACAGAACACCTGGCTTTTCTGGCACACATGTACATGGATCTTTCCTACTTTTTCCCTTCATGTCTCAGCCTTTGTCTAAACTGTAGATACTTTTGGGCGAGCGCACTGAGCTTAGTGCTTAGTGTTTAAAACTAAACGCGAAATAAAACTGGTATAAATCAGACAGCTGAACACTCCAGCGTTGCTCTCCACCTCCTGTCCCCTTTCTATTTTGTGTGTTTTGGTTGTTTTGTTTTTTTTGTGGTTTAGATTGGTACGCTTCTCTTAAAAACGCGTTAATACTTTCTGATCCGTGTAGCCCGGGTCCGGCTCTAGTGATGCGCTTTCTTCAGATGGCAGGTGCAGACCGGCTGGCTGGAGCTGGGGCTGTGGCTCTGCTGGGCCTCCTCCCGGGGCTTCACCTGCTCTTTGTACTTGGACTCCTCTCTCCGCTTTTCCACCTCCTCCGCGTCTCGGACCTTTCTGACCTCCTGACGGGGCGAGGACCGGACCTCCCGGCCCCGCTCTCCGACCAGAGCCTTGGAAGGATTGCGCAGGTGCTTGGGGGAGGCCATGCTCTGAGTCTGGACCCTCTTGACGTGGTCCACCGCGTACGGCCTCTCCTGGAGCTCGCCGGAGTTTTTGCGGCCGCCGTTTTTGCCGGCCGGGTGTTTCCTGGCCGGATGGGGCGGGGGCTTGTAGGCCTCCAGCTTGCGCTTGTGACTCATGGCCGAGGCGCAGCAGATGATGAAGACCATGACGATGAGAAGGGAGGTCACGACGATGATGATGAGCAGGTTCTCCTGCAGGAAGTCCACCACCCGGCTCAGGACGAAGTCCTTCAGGCGGATCATGGTGGTGGTGATGCTGTTGGTGAGGGTGGGGGGCTCGGTGGCCGCGCTGACGGGAACGGGCGCGCGGGTGGAGAAGGAGATGGGGAAAAGGAGCTCCAGTTCGGCCTCATCGCCGCTGCCATCCACAGATACGTTGTAGAAGAGAGGGCTGGAGCGGGACAGGCCACAGCACAGCCACAGCACAGCCGCACCGAGGACCCGCACAGACAAGTGGGACTTCATCTTCCCTCGCCAGTTCTGCAAAAAACAGCACAAGGAGGTTTTTCCCTTTGGAGAACGATGGAAACAGATTAACTTATAGACTCAACTCGAAAAACAATCATGTTTCTTGTCAGTTTTTTATGAAAAATCTGCCGGTTAATGCATCAGATCCATTCATATGTAATAAACAGAAGTTCCAACTTAATATCCACCCAAAAACAAAGAATATAGCCTTTCTATCCATCTCGACTCTGATTCGTCTGGGTTTTCTGCCTCTCCTGCTCTTGCACCAGATCTATTTTAGCAGGCAGAGTAGCCATTACTTATTTGGGGTGGAGACAGCTAGCTTGGTGCCGAAGGCCTTATAATTTGTAAAGTAGAGGGAGGCCACCCATCCACCACACCAAAGCCAGGAGGAAACTACAGTCCAAAGAGAGCGCAGAGGCGTGGGAGACCTGCGGCTGTGGTCTCTATATTTACACCGGGCAGCTGCTGCCGGGCACCCGCCCACAGCCGCACCGACCTGCTGGGGTTATTTCTCTTTCCAGGGAAACCTGCATTTGCTTGCCGTACATCTGACTGCATAAACTTCCTAAGCCACATTTTCTCAGTTATCCTCCTCCCAGCCCTTCTTCTGACAGAAAGCTGAAACCAGAGTCTTCTACCTTTATAAACCTGTTTGGGTATTAACACCGTGTGTAATTACACAACGTCGAGCTGTAAAAACAAGCTTGTAATCAGCCTCATAGTGAACCTGCTCTGGTTTACATTTTACAGCGTGAACGCTCGGCTCCTTGTGTGGTCGACATACAGCGTGTATTCTGCTACACCACACAGTGGGCAGAGTCCTCATCCTTGGACGCACAGCTATTGGAGACCATTGCCCACCAGGTCCCTGTAATTACAGCTAAAATTACATTTCCTGTACTGATTTCGCCGTCCAGTTGAGATTGCAACTCATTAGGATTTAGATGTGCGTGATTAATCCATTTCAACCAAACCAAGTCGTTTCATTCTTCTTATCCTAAGCATTTCTTCTCCTTATGCACATCAAATAGAATTCCTCAGGATGTGCTATGTTAGATCTAGAGCTTCTACAGATTTACATTGTACATGGAACTGCATCACTTTTTTAAATGTTGCAAACAGGTTTTTTAAGCAAGAATTTAAAAGAAAGCAAGTTTGGGGCATTCACAGTATCAATGTGTGGGAATATTTTAACATTCTTCTCATGTTGGCAAGATACAGTCCATTTGTAGAAATTTGATATTTGTGAAATTGTACTGCATTCATAAAGCAAACAGAAGCTGCATCTGAAAACTACATTGAAAATGTCCTCTTAAATGAATCATCATGTAGAGTATTGCCATCCCTGACTGCATCAGATGGATTCTTTATTACAGCACTGTCACTTTAAATACTCAGCAGTATAAATTGTTATTCATTACAGGACTTTTGAATGGAAAAATCTGTTCTATAAACACAAAAACAGATTGTTAAATCACTATCACTGAAAGTACAGCTGATAATCTTTGGAGAAATGTTTCATAGGATGGAACAGGAGGAAAAATTTACAAAGATTTGCAAATCCAAAATTTCCTGTTTAAATATGACTAAAACATAAGTGATTCGTGATAAACTAAATGTACATTGTCAAAAGTAATGTGATTAATCTACTGACATGAGTTAAATGTTTGATGGTAAAAAAAAATCTTGAGTAGAGTTTTGAATTGAATAAAAACGCTGGAGCAAAGGTTTACATTAAATAGAAATGCTCTGAAATAGATTATCTACATATAAAAACAATCAAAACATTGAAATAATCGACCCCCCTGACCATCTTCTTTCATCAAACTCATCACAAGTACATGAGTTCCCAGTAGACTAAACCATTTACTCACAGTCTGCTCCCCGTCGCGTCTTCTGAGCTGCAGGATGGAGTGACGATGACTGCAGGAGGAAGAAATGAGACGGCAACAAGAGGAAAGGGAGAGTGAGAATTTCCGAGCATTTGCCCTCCCTGTTAAGTCACACTGACTTTTTTTTCACGGCAGCAGAAAGCCTTCCAGCAAACTGATGCCCAGCCCTTTTTTTTTTTTTTTTTTTTACCTCAAAGTATCCCCTCCTTATTTAACTTATCTTCATAATGGAGACAGGGATCCTACCCAGTTTAACTTTTAACGCCCCCCTTTTTTTGTTACAAAAAAGTATACAGTTTTGATACAAAGTCTGCAAAGTGATACTTCATGTTAAGATGATCTGATTTAAAAGATGCCTCTGAAAAAGCTATATTTTCATTAAAAGTATATTCACAAAAAATGTCAATTTAATTTCAGTTAAATGGGACTGGCGCAAACATGCTGCAGTAGGTGTATCAGTCCCATGTTTCAGGAGGAAAAAAAAAAAAGTTATTTCTGGGTTTGGCGGGGCGAGTCTCAAACAGTCTATGTCTCCCACTGAGTCCTCTCTAATTAGATCCATGTTGATTACAGCCTTACTCGACAAGGCAGTGCAGAGAAAGCACCAGTTTCATCCCAAAAATCACATGAACAGAAAGAGAGAAGAAGAAAAAAAAAAGCTTTTACAGACTTTTTTTCTGTGTTGAAAAATCAACCATAAATATGCAGGCAATCTAAAATTAAAGGGAGAAAAAAAAAATAGGTCAGCAGGGTTTTTTGTCCCCTTGACTAACAATTTACACAAAAGTTGCAAATGATTTAGTTAAATGAGGTCTGAATTACTGTGGCATTTTTGGAAATAATCCCATGACATGTACATGTGCTCCCCTGTATGTTAAAAAGCTAGTGAATCAATTACGTGTTTTGAGGGCAGAAACTGATTCCACTTGAAAGGAAAGGCAGAAAGTGTTAGCCATGCGTAATCAAGCCAAACACGATTTGATCTGGTCCACAGGTATTTAAGGGGCAGCCAAAGCCTGGAGACTACCTGCTTTGTGCCATTTGAACACTGGCCTTGAACGAGTCAGCAGGGTGTAGGGTACTTTACACCCTACACCCTGCTGCTGGTGCCACCCTGTGCGCAGACTAGTCTTAGTACACAGGTAAGAACAGGCTACCGTTTATTCTGTGTGAGCTGAGTCAGCAGAAGGCCGCGACTGACTTCTGACAAACAGTGGATATTTTCCAAGTCTGATCACATGAGAAATATGCAGCCCGAGACCCCCCCCCCCCCCCCCCCCAAAGCCGTCGCATTGAACTCAACACAAAAGAAACTCCAAAACACTGCAGAGTTCATTTTAAAAATTCTTTATTAATTTTTCTTATAATCAATGTTTGATACTTGAAGCAAGAATAATGAACAAAAATGCTGAGCAGACCTCCACGAGGCGTTCATCCTGGTTGGTTTTTGTCCGATTTTGTTTCTTGGTTTTCTTATGGAACAGAGGTTCTGCTTTTCTTAAGATGCATTATGGCAAGGTGCAAGGAACACAAACAGGGGAACATTTAAAACCCATCACCCATCCAAATACCCTCTTCAGCACAACCACGAAACAAAAATGAAAAAAAAAAAAAAGTCATGTTATTTACACGGCGTTCACTCAGTTTTCTAGACCTTAATTACAAACGTACATCTATCCTTCAGCTGCACATCTCGTCAACCTACACTGTCCCTTTGGATTGCTATCAGTCACTACTCTCCACAAAATTCTGCTCTCGTGCCAACAATGCTATTAAAACAAAAAAATTTAAAAAATTTAAAAAAACAGATGAAACCTCAAGTGGAAGTCTGAAATACAAAATACGGCAGTAGAATTTGTGTCAGACTCGCACTCAGATTTCCTGCCACCATTATTCCACTACTCAATGCTCAGAGTGCGTCTCGAGGTCACACTGTTTAACACGGCCCTGCGTTCAGCCGACAGATTATTGGTTTCACATCCATTTCTAAAGATGTTGTTATACCCGTACCAAGGTGGGAAATGCAAGCGGCTCAACGCCGACCAATAATGCTGCCTGCTGCACTGTGGCAGCGGTTGGCAGGACTCCCTCGTGTCTTTGAGCCCGGTGACAGACGGGGCTTTAGTGACGGCATGTTAGTACAAAGTATAGCACCTCAATGTGATTTTTATATTCAGGCACCTCTCAAGTCTTCCATTTAACTACACAAACTACTCACAGAACAGTCCCCAACACCAACTTTTCTTGGTCACTTCTATGGCACTTTTCAGGTCTTTACAGTGGTAACAATTGATGAAGGCAAACAACAGACCATTACCCGTCTCTGCTTCCCACTGGGAAACAAATCAAACATCAAAAAAAGAAAAAAAAAAAGATTTTTTACTGGATCAAACAGGTGGGAGGAGAAAATGGTTCCTGTATTTGTGTCAACTATACTGATTCAGGGCATGAAAGGGAGAGAAACATTAGAAAATTAAGATGTGGAATTGCTAAGGGGATACGAGCACAGCTGGAACAAGAAACAGGCTTAAATGAACAGAAGTAGCTTCTCTACTAAGCAGTGCTTCCAAATTAGAGGAAGGTTTGTGGCTTCTACTAAAAGTAACTTAACCCCTCGGATAAGACACCATACAGAAACATCCAGTCAGATGCCAAAAGGCCACAGATTCATGAGCCTTATATCCAGGAATCAGAGGCCTTTAAGGTCTAGCATGAACAGTTTCTGTAGGAGCCTCCGGCTTCATCACAAGATGGTTTCAAACAGTCGAGCTGGTGTGCGATTACTTGGCATCCTGTCATGTCAAATGCTGTACAGAAAATACACATCTGGGGAAGGATATGATGCAAAGCTAAAAATAAAAAGGGGGGGAAAAAATTGGGGGGAGGGAGGCTACTGCACCGAGGTTTGGCGACAACCCCTCAAAGACAAAAAAAAACATCTGCACAGCGATGTTTCCACATGCAGCACTTTAAATGTCACAACAGCCAGCCGACCGACCGTCACAGAGTCACTACAGCAGAGGGTTCACACACAAGAGGAAGCTGAGTCCCCCCTACCATACCTAAACAGCAAATAGTTTTAGTGGAATGTCATGTTTGATAAGTGCAGAGTGCATGTTAATGAAGCGGGTAGAGAGGGACACGCGTTCACATGGAATATCTCCAGTCAGAGTGACAGGAAGCCACAGATTTAGAGAGAAAAAGCTAAAAGTGGGCGTGGATGCGTGCGGCTTCAGTGTGGAGAAGCAAGAACTCATTTCCATCATGTTGCGTTTGGTGCTGGCTGTGGCAAACGGGAATGTTTCTACTGAAGAATTTGAAGTTTTTCTGAATAAATCTAATTGTTTATTTGACTTTGGCGTGCACAAGCAGTTAAAATCCCCCCCCCCCCCCCCCTCACGTACAGTCCGTTTAACTGTGTTTGGATTTTGAATATTCTCACCGACAGAAAATACTGTTATGGAGGTGTAAACAAAATCCTACATTTGGCAACATTTTCATTTTGGGACACGCCAACATGGAACACTGACACCCACTAAAAGACACATATGCAGATATACCGATGTTAATGGGGACTGCTGTTAACAATGGGCTTTTATTGGTCATTCTAAAATGAGAAGACTTAAGACCTGTTTATAGAAATAGGCAAATTAAAAGGCTGCCACAGAATAAAATTAACCGAGTCCTTTGAATTCAAAAAGAAGCAAATGTACTTCCTGCTAAATTTACCACATGTCCTCCTTATTCCACCTGTGTTAAACTGAGGGTTGGGGCCTGGTTTAAAAGAAGTTCATCTGGAATGTTGCTAGGGATTGTTGCTCGGCAGGACTGAGATCAAACACTGTCATTAAAAGGTAGGCAGTGATCTTTCCCGCCCCCCCAGACAATGGAACATCCTGAATTGTAGCGGGAAGGGGTAAAGGGGGTCCTTAAATTGCAATTTTGGACATTTGCTCTTCAAGTTTGATGATTCGCTTCTCCTGACTGCTGATCAGGTCCTTGAGGGATTTGATTTCTTTTAAGATCTCCTCCATCTTTGCTTCAGATTTCTGTAAGAGACAAGCGGAACTTGTTGGTTAACACTTTTGTTTAAAATGCAGTCGGAGTGCTACAAACAACTCCCGTAACATTTAAACAAACATCACAGATTAAGGCAAATCTCAGCAGCACACAATGTGGATTATTCCCTAAACAATGAAACCGAGAAGCATAACTGTATGCATAGTTTCCTAGTTCTCCGAGGGGTTAACATTTCCAACAGTGGTGCCCGGAGGCCTGTGATTACGGAGCAGAAAGGAGGAGCGTGGGCGGGTCCCAGGCGGGTGGCTGTGCTGTGGGTGAGGTACAGCAGGCGCCCAGACCACCGTGGACCCCTTACTTTGTGGCTCTCAGAGGGGCTGAGCTACATCTACAAACCACTTAGTGAAGACAGCCAGTTATTTGCAATCATTTTAACATCTTCAGAGTGTCTGCACAACACTATGGGAACTTGCTGCAAAGATGAAGCTAACAAAGAAGGGACCTCAGAATATTCTATATCCACAATTTCTTTTAAACGTGCCACTTTTAGGAGGGTAATCAGTTTGAATCTAAACCAACACTTTGACATGTCTACAGTTAGTCACTCTGTACTGACACGAAGTGGAGGGTTGGAATTAAGTGTAATTTAAATGACATTTATATAAGTCTCTTTTGGAAATATACTCACAATTGACGGAGTGGGGGAGGCCGGCTTGTTGGCAGGGCTCGAGTTCTCTGCGTTCTTGGTGACCTTGCTGTCCAAAATGTTCTTTTTGACCACCTTGAATTCACGGTTTTTGCCTGGGACATAACCGTTCTTGAGGGAGATGAGGATGGGGTCTCCATTCTTGCCCTCAAACCATTCCTCAGCCTCCAGGGCAGGGTCTGGTCCAGCCGTGTCAGGGTACAAGTCGTCCTGGAACAGATCCGACTAAGGGGGAAGGACAGAGTGACAAGCTGTGAGATTAAAGCGACTGCCAAAACTCAAGGCCTTTTTTTACAAAAATAGTAAATTAATAAAAATAAAAAATAGTAAGAAAGTTGTTCAATAAGCTGGCCAGAGGTCAAAGGCAAAGTGGCCAGCATGGGGACTCACCTTTCTGGGTACAGTCATCACAATAGGCTCACACTTTCTTTCATGCAGTTTATAGAACCTGGAAAGACAAATACAAACCTCTTATTTACAGTTCAGTGAATTATTCAACAGAAGTCTAGGTTACATTGTGCCTCCTGGTGGTGAAGTCTTGAAGGGATTCAGTGTTAATGGCCAAAATCAAAACTCAAAATCAGATCCTATGTCAACTTACCTTGCAATTTCACACTTATTGACATCAAGGCCCCTCTTGGGCATGTAGCCCATCCCCCTTTGGGGCTCCTTGGTGACAAAAGTGTTGAGGAAGTGAACATATGGAGCCTCGTCTGTGATTTCAAAGTAACGGATGCTGCTGTCCCCCTGAGGAGAAAGAAGGAAGTGTTATTTTACAGCTTTTATCCACTATTTTAATAGCTTTTTTCAAATGTAAGTTTAATTATTTAGGTTTAAGTTCAAGTTCTAACTGACAAACCTTTCCACAGAGATACACGACATTGGTGTCGGGGTCATAGAAGGGCAGGAGCACTCCATTGCTGGTGTCCATCTCATTAACAGTTATGGCCTCATCCATATTTTGCTGAAAACAATGATAAATCAGTCTCAAAGTCTTTTAAGTGCAACAAATAATGAAAAAGTATTCATATTCTCAAGGAGAGTCTAAATCAGATTATTTGGGCTGTTGGCACTTCTGAAGCTACTCACCGGGTTCCAGAGAGCCAGCTGCCTCTCACTCATACGACTGAAACCGGTGGTGAGGACGTTGCCATCAGAGAGGAAAATGGCCCTCATGGGTCGGGCCCCCTCATGTGCCTTCTCTTTCTCCTGTCAAGTACATTATCTAGGTCAGCGAGTCTGTGCACTACCAACACATTCACTGTTCTTCTTGAAGATATCCTAGGCGTTTCCTCTTTTTTCAGGGTGTTTCAACATTATTTGACCATCAGCAGATTGCTGCTTAAATTTCCTTACTTATTTCCATCCAATTTAAAGCGTCTCTGTACATGAGACCTGCACAGTTTGAAGAAAATAAAAACAAAAATCTCTGAACGGCAGATGCAAGACTAAAGAAAAGCGTCATTGAGGAAGCTGCTCACAGCAACGATGTCCTCCTTGCGGGGGTCGATGACGCGGATGGTCTTGTCCTTGCAGGCGGTGCAGATGAGGCTACCGTTGCGGTTCCAGCAGACGTTGTAAATGACATCAGGATGCATTTCATCCAGAGTGATCATGGCCTCACCAGTGCCCACGTTCCAGATGATTATCTGGTTGTCACAACCTGGCAACACAGGGAGGTAAATGGGAGCTGGTCAGCAGCACATCAAACTTGGATCACTTCTTTAAAAAAAAAAAATTATATATATATATATATTTTATGTCAGCCAGATTGCTGTTTTTTTTTTTTAACCGCATAGCCTGAGCCCACACCTGCACTAAGGAGGACGTTGCGTGCGGTTGGATGCCATGTGATGATGCCAACACGCTTTGAGTGACCCTCCAGCACCACCACAGGTTCAGACATGGAAGTGATGAGGCCATTCTCAGGAATCTGCCATACCTATGGAGAACAAAATATATCTGAAAGTAGGGAAAAACCCTTCAAAACAGACCATATTCACAGTCTAACCAAAGACTCCAAGTAACCACTTTGTCTCACATAAAAAATGTTTTAAAAAAAGGAGACGTTTCAGTTGTAGAGCTACTATGCAAATATTTTTTTTGTCAGTTACTCACAGAAACCTGGTGGGGGCAGCAGTGACCAAAATTCTCACATACCACCAATTTACAAGTAATACTCATTCTCAAATATTTCGTTTTCTCAATTGATTAATCGGGTCACCACCACTATTGCTCTGGAATCTGGGTGGGGGCACTTTGATATCTGGATCACATACTATAATGTAGATGGGCAAAACAGTTGCTACATACTAATGTTGGCAATTATGGGTCTGAAGACTCAATGGTTCAGTCAATGTTTATCTTTAGCTCTGAAAATCACTTAAGTGGTTAAATGAGCACAAAGAATAAGATTTTTTAACTAAACATAACATCAACTGTCCTACTATTCTACAGATTGCATCTTCCTCTTTACAAAGAATGTGTATTCACTTAGCAGATCCTTTAGGTTTATTAAATCGAAAGAAGCACCAAATCAGAAATGAAAGCCCAGTTTTCCCTCATTGTACATATCCCTACTGGAGTGTTGTGTGCACTGCTGTAACGGCCCACTCCTACCTTATCTAAACTAAACCTATCAAAAAAATGAGAACTATCAATGGTTCCTCTTTCTTTATGGCTTATGATTACATAAACATAAAATAAGTGCAGCATTGATTCAGAACAAGTTAAAACAGGAAGTTTGGACTTTCAGGTAAGGAAGTGGTAGAAAAAAAATCTCTGCCTTTCACAGCCCAAATAAGGACATGTGGAAGAAACTAAATACAGCCTCAAAAAAAGTCAGTGACCTCAGCTCAATAAACAGCTAAATCATTCCCCAGCTCTGATGCCTGCAACATGTATTTGAGCCTAATCTTATCCAAAGGGTGAGGCCTCCAACCATCCCTTGGTTACAACAGCCTGGGCTCTTGCAATAACAGTAATAGCACTCTCCTGTAACTTATTAATTAAAAGTGTGCACTGCCATTTTCTCCTAAACCAAGGAGTCTTTGATCATGTGCAAAGTGTGAAGCAACCCTTACCATCACTGTGCAGTCCTCAGAGCCGCTGGCAATGACCTGGTCATTGTGAGGGCACCACTCAATGTCCAACACAGGACCTGTGTGACCACATACTGTGGGGTAGGATTTGTCGATGCGTCCCGACTGTAAAGACAAACACAATAATAAGATTAGTCTTAGCCTGGTCCATGCTTTGAAACAAGACAATTACAGAATAATCCTAAACCCCGCCTTTAAAAAGAAAGTCTGGCACACGCCAACATGTAACAGATTTTTCCACTTTAAAACAATGAATGAATTCCATAAATTATACTGTATTTAATTCAAGGGATGCAAGGACTACAATTAATATTTACAAACAAATTTGATCTAAATCTCATGTATAAAAATAGTAAAAGAATCCTGACACACTCACACGGCAAAAAGCCATCCTAAGAGCAGGAGGAAAACATAATACACTATATATATTAACTTTACAGCCAAGGATACAGACTTATTCAGCTTTACATATACCTGGACTTTATGAATACAAATAACTAAGAGTGCAGATTGTCCAGTAGCCTTTACATGTGATTGACTGGACCGATGATGCTGTAACATACTATTTTATGGTAAAAATAGTTTGCTTTTAATATTTAGGTTGGTTGACCATTTTTTGCACATGCTTATCTCAAAGACATAGTTATGACTGATCCATTTGTATGTATTCATTACAGTATTTGCCTCAAACTATGGGACATGTGGAAATATGTTCTTGAAACATTGGTGCAATCGCTCTGTAAATAAATGTGCAAGTAAATACTGAGCACATTGTACTTTAAGCCAATATGGTGTTTCCCAATAGCTCAGTTACTGCATGATAAATTCATGGGACTGCTTTGACAAGCCCAATTCCAGATTAGCTGCAGTTTTAATTCAATATGAAGAGGGGCTTTGAAATGCACAGTGATTTGCAAGCGTCTTGGGGCACCCCTCTATCGGTTCGATGCTTGCACGATGCTTGTCTTCTCAAAACTGATCTATGAATAATCAGAACATAAAAAGCGCATCTGACTTAAACTTAACCGTTTGGCATCTGAAGGCATTTCCTTCCTAGCTGCCTGTCACAAAGATACACCATGTGTTCCACAGCACAGATATGCGCCACATGTGAAGTGTATTGAAAATCAATGGCACCTGGTTTAATGGAGGGATGAATCCTCCCCCAAGACCCAGGCCTCAACATTACTCAAGGAGTGTGGCGTTTAACGGAGAATGGGGAACGAAAAGGCAGAAAAAAATCCAAAGAAGAGCGTTAAGCTGTCCTTCAGAGCACCTGGAAAACTATTCCTAAAGACTTATGACAACGCTTGTCAAAAAAAAAAAATGTTCAGGCTGTCTTGGAGAACAAGTAGTCTTACCAGGAACTAATGTTGGAGTACATCTGACCTGTACCAGCCATTTTTTCCCCTTCCATTACTCAAGACTTCTGCACTTTCACTGTTTAATAGAAAAGGTACCTTTTCATTGCTTGGTGATAAACGGAAAGACAAAAGGTGGCAGTATGGAAACTAAATCACTTTCACTACACCCAAGTCAATGTTTTAATATTTTGCATATGCATATCCTACAGGCAAGAACTTTTGACCATTCACCCCATTTGTAATGCAATTTTATTTGTCCAAAAAGGGTAATTAACTGCTGAGTGGATGTCTTTCCTGATTTGACCATTTCCAGTGATACTTCTACTGCAAAAGTCCCTCCACAAAAATAACAAAATCCTGACTCACGGGATAACCCATCCAATGCGAAACTCCAGCCCAACAAGCAGCACACATTGTTGACATTAAACATGAAATATCTAATCTTCTTTCATGGCTTATTAAAAATCATAAGTAAGGAAAAGAATAAACAAATGCCAGAAGCTAGGGCATCAACCTTGGTTTGCCACACCATCACGCAGCCAAAACACAGGCTTACTGCTGCTACACAGATTAGGTTTAGCAGCTATTAGACCACCCATAATTAAAGAAAGTTACAAGCATACAGTAGATTCATGCCAGCTGACCAAGTTTTCCCGTTTAAAAACAGTCAATTTAAATCAAGCAATAATCCCTTTATATAACCTACATACACAAGCCAAAGGGTAAGACTGCAAATGAGTTTCTGGCATGTGCGCACACCGATGACCTCTGGTTGTTCAGGCACTTTGAGAAGGGGGAAGAAAAAGTCACATTTGTCTTTGACCCTTCTGAGCAGACAGAACCTGCCCTCTGCGTGGGGTGTTGACTTAGCAAACCTGTACCGTCGAGTCTTGGAGTGAACACAGACCAGGGTGTGTCTCGGACACCCAAATCCTACCACGTGGCCAAAGTGGATGATCTCATCTACTGAGACGTCCTGTGGCAGCAACTTCATATAAAATTTGACGCTTACATTTCCAGTTATGGATTCAGAGTACCACTATTTCACAGGAGCCCATTTATTACCAGGCAATGTGAGCATGAATACCAGGGCCGGTGGTCTAAGAGAAAAACAATGGGAGAAAAATAAAAACAGAAAAAAAAAGAAGTTTTAAATAAGTTTAGAACAACAATTCATAGTTATGTAATGGACTATTGTGTCGCAGTCACACTGAACACCCCACCCCTCAAGCCAGTCGCCCAATTTCCCACTGTTCATTTTCAGTGATTTTACCAACTTAAGGTTAATTCAGAATAAAAAAAAAAAATAGCCATGTGTATTCTACAGATACAGTTTCTGGTAAAGAAAAAAACAAAACAACCGTGAGGTAATGAGGGCAAAACATATCTTTGTACTATTTGACGACTACCTGGTTCTGGGTGTGCGACAGGAGAGGGATGGGCTGGATAGTCGCTCACATTATGCGTGATCAGCATGATAATCTCGACAAAAATAAGATGCTTGATTTAACTCCTGACCACTCATGTTACCCGAACATTTGACGCAGCTACCATTCTGCATTTGCAGATTCAATACATTTAATTTTCATTAATTTAATCTAACTGGGATTTTTAAGCCACCTCCGTCATTGAAAGTCAAGTTAATGTACAAATTGTGAATAACTTCTTGTCAAAATGGTTAGCAAGGGCTTCTTCACTGCGGCTCTTCCACTGGTTTCTATGCTTGAGGTGCAACAACAGTTCAACAACAAACCAACATCACTGTGCTGTATCTCAATGGCAAAGTGAAACGGCAGTCAGCCCAGTCTCAAAGTTCAGAACAGTTATGCGATTTAACGGCACAAAACAAAGCAGTGACTTCAAGTAAAGCCAATCTAATGTGTGGTGCATGGATAAGTCCCATCTGCTCTGTCCCCAGGACGCCAAATACAACACGCGTACGTATATCTACAATGAGGTCAATTCAATTTTTAAAAGTCATTTATCGCACAAAGGTCTCACAGAGCAGTGATGACTCTACACAATGTGCCAATATGCAATAAGACACCACTGCACAGGGGTTGTATTCAACTAACAGACAAATTTGTTCCGATACATAATTCAAGTGATCTTAGGGTCAACTTTCAGGAGTATACAAGAGTGAACAGAGTGTTGACATGAAAGCCGTGGAAATGAACACACCTGAAAACCAACCCAATCCAGAGTGCACGGTATGTGGACTTTGACACCATTGTCAACAGGCATCTAGGAGTTACCATCCAGTATCTGATAAGACGAGCATTATGAGAAAATTACACGCAATTAGAATTACAAGGAAGACGTGATGTCTGAATGGTCATTTCCTCATGTATGAAAGCATAGAAGATCCAATTAAAAGAATTACTGTCCACAATTTCCTGCAGGCAGCAGGAGCAGGATGCAAAGCAGGAAGGAAACGGACTCGGCCAGGTGTTACAACAGAAACAGTGTAAACAAGTCTGGCTAGGGCCAAACTAATCCGCTGGATGGTGATAATCTGGATCACGTTCAATCCAATTCAACTTTTTACAGATCTACAAAACTAAATCATTCCATCTGATCATTTAAATACCATCTGACAACTTCTGACATGTATGCAACAAAACTTAATCCATTTGAGTAAATCAACACTTATCAAACATTAAAGAATTCAAACGTGCACAAAAACTGAAACTTTCCTAAAGATTATAAAATCCAAAGTTAATATTTGGAAAACAGATTAAGATGAGTACCAAATTTTTATTTTTAGAAAAAAAAATGTTTTTGCGCGATTAGTTTAAAGTCACTAAATTAATCAGTGAACCACATAAAATGGTCAGTCCACTGCTGAGCCGTTATTCCACCATCAGTGTGACAATAGGACATGCATGTCTGAGACTAGCACGGTCACAATGGTTGGGAGAAAAAAAGAAAAAAGAAAAAAAAAGCTGGATGAACTTGTTTGACGGTTATGGAGGCGGGAGAGCAACAGATGAACTTAGAGAATTACCCCCTTTAAAACTCAATGTGGCTCAGAGAGGAAAAGTGGTCAGATTGGTTGTGGACAGCAACAAGCAAATGGGAAAAGTTTTTTCATTTTATTTAACACATTTTAAGTGAAATGTTTCAAGCCACTCAAACCAAGTCATCCTCTAGAAAATCTCCTTTAGTTTGAGACCTCTGCTTCAGAGTTTTTACAGATGGATGGAGCACCGAGGTCCAGACACAAAATTAAAATCAATTCAATAACAGAATGTCAGTGTTTGAGAAGTTTAGCTATAATACCATTTTTCTGAAAGCACGTTACTGCCTTTTAATCGGGCTCATCTACACTCAAGTAAAAGTTTTAATTTCCAACCAGTTTTGTTTTTTTGTTTTTTTAAGTGCCCATTTAATGATACGTTTGGAAAATTTTGAATTACTTTAAGTGGTTAAATCTAATATGAATGATGGCACACTGACAAACACAGAGTGCTCATTACAGTTTAGGAAAGGGGTCTGCAGATAACATACGGCTCATCATCAGAGAGCCTGGTCCTCTTTGCATTCCACACCTCAACCACTATGGTATGTGTGTAAATGAGCAAGGCGGCCTCAGCGGCGTCAAATGTAGCACGCACTGAGGCGTTAATAGCGTTTGTTCTTCAGACCCAGAAATTCCTTGTTGTGCGTAACAAGTGGATTTTGTGCTGAGCTTGCATGAGTGTGATTGATGCGTTACATAAACAAAGAGGAAGAGCAGAAATATGTAGCTATAAACACAGAAACATTAGATGACATTGACAGGTGAAGCAGAAACTACTAAATAAATCGTCTGAATCACTACGAGGTCATCAGTAGATCGGGGGGGGACAAAAAACAGAACAAAAAAAACAATATTTCAACTGTGAATATGGGGCCATAGTTTGAACATCTGGACAAGTCAAAATATACAACTTTCTTTAATGTTTGAATTCAGCAGATAGTCTTGGCAGGCTTTCTTACCCCTTTTCCAAGCAAAACTTAAATGTTGATTAACCTTAAAAACCAGTGTTGGAGCCCAGTGGACAAGACTTCAAGTAAAAAGGTCAATTGCACAAAGACCGTTTATCATGATGTGCTGAAAACGTTCCAAGATAAAAACCAAATAGCTGGGCATAGCCTAAATCCAAGATTTCATATGAAATCCAACACATGACCAGATAAGCTTGCCATTACTGATTCAGTCCAGGTGGTCACCTGCTTTAAAAAAACAACAACAAAAAAACATGCGACCATGTGACCAGTGAATAATCTAAATAAGAAATTTTATTTGCTTTAATCTTGAATAGTTATACATTAAAACAAAAGGCTTTGTTGTGCATTCCCCACTTGAAAAAATCTAAACTTTTAGTAAATGCAAGTATGATACAAGTCTGCTTGATGTGCGGCAGGAGAGACCCAGTTATGACCAACTAAACTAAACCGAGCAGCAAAAAAAATGATATCCACAGAAACCAGCCTATAGTTGAAAGGAAATAGATTTCCAGGAAGAATAACTGACAAAATAAATCGAAGCACTCAGTCTGAATGTCCTAGCTACCTAACATATCCACAGCTACACAACATTCCTTTTAGAGGAATGTCTAAAGCGTAGAAAACAGCCAGTTGCATAGCAACACATACAACTACAGAAAATGAGGTGATGGATACAAAGCACAACAGTGAAACATAAGGGGAAAAAAATTGTATGAACGTTCCCTCAAGGCTACAGAGGACATACTTTTCATTCACACAAGAGGCCTGCACACTTCCTTTCCTTGCAGCTCCACATGTGATCCACACATGCAAACTAAAGGGTCTTCAATGCATACTGTCCAGGGCTGCTCAGAGCTCCATGGAAATTTCCACTTTTACAAGTCACTGCGTCTGTATGGTTGACGCAAACAGCTGAGGCAGTACCATCAGAAATCCTGTCCTAACTGGAATTTTAAGATTTATTGGGCTGGGACAATACAGGCCGAGTGTGAACCTGAGCAATAAATAACTGAGCTTTGGCAAACATACATGATCAGACGTGTACTTGAGGATACACCAGAGTACAATCCATGTGTGGCATACACAGTATCATGTTTCCACACACCCCCAGTTCAAATCAACCCAAGCTAAATGCTAATCTGAAGACAAACAGAAAAGCTCTTTAGACAAACAACTCGAACCTCATTAAAGTCAGTGGGCCAAGTAGCTCTGTGTAAATTGAATGCAATTTGCATTATACAGGCATTTTGTCAACAGATCAATGTCTCCATTTAAACCACACCTTTTTGCAAAACGGATGCTGGCTAAAAACTACATTATAACTTCTCCAAATACGTTTGTTTTTTTATGTACATGCCCAAAACATGCTGCACTTTATATTCTTAGCAGTCTTATGCACCTGCAGGCAGTTTGCAAGAATACTTTTCTTTTGCAGAACTAAAATATCAGATGGTTTAGCAAATATCCAGGATAAAATAAAAAGCATACAATTTTGTCTAAGATTCAAAATGCTAAATTACATAGATCAATACTGAAATTATTATCAGCCAAATAAAACAGTTATTCAAATGTCATGGATACAGCGAGTGACTGATAAAATCATCTGACTTCAACCTAATTCTCTCATTTTGGCCGCTCTTCATTCTTCAGCCTATCCCAGAATTCAGCGTACAGACACTGTATGAGGCAGCCAATGGCAGGGCAGAGAGGAAATGGTCTTGGAAGGCTGTCAGACAGGGAGCAGTGAATGACCATATATGGTAAAATCTGCAGTCAGCAGGAATGAGTGGCAGAGGCAGAGGTAACCGAGCAGTATAGAGGCCTTTAAAATGAAAAGTAAAGCATGGGGAGAGGCCCTGGATATCACACAGCCAGAGTCTGAAAAACCAGAAGGTAGCTCAGTTAGCAGCAGAGTGGGTGTATAAAAAGGGGGCGACATGTGACTGTGCACACGCCCTTAAGCCAACGGAGAGAACAGGATGAATGAAGAAATGAACCAGTTCATTTAAAAAACACAAACAACATTTGTTCATCCCTTTCCTGTGGCAGCACTGGACACACCGATTAGAAAAGAAAGCTGCTGAATAAATGAGTATTTTCATAAACTTAAGCCTGCAGAAAAGTAATTTGTAAGGGAGTATGTATCACACTTTGACACTTTTTTTATGCAAAAGAAGCAGAGAAGAATCAGCAATTTTTCATCAAATACTGGCTTACTGCCATTTTACTCCCACAACTTCCTTCATATGGAAATTAGCGAATAAATTAGCTCCCAGCCAGCTAAGAATGAGAAAAGGGAGATTGAAAGCATGAGGGAAGAGGATGACATGCGTTTGGCTGGACATCTGATCCTCAATCTATGCATCCTTGTCTTCAGACAAGGGAAAGCAACAATATTCATGGCTGTGCTGAGTCAGGTCGGCCTGCTTCACTAACCCACATCCCAGTGAATCACGCTAAGTCACCCCCATCAGTTGACTGCTCACAAAGCAGCTCAGACCTTAGGTTTGGCAACACACCCACCATAATGTTAGGAAACTCTAGCAGATCTCTCCATTGCCAAAAAGGAAGAGTAAAAGCCAACACATAATTTAGCGTTTTATGCACTGTATACATGCAACAAAGACCATGCACAGTTGCATATTGCTTAATTGTGAAGTGGGAAGGAGAATTATCTCACTTCTGCCTCCCCCCACTATAGTGTGGTTATGACAAAGGACTGCTATGAGGGGAAAGTGTAGGACAAAGGCCCTAAGCAGCTGGCTGCCCACAGAGAGCAGGAACACAGTACAGGCAGATGGGTTAGCCGGACAGATGCACCCTCATATTAGGAAGGGGAAGGGGTGAAGGGTAGAGAAACTGGGGGAGGTGTGCCTTAATCAAAAGAAAAGGAATCCAACATTGATTTAAATCACTGTTGGTCATGCTCACTTTTACCCATGCAGTTATGCCTGGAAAAAAATTATATAAGAGGCATCATCATACTTTCTTCTTAAAATGTATTTGACAGAGCTTCAGTAGCTTCAGCACACAAAGAACAACCCAGTACTGCAAATCTTCTCCACTGCAGTGTCAAACTCTTTGCAGGAACAGACTTGTCCCACTTCTCAGACCTGAATTGCCAAGCTCAAGCCCAGATTTCCAGATGAACATGCCGAGTCAAAAATTCATCAGAGCAAGCTATGGATGGATGTTAGAATTAAAAAGGGAAAAGTAGAATGCTATCTAATAAGGTGAAAAACTGGTTTAGTGGCGGAACAAAAGGAACAAGATAAGTCTGACGGGACTGCCTCGAGGAAGGCTTAAAGGATGGGTCTGTCAGGCCTGCCAACATATGTCGGACAATCCAAAAATGAAGGTTTGTCTCATTTCTCACTTAAGGAAGTTGCCTGAGTTTTTTTATGCACATGAGAACCTTGCTATCCTGCAGCAGGATCCTCCTTTTACTTCAGTCATAAAAGTAGAATTTGTTCAAAGTACTGTACTGGGACATGGCAAGCAGAGGGCAGCTCACACACAGATAAGCACACAGAGCAGGAGGAGGAGTGTGGAAACGTCTACGTTTGCAGCCCACCTCCAGTACAAGCTCTGTATTTAATGAGGTGCCGAGAACTGCAAGCTGTGCGATGACAGGTCAAAGGATCAGATCCCCTATGCTGGAGCCATCTCGTATGACAAGTGGTGTACACTAATTACAGACCGAGAGAGGATCTGTCAACAGCATTGCACTGCTTGTGTCGCTCACAGTGTTACAATCTGCCACTTGGCCATAGCGGGGCCCTGCAAAAAGGAAACAACCGGCAAACAACTGGCCATTGCATCCTGGAGCTTTCTAAGGGAAATTGAGGCAATTCTTAAACTGAATCCAACTTCTGCTGCAAATAATGTTACCTCTTTTTGACAGCAGGGTTCTAACAAAAGGGAGGCATGCTGCAATACCTCAAGCATGTTTACAGCAAAACCATTTTCAAATGCAATCTCACCCAAGCCATGAGTAAATCTGTGGACTGATTCCTTATAAGGAAGAAAGACTAAAGAGAAGGTTGGCTTTAGAGCTTTGGAGTAGTTTTTCTTCTGCACGTGCGGGTGTGTGAAACAGCTGCTGGTAAACATTAATCCCAGAGTACATAGACATGAGGAGTCAGCAGTACTGCTTCTTCAGAGCACTTTTTTTAAAAGTTCAACTTTATATTGCCATCCACGTCAAACAAACAACCCCCCAAAAAAAAAATAATAATAATAATAAAGCAGGCTTGCACACCTTGTTTCTTTCATTCATTTGTCTTAAAGGCAAGCTCTGGTGCTTTGCCGACACAAAGGAGTGCTTATGACGCAATGGCATCCATTACAGAAAAAAAAAAGAAAAAAAAGAAGAAGAACTCACCTTGTGAAGGGGGAGAACGAGGAAAGCTCCACCGCCGCTGGCCTCAATAATGATGGCAACAAACTTGGGGTTGACTGCACAGAAGGCGCTGTCCCATGTGACCCTTGAAACCCGGATATCATCGTAGCATTGGTCATTCTTCACGGCCTGGCCAAAGACGTGACGGAATTTGCTCTGTCGTACAACTCGTCTCATATCTGCAGAGAGCGGATAGAGATCAATCCAACAATTTTTGGCCTGGAAATGAGTGTTAAGGTATACATTACTGAGGTGAGCGAAAACGAATTTATCACCAGTAAAAATAGAAAATTAGATGGTTTATGGGAAACGGACAACTTGATAGCATGAGGCACTTAATCCACAAAATGATTCATTATCCAGAACATGCCACATTTTCCGTTGTTTTTGGCCATCACAAAACATTGGAAATTTCAATATACGGCTTAATACAAGTTTTTCTATACAATATTAATGAGGCTTTTTATCTTGAAGAAAAGATGATGAGGCTGCCATTATAGCACAGTTGAATCTATCCATTCTTTAAGAGTTACTTATAAGACCAAGATCCACGGTGCTATGATCTGTTGTCGGGTAAGAAGCCGTAAGTTTCTTAATACAACATATCCAGATTCAGATCAGATTCCTTAAGACGAAGATGAAAACAAACCTCCACATCAAACTGTTTTCATAATGCATTTTTTTCCTCATACATCATTGTGCCATATCTTAAAGAGAAATTGAACATGAATAGAGAGAGCCACCTCCAGGGGAGGATGGGACATCTAAACAAAAACAGACTTTGTGGTTGGTTCATTGAAAATCCTCACCAAGACAACAATCTGCTGACAAGAGTGCTTTGGATAAAACAAGCCCATTCAATCCCTAAATTCCACTTGCAATAACAGGCCACTTACAGGGATCTTTCAAAACCTTCCACATAGACGCAGGACGTGTTTTGGAAGTCCTCCACTGTATGTGTATACTAGTGTTTATGTGGGCTAAAGGCAATTTGCAACACATAGAGAAGAGGTTCATCCTGTTGGAGGGGTAGGAGTGTCCCAACAGCTCAATTCTTCCATAAAGCAACAGCAATGTCATACGTGACCACTTTGACAAGCAACCAGACAGACTTTTTTGCCAATCCCCAACACACACAACCTATGAATTAAAAAAGTTGAAGTTAGACAGGTTGCCTTTACATCAATTCATTAAACATAACCAAGGCACTCAGCCTGGTCAGGGGGAAAAACACACTTGTTTGCAAATAAAACCTACAGCCTCTACCCATTTAGTCAGGGAGTCTGCAGGTTTTTCAGCTGACCAATAACGTGAAGAGAAGGGGGTTGAGTAGCGTTCAAGATGGTTAAATACAAATACCTCCACTCATGTTCCTAAAATATGAAAATCCCATTTTAAGAGTGGCTTAATTTATTTTTACATTGTGTGTGTGCACAGTAAAGCAAATATTCTTATATCAAGTAGTAGATAAAACATATCACTGGATACTTTGTCCAGAAAAATAAATGGGGATGCCAACTTTTCTGCAAGGTGAAATTCATATCTGGGTTATTTACACAATATAAATCATAACAATACTGTATTGTTAAGGGCCTTTAACAATCACCACACTGGAACCACGGAGGCAGGCTGTGTCGCTTTTAAACAGCAGCTGTAATTTATGGGATGACACACATCCCAGAAAATAATAGTCAACAAAATTAGACATGGCGAGAAAGTCAGTTCAAATGACTCAACTACTACTGAAAAGCAGTAACTTAATATTCATGTTCTCAATGACTTGATGTCATATTGGCGTGATCGTTGTGCAACACTGGTTCCACTTCCTCATACACCAGAAATATACAGACACTTGTGTAAGTTCTGCTGCCTCAGTCCCATACACAAGCACCAAGAGCATTTAGAAAATGTCTAACAATGGGACTTTATCCATGACAGATTTCACCTCAGCAGTCATGACAACTTCCAGCTGCACTTGTGTCTGCTGAGAAAAATAACCAGTCTAAAAATAAAGAGGTGGAACATTATCCACTTGGTAGCATTCATACGTTTACATCTTTGCAGCCAGTCCTGAAAAGCAGATTCTTTTCAACCCCATCCTATTCCGTCACAATACAGATTGTATAAAAAGGAGCTCATCTGAAAAGAGGTAAACCTGCAGAAAATATTTTTTGCTTCTCTATTAAGTGGTATCTAAAAAATAATCCCAACATCTGCAGATGCGTCATGGCAAGTATGGTGAAAAGGTGATAATGAAAAATGTGGACCACTTCATGTTCACTGTTGAGGTCACCGAGCTAAACCATGGAGGGTTTCCATCAAATATTTACTTCACACTCAGGCCGACTGCTGCCTTCCATTAAACCAAGGGGAAATTGTTCTGCTCTGACATAATACTGCAAAACAGCTAGAGAGCGGAAACAAGAGAAAAAGGGAGCTTATCAAGAGCTCATGTTTAGCCAGCGTGGCAGAATGCCATCTTTTTTAACATCTGTTATTACAGTAAGAACAAACACTTTCAGTCACTTGATCCAAGACGCATCTCCATGCAACTCTACACCCATACTTGATGAGGACCACTTTCCAAGACAGCATAAATGTCATTTTTGATGCTGCATAACAAAGTCCAAAAGGTCCCACACATTCAACTAAAGATATGAAAAACCTTTTGGAAAAAAAAAAAAAAAAATCTGATTTGAGCGCAGACATTCATTTTAGAGCACAACTTCAATTACATTAATGCTGCCTACACCTGCCACATCCAGTTATGTTCACACATTCCAATTAAAAACACAGGCCACCTCATTCTGTCAACAGCAGTTTTCTGCGGAGGACAGACGCATTCATTTCCCTAACCTGATAAAGATGCAGCAGTGCTTATAAGTCAACAATGACATTTACTAACCAACTTGAATTCACATTTAAGACTTTAAGGTTTCTGTATTACGTATAAATTAGATGATGGCTTCTATCCCTTAGGGCTCAGTAACATCAGAAAGACAATAGCCTTTCCTGAACAGTGGATAAACCCTCAAAACAAGCTTTTATAAAACTATAATTTTGGTAACAACCATTTGAATGGTTTTCAGTTTTGCCCCTTTGCTGGGTTGTAAAATTTGTCCTTGATCCGTGCTCCATTGTGCATTTGGCAAAAAAGATGCAACATAACAAAGATCCAAGCCACAAATCAGGATAAGCTGATAATAAAAAGGAGGGGCAGCAGAAAGAGCAGAGCAGTTGCTAAACGGCCTGCTTCTACATAAGAGAATAGCATAACCCTCAACTCAAACACTGTCAGGGCCTCAGCTACCAGCTAATACATTTGTGAACTTCACCACAGTCTAACAAACGTCTAGCATGCACAAATTTAACTAAGGGGAAAGAAAAAAAAAAAAGAAAAAAGAAAACGTGTGAAGATCAATATTTCCTTTTTGTGGTTCTTTCTTCTAAATGCAATATTGCCAGGCACAGCCAAGCTCCTCCACGAATAGTCAATGTTGCCAACCACCAGTAGCAACTTCACCACCTTCAACACACATGCTCATTCTCAGAGTCGCTTTTAGTACCGACATAAATATCAAATACACTTATTTTCACACAAAGTTATACAGAAATTGTAGTCCAACTCAGCCAAGAGGACAACACCAAATCATGTTGTTGAAGATAAATGCTGGTTGCCAAAGAGGTGCCAATACTTTTAGGCCCCAAAGGCGCTAAGGCTAATCATGCTTCTGTCAGTGGTGCAAAAGGATTTTTAAGAATTTGGTGTTACAGCTGGATAATATGGCAAGAATCTGGGAGAAGGCATTGAGTGTATGACAGTTTATAACTAAAGTTTTTGTCGGTGCAGTCCCCCCCCCCCCCCCCACACATTGTGAGGCGTGCCACCCCTCTCCCCACCACACAAGCGAGTGATATAGCTCAACACGGTGGCTCTACTTTGGCTTTTGTCATACAGACCGCATGAGACACCACCTAAATCCCCTTCCTGAAACCAAGGCCGCGGACCACTATTGTAATCAGATTCCAGCTACATTCCAGAAATCGTCCCATAACAATAAGATAAGGTTGCAGTTTTTCAACCTCTACCCAATCCTGAGTGACCAGGCGATACGCCATTTGAAGACAACATGCAACGTGTAAAGGCCTTGAGCCTACCCTCACAGGCCAAGCGGCTGGAAAAACGCACTGGGCAGGTTGCCAGATCCTCAGATACTTTGTCTTGCATATATACACAAAAAAAGCCAGTTCTTACACAGTCATTCCAACTTCCTCATTCCAAAACAGGAAAGACTGACGCCTTGGGCTCAGATATAAGAAACATGTCTGTATGTTGAGTGCAACGCTGACCATGCTGTCAGCTGCACTCCAAGATAAAACCTCTCTAAACACCACTTTCTTCATTGTGAGATTTATGACTAAATCTTACAATCCTTATCCTACTTCTAGTCCCCAATTAACAGGGATCTCAAAAGAAAGACAAAAAAACATATGGAAAGGTCTGTTCTTTTTTTCTAAACCATTTTTTTTAGTCCACATGCTTAAACAGAATATCACAAAATCCAAAACTGACTTTATGAATAAAAATAAAATAAAAAAATTGAGTTCAAAGCAGTCCTTGCCTCTTCCTGGTCAGCTACTCTCACCTCCCCCAAAGAAATACACAAAGCAGAGCCCCACTTAACAAGTCATGAGGCTAAAAACCCCTGGAGGAAATACTGTCATCTTGTTTGCACCTGCTAAATGCCACTGTTAAAAAACTTTTTTTTTTTTTTTTTTTTTTAAAAAGGACATGCTTCTAAACAACTAGCTTAAGTTCTGAGGTTTTGGCAAATATACAAGATGATAACAAGCAGTTTGTGTTTTACTGAACACAGAGGAAACCAAGATGCCAATGTTTTTAAAATTGGCCTACAACAGTGGAATGTTTCCATGATCAGATTTAATTATGTATGCATATTGATAGGTGCAGGGGTGGATTACCCCCCCATTGTGTAAACAATTAGTACCGATTTAGCCATGTGATCCTCTTCATCTATACAGGCTGGGCCAGACAGAGAGCACACCGATACACTGAGCAGGTGGCTCTTAATGAGATGTTCCTTTCCACCTGTGCTTGTTGAAAGACTTCTGGCCATCTTGTTTGGGAAGAAAGAACTTTTTTTGTATGAAAGACAGAAAGTTAAATGAAGAAAAAACAACTTCCTCTGACAGGATTGGACAAAAACTAAGGTGTGTCAGACATGTTGAAAGCATGCAATCGCTGACTAACAGGCAAAGCACTTTGTCATATTTTAGTGATCGTTTTAAAACAACTGGTATAATACATCTTTTGTAATATTTATTCGTTTATGCATGTTAAAAATTAGATTAAAACTGACTACAACCGATCTTCTGCTTCAGATGGTAGGAACAAACACCCCCCCCCCCCCCTAACACCCCCCCTAACATCCCATGCTTAGTTTCCCAATGCTTCCTGACTCATTTCCCGAGTCCATCAAGTCACAGGAAAGCAGGCTAAACACTTGTGAGTCCCTTGTGCTGCAGCACAACATACAGATAATGGTTAACATATCCAAACACAGCTGTACTGTTGGCCCCCGGGTGTTCCTTCAGTCCTCACCTGCTTTGCAAAGGGGAACCCCTTCGGCTAACATGGGAACTGAGTAACACAGTTCACCACAGAGGTCAAATATGTAAAACAAGCTGCCCTCTTAGCACATTAACCACCGTCATTACAAGTCAAACAAACCCATTGTCACCAACAAGCAAATGCACCCTTGGTGGCGTTCAGAGGGACTATAGAGGACTACTTGGGACTTCATCCCAGCTCATTTCTTGATTCAAGTTACCATTCATTACTGCAGGGTGAGTCACCAAACTTCCTACCATCAAAAATTGTGGATCAATTTTCAATAATGCCACTATTCTGCATTTTTGTCATCTTTCGTTCACAGACCAAAGTCCAACAGAAAAGGGAAAGGCCAGTTAATTGGGTCAGCAACTTAATGATCCCATCATGACTCATTAATGAGGGCATCCATTTAATTCACAATGATTGTGGTCCAGAAGAAATGGCCATGATTATCTGAGAATTTCGAATTACAATGCAAGGCAGCTAACCTTAGGGGGGTAACAATGTGTTTATTATAAGTATTAGATTTTTTTTTTACAAAACTGACTAGTTTTAAAGCGACTACCATTGGGGAAAAAAGCCCCTAATTTTGTTAATCAGGAATCCATAACAGCGACACATCTCTCCGTTTGCCCTCACCGATTATGACTACCACAGGCGGATTATGAGTGATTCCATACCAACAATTCTCCACGTGTTATGACCCAGGAAGGACGGAGAGCCGGTGGAGGACGCAATAATGTGTGAAACTGGGAAATGCACCGTGAAATCAGCGACTGCTATGACCCTCTTCCCCCCATTATCCTTCATTCGGCTGCGTTAGTAGGTCACGTCTGAACCCCACATCTGGACGACTACCGAATAAATACCATTTCTATTAAGGTCCATGAAACTGAAGGAGTTAACCATTTGGATGTTTTCTATGTTGAAGCTATTGTTCAGTTTGAAGTGAATGCCAGGGGCCAGGGCGCGGTTGTGCCGACTGCACCTCCGTCTATGTGGATCTATCGTTTTGGAGATAAGTTTTCCTGTCGCACTACGGTTAGCTACCCCACCCCGCTCAATAACGAACAACAGCACATTTTGCCTGGCTAAAAAAATATTAGAACGAACAGAAAATATTACTTCAAAACTACGTTTTCGTTGGCCGCCGACAGGAAACGTCCCAACGCTGCCAGTTAATAGCCATTAAAGGCTAACGCTAGCTGGGAAACAGTTCGTTTTCTACAGAGTATCCTGATTCATTTTAGCTAGCGCATGCATTTTCCTGTCTGGACTGCTGTGGTTAGGTGGAGGAGCACAATTAACACTAGGACAGAAAGCACACAAAGCGCTTTCAAATAATCCGGCTCGTGTGCCACTTACCTTCCAAGATGAAATAAAAGTATTCCCGAAAACTGAATGATAGAACACAGCCCAAAGCGTATCCCAATTTATTCCTCCCTCAGCCGGAGTCGCTGCTGCGCTGACAAGCGGCTCTGTGTGCTCTTTCCCCTGTCTGCCGCAAGCCCCGCCCAATTTCTTTCTTAAAAACAGCTATGTTTGGATCGTCTGCCCTGGACTGACAGTTCCAACAGCCAATCAGAGGGCACTGATGGACAAGGAGAACGTAGTTAATTTGCTTTCTTGAAATTCCCAGTCACTGTAAAAAAAAATATATTGGACTAAAAGCATTTTCATTTTTTGCCGTTATTCTTGTCTTTTTTTCCATAGTGCGTATATGATCGTTATTTTATATTATTATGTTATTACATTATTATGCTAGAAATCATTTCAGAATCGGTCAATTGGATCGTGTTTGTTTGTTTTTCTGCTAAATCTGGACATTTTATCCATCCTTAAGACAGCATTCAGGTGAAACTTCGTGAATCATCAGGATTTTGAATTTGCCATCAAGATGATGCACCAATAATTACATAGCGTTTCTCCGCGTCTGTGCAGCTGTGAGAATGGACGCGTAAAGCAGGTGGATATTAAACATCAGGATAAATACACACTGTTGCATGTGCTTTAGTGACAGCATCCCAAAAAATATTTGGATAACATTTAGATATCAATGAAAGGGATATTTTAAAGTGTGTATGTGTAATTGAAGTTTGTAATGTGTGTGTGTGGCACCAACACAATATCCCACGTTTTGTACCGTTTCACATATCACCTGATGGCATTGAAAATTTGTTTTGTCTTTACATGGGGAACACAATGTACCCCAAGTGCTTTACAACACCACAAGATGGCGATATATTTGCAAATTATTGTTTGCAGAGCCAAGTAGAATCCTCACAGCAGGAAACAGCTGCGGCCCATCATCCAATTAGTTTTCCTCAACCTACATCAGTTTGAAGATGAAACGTGACGCCTGTGTTTGTGGCCAGTTTAATTGCTGGGTATTCACGGACCAGGAAAGCAGAATGATGTACTTTGTTCGACAACAAAAGTGTTAATTAATCTGTTCTGTCATCCAAGAAGTATTTTGTTTTTTTCCCCCAGAACTTTTGAAGTTCAGTTTGTCAAACCTCACACAAAAGAAATTAAAAACAAACTTTTAGGAGGGGGGGTCCATTGTTAAAACCCAAATGCACTCTGTAGCGTGACATACATTTTAAGTATGACCAGAGCCAGCCAAAAAATGCCCTCTCCACAGAATATAAAACATAATGCAGTAATGGCACCACAGATATCTTTGCTCGATTTATGAAAAACCAATGGAACTAAAAGCCTCAGTCAAATGAAAAATGCATGGGGAATTTGAATAAATAACCAGCACAAACTATCTGCCAACCTGTCTCTCGCACTGCACAGTTCAGATATATTAAGACTTTGATGTCCTTACCTCTTCTCATTGATGGCTTCCTTTCCAGTCCCCTGTCTGGAGTTTTCAGCGGTGAATCGAAAGCCGCCTTCATCTGTGCCACTTTCAGAGACTGGCCTTGCTCCTCAGGTTTGACTTCCGTCGACTTTGGTCGTTCGAGGTGTTGCAGCTTTTCATGCAGTTGAATTGTCCCCCTTATCAGGTCTGAGACAGGCCTAGATTTTGGAGTGCCTTGGGATTTGTCCCTCAATAAAACACCTTCATCTGCCTCTTTGCAAGTTTTTTTATCCTTGTGATCTGAGGAGGCATTTTCTGAATCGAGTGTCAGGTTCTGGAGGTCCTGCTTCATGGTGCATGAGACCTGATTGCTTCTCCCTGAATAATTTGTGTCAGCTGCGACCACACCTGCACCCCCAGCTGGAGCAGCAGTGTCCTCACGGCTCTCTTTTACCATCTGCCTTTTCATAGGCTGAGTATCTGCCCTATCAGAGCTTGATGTTCTGCCCTCATGGTCAATCCCCGTCCTTGAGCGTGTTCCTTTAGTTTCAGTGGCTGTCTTCTCGGTTGTATGAACTTCGACAGAGTTCACCACCTGCCCGTCGGTCTGTGCTGGTGGGGACTCTGGTGGGGAATAATGCGATTTTGTGAGTGAGCTTTCACACACAGTCACTGAAGACGGAAAACCGATTGAATCTGGGGCTGCAATGTGAGTTTGCGTGTTTAAAGTTGCCTTAATGACACATTCAGGTTGATCATCTTGCTCGCTGGAGATCAGTGGTGTTGTTTTGTGAACTGTCTCCTTTGCTTCTGTGTCCTCAAGAGCTATGGTGTCCTTGCTCTGACTATCAACTTCTTTCTTTTTAGACAGAGACGGGACAGCCTCTTTTCTATTTCTCTTCAATAGCTTCTCCAAAATAGAGCTGGGCTCAGCGGGCAAGGCTACGTTTGATGCTGAATCTGAGAACAAGGTGTCATTTTTTTCCGCTGAGTCCACTTGTGGAAACAACTTCATGGACTCCATCCGATCGCCGTCATCAAAAAACTTTGATTTAGCCAAAGAGTGATCATTCAAACCTGAGTTTTTCTCACATGCTAAGACTCCTTCCTTACTTCTTTCATTTGGGTGAATGGTGTCTCTCATATCTAATAAAGACCCTTTCTGCCGACTGTTTTTCAAAGGATGTTGGCGTGTAGCTGGAGGCGGTTCCTTCCTGTCACTCAAAGAGCCTGCTGTCCGTGCACAGAACCCAACATCCTCATTCTCAGTCTCAGTAGTCACGGACACTTTATGATCTTGAACGAGCACCAACTCACTTCCTGTTTGAGCTCCACATGCCTTTCTCTTCATGATCGCAGATTCCTGTCCAGGGTTGCCAAATGGATGCAGGTCCCCTGAGTTCTCATCCTGTTGTGAGAAGGTTTCTTCAGCGTCATACTCCATCTGGAACTCTGAAGATGCTCGAAGCTGCTCCACAGTATTTCTTTCGTCTCCGTTGACTTGCCTAAACACCCTTTGTGCTCTTTCAAGCCTCTTCGTTCCTGAATTGGTCTTGTGGTTCTTGCCCATCCCATGTGGAACCAATCGGGCAGGCCAGTCTCCTCCTCTTCGACCACCTCCACCCTCCTTTCCTGCAGCCCCTCCCTGTATTACCTCCCTCTCGCACAAATGTATGTGTTTCTCACTAGAAGGTGTTACTGGCTCCAGCCCGGGGCTCTCATCCAGATCCGGAGAGTCTGCTTCGCCAGATTTTTCCCCTGTCTCAACAGCCTCCTCCTCACATGAGCTTTCTCCCTCCATGACATCACCTGCGTGACTGGCCAGAGCTCCAGGGCTGTGGCCCGGAGGCGTGGCCTCCAATTGGTCACTGAGGACCTGCTTTTCACCGTCCACTTTGTCCTGGTTCTGTCCCATACTGATCTGCAGATAAAGAAATTACGTTAAACTCACAGGAAACTTGAGTTATTTCGAGTTTGCACACTAAGTAATTAAAACTGTGGGAGAAAACAGTAAATTATGAGATATATGGACAAATGTCACCGTTTGTGTTTGTGTAGATTGTCAGCCATTCAGGTCATAGTCATTCTGAGAGCTTGAGTCAAGGCAACTGGAGTTCTTCTTGGATCATGAAGATATTTCACCTCTCCAGGCCTCTTTACTCCTCTTTAGAACTTCAGAAGAAGTCTAGTTGCATTTACTTAAGCCCTTAGGATCACAGTTTTATGATTTTAGCCTTGGAAAGAGACCAGGCTGCATGCTGCAGACAATTCATAGTCACACAAAAGTTATTTTCAGAGTGGGGAAAGTCGTCTTTCTTATGACTTCAGCTGCTACAGCACACTCTCTGTTGGGTTATTCATGCACTCACATTGTCCACACTGGCTCAATTTTTAGTCAGATTACTGTCACAGGATTTAGCAGCAATCTCACTTAAGATTCTTGTGGTTTATTTTAGACCCCTACGTCAGACAGAAGTATCATTACAGCTTTTTCTCCAATAAATAATAAACATTTTTTCTTCCACTTCATTAAAAGTCACGCAAATGTTATTGATCGTTTAAAAAAAGTAAAGCTTCATCACTTAAATAAATCCATGGCTCAGGAATCCTCAGTCTGATTGATTAATTCCCCTAATGGTGAAAATTCATAGTCTCATGACAGACTCACAACAAAATATTCCCAGACATTCAATATGTTAAATGTCAGCTTGTTGCTGTCATGAGTACAAATGTGGCTTCATGTGATCTAATTGATAGGAAAATCTTCTGCCCCACATGCTACAAAAAGGAATGTTAGCATTTTAAAAAACGCATGTTTATTAAGTAAATCATTCTATTCCCTCATTAGAAATAATCATCCCAGCAGAGTCTTGTTCTCTGTCTAATTCTGGATATTTATGTCTTTACTATACTATGGACCATTAACACTCATATAACAGTGATAAGGATGGTAAACAAAGATGAAAAAAAGTTATGTTCATCAGCCCCACAAGTGGGAAGAGGATTGTGTACAGCCTGAGCATGTTGCAGACACAAACTTTTCCATTACATGTCTAATTGCTAAATGAGTTTTCACCCGCTAAACTGCAGCAGTAAGCGGAGAAAATGGCGAAGCACAATGGACAATGATCTGGACCATGAGTCTGTTTACTGTCTGTGTGAAAACATATGACTGCTTCTGCCTTATCATCTGACAGACCTACACACTGGCCAGACACAGGGTGGAGAAAGGTAATGTTATCCGTTTTAGAGATGCATGAGGAAGCTGTCATACAGAAGAGAATATGCATAAAAGGAAAAATATATATTCAAATGCACACAGAAAATGTGTGAAGACTTCGGAGAAGTGACTTACATGTTTTGCTTTAATTCAGATCAGGATGAATCCACAATTTAGATGTAGAGGAATTTAGATCAATAGATGGTCCTCCACCTACTCTGTCTGTGTCAGGAATCCCTTCCCTGAGGGCATATCTACCCTTCTTACAACCAGTTCATTATTCTCTCTCTTCCTCTCTCCAGTGATCATTTGATGACCATGTGCTTTGCTGCCCTTACATACCCAGTCATACAGGAATTCAAAACAAGCCATGAACCACAAACATCTTACAAAACAAACTTTTCCCCCTTTGGAAAATACGTCCTGTATCTCTTTTTTTTTTCCACCAACCCCTCTGCTAACAGCACAATGGCGGCACAGGCCAGGCTGATGCCATCTTGCTGCCTTCACCATACGGTGGATTTAACATTGATCTCCCGTCCTATGTGATTGAGACTTACCGGTTAGACGTCGTAGTCAAGTCGATCGCTCTCACTCACGACTGACAAGAGTGCTCTTTGTTGGCTGTTTGGTGATGATCAGTCCTCCCTCAAATGCACAAGCAATGGGTTGCCTTATATTGCATCCATGTGATGTCACAGCACATTTGACTAATACAATCAGGGAAACTTAGGCCTCTAGTTTAACTTTTTGCTCCCTTGAGAAATCTCGCAGGAACTAATTTCCATATCTCCTTTTCTGTTTGGTAGAGTTGAATCACCCATGAACTTTAGTTTGGTATGGTCTCATCGCCATGCTTTCGCTTTAGCTGCACTGCTCTAAGAGGTCATTGTTTTTTAATATATCATCTGAATCATTGTTTTCTATGTTTATTTTCTGTAAAAAGAGTCAGTTTTCGTCATTGCAGTTTTCATTTCTTTGTTTGGATCTTTAACACTTTTGAAAATGTTTAAGTTTTTCTGCATTTAAAAAAATCGCATGCAGGTTGATTTGATGTTGTGCTCTGTAAAATGTTCAACTCGGTTTTGTTGTATGTTTCACACTTTGGGGCCGCCATAATTGCTGTTGGACAATTGCAGTCAAGCTGGGTCCGTCCAAGTGTGTGGAACATTATCTGTAAAACAGCTTAGACCATTTCTTTTGTTTCTCTGGGTTTCTATAGTTACAACCAAAACAGGATACTCCTCAGATAATAAAACAAAAGTGGAGGTATGGCAGCCAAGAATTCACAGGCAGAAGAAGGGGAAGAGGGGCTGGCCCACACCCAGTGCCTACAGAATGAGGGCTACTGTGCTACCAGACAGGCTGCTAGTGTTCTCACCAGCCAGTGGTTTTGTGTTAGCAAGGTGTTACAGGTCACTTTCTGTCTCGAAGAAATAAAGAGAAAGTTATCTCTGATCCAAGACTGACATTAATTCAAAGCAGTCTCCAGAGGTTTTTACGGCCCTCCTGGCACGCTGATGAGGAGCGAAGTCCCTCAGCCACTGATATGTTTACAGTAGCAAGACACATTTACCATCAGGCATAATCCTTCTCATCAGTCTCGGGTTTAATATAACTAATAAAAAGTTTTTTATACAGGTGTTCAGACCCAAATGACCCTTAATAATGACTGTGCTACCTCACTTCCCTCTACGTCTTGTTCTGCAGACATACAGGAGTATATAACTTAAGCAATTCACTGATGTCATGCAAACAGTTACGGGAAGCCAAATGTTATATAAGCTGGCCGTTCGAAAATGCCTGTGCTGCCAAAGCATACAGATGAGGGCACGGTGATGTAATCTCAGGATACACGCTGCATTATGGACCCGTTTACTGTCTACATATATTCTACTTTGGCCCAGAAATCTGGGTCTGTTATTGCCCGTCCAATCTAATTTTGCTCTAACTTGTCCCTCATGGCATAACAATATTATTCAATTCATTCATATTATTAACTCATCTGTTTTGAATGACGTGCTCACATAGAGAATAAATCGGAATGCCGGGTAACTTATGTAAAAGAAATGTTTATTTCCTTAGTTAACATACAGTATATCATCTTTACCAACATAAAAAGTGCAATATGCATTAAAACTACAGCAATGTACAGTACAAAAATTACTGCATACTTAAATATAAAAAGAAAATGGTTACAAAACTGAAGTAACCTATTGTGATCATTGTCACAAGTGGCAAAAGCTTCAAACTCATTGATGATATGAGCATAAAAGCTTAACAGCTATGAGCCTGGTGACTCCTCTGAGTCTCTTTCATCACTCCCAAAGGTGCAAAAAGAGGTGACAGCATTTAAATATGTACGTAATTGACGTAATGATTCACATACTTTGTACAGCTTGAATGGCGATTCCAATTAAGACAGCCAAAAATAACTTTGGTGTTCCACATTTCAGAAAGCACGAATGAGTTGTAAATGTTGGCAGCACTTAAAAATTAATTTAAGCAACAACAAAAAAAAAAAGCCTAGATATCATGTTCGCTTAACGCTATATTTTCAGTTATCATATGTCAGAAATGTACAGCTAACTTGAGCTGGAGAAAAGCCCTCGCAGACTTTCTAACTTCTGACTCTCACGCCGAGCCTTTTGTAATTTGGAGCCAGGCGGTGTGACTTCTCCTCACTCTGCGCTCCCAAGACTGTCGTACTAGGTAGGGAAAGACGAGGTTAATAACATTGTTCCATGGTTGTTTTGGAAGATAGCTTGCTTTGTACCGGTCTTTTACCGCTCAATTAAAAAAACAAAAAACACACAGTGCAAAGAAAACAAACTCAGAATGCTTCTGTTCCGTTTGCTGAAAACAGTGCGTCTGGCAAAGGTTATGGCCTCCTCTTTCATCCCCACTCACTCATGGACACGGGCGTAGATAATGCATTAAAATACGCTTCAGCCTTAAAAACTGATTTCCTCACTAACTCAACATCACAAAATGAAGTGAATTATCTCTGGCCTAGTGTGTGTCTAGGCAAGAGCTCCTTGAATGCAACATGAGGTAACTTATTAACCTCACAACCCTACAAGAAACCTGTGATAAACTATTCTACGTCTGAGCTTCTGTCAAACTTCCCGAGGGTTTCAAGTTTATCAGCATTGGCTACCAATTCATACCTGACAGGTAAAGGTAATGTAAAGACCAATCTGAACCAGGTTAAATGTTATAGAGTGCCTTGTACCATCTTCTCTGGCAGTTCCTCACACAGCTCTGTGCCTCTGGTCTCTTGGGTAAGGCACTTTGTTTGTCCATGATTCAAATAAAGTTAGAGGTGAACTGATGGCTTAACACATTTGTCAGATACAGCAGTATGACTTTCATCACTGAACAGCAGTTTGAGAAACGATGTGGCAAAAGAGAAACTCCTCTCTTTATCTAACACTTGGATTTTCTTTTTTCTTTTCTTTTTTCTTCTTTTGTTTACTTGGGCTCATCTGTCCTGTTTCCGGAATCTGTGCGGCTTTCTCCATTCATGGTCTCCTCCCGGCATACATACATAAATATATAATCTCCACTCGAACTGTCAGCTTGTGGGCTCACATGGAAGCGCTCTCTCGGGAGTGTGCGGGTTTTTGTGGGGCTGGGACGCGGGGGAGACGGCGGGGGGGTCCCACTCCAGCCCCCCCTCCGGCTCTGGGGACAGCGAGAGCAGCAGCAGGGTCCCCGCGTCCGAGGAGCAGGCCGAGCACAGGTCCTCGGAGGAGAAGGTGAGGCTGCCCAACTTGGCCAGCGAGTTGGACCTCTTGAAGCGCGACGGCACGGTGAGGCCGGCCAGCCGCATGCGGGTCTCGATCTCCTGCGCCCGCTGGCGCACCAGGCCGGGCTTCCCCCGCACGCTGCGCAGGCTGTCGCTGCTGGAGCTGCGCGTCAGGGTGGAGCCGTGAGGGGAAGAGGTGGGCGTCAGCAGCCCGGACCCCGCCACCCCCAACAAGGCTTCGTTGGTCAGCGGCACCACCAGTGGCTCCAACCGCACTTGGCATGGCGTCGAAGATTTAGTGAGGTCACCTGTGAAGTGGGAGAGGTCCTCCTCCTCCTCCTCTTCCTCCTCCTCCTCCTCCTCCTCGCCGTGAGACAAACTTTTCCTGGACGTTTGGCATGCGTGCAAAGGCTTCAGAGAGTGCAGGCTCTCCTGGGACGAGCCCGAAAGCTTCTCCAGTCTCTCTGCGCGCCGGCGGACCAGCCCGGACCGCCGCAGCTGTGAGAGGGTCTCCTGCTGTTGCCCGGGGCAACAGGCGACTACAGGCGTCGCGTCCTCCAGATCTAATTTCATCAGCTCAGGAAGAGCGTCCACAGGAGTTTCTGACCGAGCGTCATTGTGTTCATCCTGGTCGTGGAGCTTCGCGGACTGCTGTGGCTCACCGGACGGCCCCTCCTGCTCCGGGGGAACGGCGGGTCGGGAAGCAGAACAACTGGCACAGTCACACAGAGGGCCATGGGGGCACAGCGGCCCCACTGATGGGAGGAGGCCCTCGGATGAGGAGTGGGACTGAGCAAACGAAGCACTTGGGACTTTGGAGGGAGGACTGGGGTTAAGGCAAAATTTAGGAGTGGACGCAGAAGAATCTTCTTTCAGGAGGGATTTAGTTTGATCCCACCTGGACAGCATAGAAGCATCGCTTGGAACAAGGTCGGAGGGTGAATTTTCCTAAATAAACAAACAGACATGTCAAAAAAACTAAATGATTGATAATGCCAAAACGATTTTAAAACAAGTCAACCATATGGCTAAAACTTACATTGCGTTTATGGAGAATGCCCACATTGTTGTTGTTGTTGGAGTTTTCATTAAGCGTTGCCAGATCCATCCCGATACCCTCCGCGTCCCCCTCCGCCTCACCGTCCTGCGTTTCCCCATGCCCTCCTTCACCCCCCCCTCCGTCGTCCGGCAGCATTAGAACCTCCATCTCTGCCTCTTCCTTTTGGACGTCCTCCTCATCCTCCTCCTCCACCGTGCTGAACTCCAGTCTCAGGCGCAGCTCTTCCAGTGGCTCCGGCCCTCGGCTGCACGTTTGGGCAGCGGTGCCCTCTGCCGAGGGCCCAAAGTGGGGCAGGGGCAAGGCCTCCTGCCCGTCGAACGCCTCGTCATCCAGCAGGGCATCTCGTTCCACGTCCTCGATTTCTATAAAAACCTTCTCCATGCCGAGAAGGGGAGGGCCGCGCACGGGGGTGGATGGTTCGCTGTCTAGTGCAGAGTCAGAGAGGCGGCGAAAATAGTAATTGTTGTAGGCCGGGTCGATCTCCAGCGCAACGGTCCGTAATGGGGAAGGGCACGCAGCGCCTTTATCAGACAGCGCCTCCTCACAGCAGGGAGACATTCCTGGTGCTGGAGTCAGGTGCCCTCCCTCCCCCCCCCCCCAGCACTGAGCCAAACCCTGCTGACCCTCTGCCATCTCACAGTCTGTGTCGGGATGCCAAAGCTTGTTGTGACGCTGTTTGCTGGAAATAGAGAAGGAGCACAACATTTTTTTTTAAGAAACAAACAAAAAAATCCCAAACAAGTTAACTAAGTTAAGGGAACTAAGTGCAATAATAATAATAATGTGCATTATAATTACAGCTGGACTTTGTCAGATATGCTTTATCGCATATTTCTCAAATCTGCTGGACTCTTTTTATTTTTTGTATTCTGTGTTTGTGCTGTAACGATGCTGGAATCTTAATTTCCCTGAGGGAACCCTCCCAGAGGGATCAATTAGGCTGTATCTAATCTACTCACCGACATGCACACACACTCAATGAAGGGACTTTACCTGGCGTCTAAAATGCCCTCGTACTCCGCCAGCTGTCTCATGAAACTCGGGTTGGGTCGCGTGATATTCCTCTTCTGCTTCACAAAGTTGTAAGCTTTCTCCAGCGACCAGCCGTACTCCTTCATGGCATAAGCGATGACGGTGGAGGCCGACCGACTGACGCCCATCTTACAGTGAACGAGACACTTTGAGTGATTCTTTCTGTGGGTGAAAAATCAAACGTGGAAGAACCTTTATTTTGAAAACGTTTTTAATGGGCTGCAGATTATGTATTCAAAATAGTCTAAACATCTGCTGTGCCGTCTCTGTACCATTTCCTATGACGCTGATGTTTTTTCTGCACAGACTGGGGTCATCTTGTGTATTTTAAAGGATTTGCAGACTTAAACCTTGAGTTTATCTAACGGTTATATTACATTTTAACTTAATCAGATAAAGGCTCAATTTAATTTATCTAAAAAGCAGATTATTACATTTAGTATATTTCTAAAAAAGATAAACATCTCTCCGTTCATACAAAAATAGCGATTATCCCTCTAAATCAAACATTGCACTGTGCTGGTGGATTTCTTTCCTGGCATTAAGTTATTTGAATTAATTACTTTATTGTAAATCTGTGCTCTCTGTCAAAAGCAGGTCCTCAAACCACATAAAAATACTTAGAAAGGAGATCTTAAAGTTCCCTCCCACATGGGATTGCTCTGTCCCTCTGAGGACTCACTTTGCCTTCACGATAAAGTTGTAGGTGTCGTTCCAGTGAGCCAGCAGGTCAGTGGCCTCTTCGTCGTAGACGCGTATGTTGTGATAGCTGAACGTCCCTGGAAAGAAGTTGTCTATCTCCCTGGTAACGTTGAGGATGTAGCCCACCCTGGGGAGGGGAGATAAAGTTAACACATGCTCAACATTCTTTCTCATTCAAATCATAATGAAAATATGCGTTTTGTGTGGTTATCTCAGCTTCTCCATAATCTAAAATAAATCACCCCGTCTCTTGCAGCTCCTCCAAATTAGATGCATTCCACTCAGATCCCTAAAAACAAACCAGAGAACAAATGTTTAGACTTCCAAGTTCTCAGAAGACTGTTCTCTCTCCAAAACAATGATTTCACCGAGGATCCCTTTGGGATAGAAAGTAAAATGAGTAAGTTCTCTCAGTTATTCTCAGAAACAAACAGCAGCGTTTTGTGGAAATGAGAGACGGCTTTTATTTTCTCACCAGGTAAACGTGGTCAAAGATTAGGGTAGCTTTGTCCATCTGGCCAAGGATCAGCAGCATCTCATTGTCAATAAACTCCTTGTACTCTTTCAGGTTGCAGTTCATGTGCTGCTCCAACTCTGTGCGGATCTAAAATAAATGTTGACATTTATATTCACGTGGGATTTCTCTTTACATTTTTCTTCACATTTTCTGAGGTGCCTTACATTTCACTATTACAAAAAAAAAGAAGAAAAAAAAAAGAAGAAAAAAGAAATCCATCCTGCTATAACATAATAATAACACGTATTTGGGATGTAGTGTTGTGGCTAGTTAAAGCTAAAACTGAAGTCTGGCCATAATCACTAAACTAATTAAATATTTTATTGTCGAGTTTGGAATGGCTTTAACAGTCCTATGATCTGAAATTCCTAACACAGCAACTTGAAAGTGAGACCACCTTAACCTACATCAGAAGAGGAGGTGTTGGGCCATGGCTCACAACACTGTGTGAGCCATGGGTTGTTAGGAAGCAGTGGGGTGTGGAATCGGAGCTATGTGCCACAAATACTGTTCAGGATGAACTTCCACATCAATGCAGCCTGGTCAGAAACAAATGCTGGGACTATAAAACCAACCTAAGCCAATCATTACGATGCTGGACTGAATATGCCTCATAATCAAATAAATGCTATTTGTTTTAATTTTAGCCACAAACTGCAAGAGCTGACATGTGTGTAACTACTTGGAGGATAAAGAGTGCCACCGCAAATTAAACCGACACAAATCAAACGCTGCCTTTTACCAGTTTAGGAGAATGTGGATTCTACCTGTTTGCAGGTGACGTTCTCCAGATCTTGGCATGTCATGATGCTTCTGAGCTTGTTTTTAATAAGGCACTCTGTCCTCTCTCGTTCCGAAGGCCTGGGAAAGATAAATGGTTACACCCAGAGAAACGGTAGCTTCCGTCTGCACGTGGCCAGCCGTTTCTGTCCAACTTTACTTACTTGTCCACAAACATGGTGGGCGAGTCTGGTCGTGTGGTCTCCAGGTCCTTCATTGCGTTCCACTCATTAATGCAGCTCTGGTCCGAAGCAATGCAGCTCTCGTAGTAGCCCAGCCAGGTGAGAGCCATGCCTCCAGGGAAGTAATTAAACCTGCGTGACACCTCACACGCCTTGTGCAGCACCTGCAAGGCCGACCTAGGTTGTTTTTTATCAGAAAAATAAAGATTAGGGGGGCTTGTGTGCGCCCGATTTCCTTCTAGTGAAATTAATTAAATGGATGTGGTATTGACTGGTTTTAAGCAAACGTGTGCACGTTTGTCCACATGCCAGCAGGTGGCACAATGAGTCAGCAACTGCCTGAACCGCATGGCTGCAGCAGCATATGCCTTTCAGGAGTCTCATGCAATTAAGTGCACTTTTGTAGGCAGACACGGCAACGTCAGCGGCTGATTATTGCTCACCACATGGCCTGCACCGACACGGGTTTGAAGACGTGAGTCCGACCTGCCGTGTTCACAGTAAAGCCCCTGCAGGTCGGACAAAACACACGGTCAGAGGTTGAGCTGCCGCACAGTGCAGGGAGGACAAATGCAAGCATTTAAAGTGCTGGGGGACTCAAAGCCCCGGGGCACAAAGCAGAGAGCGCTCACCCGTCTCCATCCAGATGGATCTTTGTGTCGCTCCACAGAGGTAGCACCATGCCCACTGAACAGCTTTTACTGGCAGAGGAGAGGAAACGTATCAATACCAGTCAAACACACAGGGCTGAAAGGAATTACAATGAAGAAGTTCTCATTTTCTTATCAAATGTCAAATGTTCCCAATGACGCTTAATCATTTGAAATTTAATTTTCCATCTGTAACACATGAGCACAAAATCTAAACGTGTGCCGTTTTAAAAGAATGGATTCACAGAGACGGTGACGATAAACAGACTCTTTAAAATGATGGAATGTCCCAAAATGAGCGTGGAGTTACCAGTCTTTGCTGGTAAAGTCGATGCCTAAGAGGATGTTCTCCTCTGTGTCCTGTCGCCCGCTGGTGTACACCACCACCATGTAGCGCACACGATCTGACCAGCCGCTCTCCAGCCGCACCGCCTTCAGGTCGTGTCGTGATTTAGGAGTGGACAGAGAGGGACAAAAGCAGAGCATAATTGTCATATATGATGATTATAGTGCCAGTGCAAAGCTTTGAGCTGTTAGAAACAGCTAATGGTTCAGAGAAGCATTACAAAAAAAAGGAGAAAAAAAAGCCCTACTGATGAAGTCTGTTTTAAACAAAGAGTCACAGCTGGACGTGTGAAGGAAAGCGGACCACAGAGTTCATGTAACAGTTTAACCACATTTCCTTAGGATGTGTGAGACCGGGACACTAAATAAGCCCACTTCACACAAATGCATGCGCGCACACATACCATGGAAACATTTTGTAATGCTCTCCTGAGTGTGCTCAAACATCTCATGAGCTAATAATTACAGTGGGCAAATAAGCATCCTAAGTGCTCAATAAAACGCATTCTGGAGGCTCTCAGTCATTGGCTGTTAGGCGTACATGTGTGTTCACGTTTCTGTCTTCATCCAGACGGATTTCGTCTCTTACCAGTTTGATTCTGTCCTCTGAGCGGAGAATGTTTATCATCACCTGCAGGTGTTGAGGTAAGTCACCTGTAGAGGAAGATGGTGGATGGCTTTAATATCAAAATAGATGAGAGCATAAATTGGTATTTCTACCTTTTAGGGACCCCCCCCCTTCTATTGAGCTACTTATATCAAACAAATGCCTGCATCTGTTTTATCTCAACAATCTGACCACAGAAAAGGAAATATTTCACTGACACAAACGGTTTTATCTACAAAGGTGTATTTAAAGAATGACTTGAATGTGGCTCAAGCTGACAGATGCTAGCAAAAACTAAATGAATTCAAGTTTAAGACCTGCTTTGAGGTGAATTAATCAAAATGCCTTCTTATATACTATTGATTCTTCTTTCAAAACGTATTTTTCATTCCACATGATGGGCAAACAGTTAAACTACAGTCAAAAGATCACCTAAACTCTCCTCTAAAATGTTTGTTACTAATTTCAACCTTTGTACTGAAGCTCTAACACATATTTAAAGTAGCAACATGTCAAGTATTTCAAACTCCACACAGTTATCATCTGGCTTGTTTAATAAAAGCCACGAATATCCACAGGCCAGAGCTGCTAAAATAAGTTGATAAAAGCATTTAAATGTCACTTTGCATTTAGTAGTCTGGATCAATATGGATCAATGTCAAGTTACAACTAGGCCCTCGTGTGTCTGTGTGACAGAATAATAACAGCTTCAGCCTGCAGACATCAGATCCAAACATTTAAATGTTCTGTATCCGACAGCTGCATCACGTCTATATTGATCTGAGCAGTTAAATTAAATTAATTATTATAGGCTACATCCATGCAATAAAGGATAATATTCACTCTTCCAAATGAATTACAGAATTCTTTGAAGAGAAGGCCGACATTTATATAGTTCCAAACAGTGGGAGCCATGTAATGTCTTACAGGCCAGAGAAACACATCTTCAAAAACTACAGAGATGTTTCTGTATTTCCAGCCTCTCCTGTGCATCTTATTTTCCCACAGCTGGCTAATGATGAACTTCAAGCCACTGATGGCAGAGCACCAGCTTTCAGAACAAGAATGCCTTTATCAAGCCCTGCAGAAGTCAGCCTTGCCGTCTCCCACTTCTGCCCTAAATCCCACAGTTACTGAGAAATGACACAGCTATTTCCCCGGGCCAATGTTTCTGAGGACAAAGTGGGTCCGGCAAATATGTGAGGTACCTGACAAGTTGGCCAGTGAGATGGACTGGCCAAATGACTTGGCCCCAGTTTGGCTGCTGGCTGCTGGTGAATTCCCATCATGCCACTTGACTGTCAGGTCAGCCTTTTAAAGCAGCTACTGTGGCTTTCAGTAGTGACATCTTTAAAACAGCCCTGCGATTAATGATGCCGGGCAGTTCGGTAATGTGGCAAAACTGGCCACTGTGGGCAATAGTAAATGTAGCAGTTGTGGAAATGCAAACAGCACATGGTACTTTCTGTACAATAAACAGGGGACTTTTGCCCAACAACCTACAAACGGTGTCATCGCAGTCCCTTATGAATGATTTCCACAACTAGAGACTGCTTCCAGTGGTCACCCAGGCAGCGTGGATAAGCGAGAACTTGTGGGGCAGGGTGAAAAGTAGGGCCCTGCTTTAATCGTCACAGAAGTATTGCTCGCGGTGCATCTATACGCTGGATTTAAGTCCTAATCTGCCTACGGCCTGGAACACGTCCTCCTCACCTCAGCCACAAACATCTGCTGCAGCATTAAGGGTGGCAGCACCTGGCCTCGTCTTAGAACGGCAAAAAAAAAAAAAAAAGGTTGATGGGACCAGAGGGGTGGCTGGATGGCGTGGCGGCTGGGCGTTGGGCGGCGTGGGTCTTACCTGCATGTTTGTGATGAGGATGTGCTTTTTGGCCCTGCTGACTGCTGCCCTGCTGCAAGAAGAGAGCGGCGCCCTTCACCATGAAGAAGCTCTCGCTCAAGCTGCAAACGAGCGGGAGAGAAGCGTTAGAATCTTCAGACCATGTGCACCGGACACAATAATACATACAAGCTTCGCCACTCCGATTTGTTTAGTAAGAAAATGGACCAAACAGAGAGGGACACAAGACAAAAGTAAACTTTTGACAAATTTTGACAAGGTGGCTGACTCAGTTACAGGGAGCCAACGAGATAAAGCATAAATCACGGCTGTCTGCTGCCGGCGAATCAGCTCAACGGCTAAGGAGAGAAGCCAAGCTGCCACGTTACAGAGAGGCCGACTTCGGGTCTGCAGCCGCCATGAATCAGGCTTTGATCCTGAATGCTCATCTGTCTTCTTTCTGCTGCATGGGCTGCACGCACATTTGACTTGTCAGGTTTTTTTTTGTTTTTTTTGCTGGCCTTTTTTTCTACAATGCAATGCAGACCTAAGCAACTGACCGAGCTGCAGTTCTTTGGTGCGCTTAACTTTCACAGTGACTTAAAAGCAGCAATTAAGCACCTGACATCTGCCTGTAAAAATCCTGACTTTTCCAGGTTAGGCTCTGGAACTGTCAACAGATGACACACGTTAAGGAAGTGCAGTAAAAACAAGTGAGGTGTTTTCTCCAGGCTGAATTCGATCATTCCATTTCGCTGAATAACAAAGCGCAGGCATTCATGAATCTACCTGGCAGCAGGGCGGAACACATGTACTCTGCGTGTGCAGTCTGGTAAACCAGGGCATCGTGAGGAAAGCACGGAACCGATGAGTGACAGAGCCAAAACAAGCAATGCTGGCTACCAACGACACACCTGTCTCCACAAGCACCCATCATGACATCAGCTCAATGCGGTAATTAGGTATTAGCGTCATGATGCCTAATCCAAACCGTCATTAAAATTTCATTTCCAGTTGAAACTTTGAATGAGAAATGCTGGGGGGAAAAAAAGGAAAAATTCTGCTTAAAAGCTAATGGTTCCAATAAATGCCTTTAATTTGATTTCAATCATCCTCAAATTCCCCGTTAAAGCAACTTTTTTTTAAATCACAACTTCAGATGCCACACATGTAGAAAAAATGCTGACCCGAGAAGAATATTTTGTGGGAACAACGAAATTAACCTGAACCCCCCCTGCATATTCTGATTTCCTCCAGCTCTGCAGAAAAGATATTTCAGTGACAAGGCACGAGGGTGGAAACCTCCCCAAAATAGCTTTTTTTTGTTGCTTTGGTAGATTTTTATCTAACTTTGCTCTCAGTTATGGGTCAATACAAAAGAAATTATAGATAATACGAGGCAAAAGTAGAACACAGAAGAGAAAAACAAGGACCTAAAGATAAAATTTATAGAATGTGTAAATCCATGTTACATATCCTTTCTTTAACTTTTTTTCCTGTCTGTCCGTTGGTCTAAACCGTATTAAACCAGATTTTTCATTTCTTTTTTTTTTTTCAAACAATAAACCAAATGAAATGTGTAGACGTGGGAAACTTGTACTCATGAGTAAATCAAGAGCCATCCAAACTGTCCAGCCTCATCTCTCCAGCCTCTTGCTCTGAAACACCCTACCATCAACTTCTCCACAAATGTGGGAGCTTGAAATGCAACCAGTAGCAAAGTAAACATCTACTATAATAGAACATTTTGCCAGAAGTTATGGTCTAATTGCCTTCTTCTGGATCATATAGTCAAAACCTTAGACGAGACCCATTAAAAAAATAAAATAAAATAAAAAGACTGAGAGAAAGACAACTCTGCCACACTTACATGCGGTTTATCTCCTTCTGGGTCAACACAGCATTCTCCACAAAATATGGTATCATCTTCATCACGGCCTCCTGAATGGGTTCTACAACCAGATGCATCCTGTTGACGGGGGTGAAACTCAGGCCTGTCCAGCACCAGCCAATTCCTCCTCATACATGTCCAGAAACAACGAGGGAACACAGAGAGGGCCGACAGCTTTAAGTGTTGCCCCGCAGTTTTTGAGTGACAGCCTGACGGGAAGCCTGCGCTCATCTGCTCTGCTCAGAGGAAAAGTGCCGTCTGTTCAGACGCCACTCCCTCTGGCTGCCTCCTCCTCCTCCTCCCTCATCTGAGCGTCTCTGGTAACGAGTCGGCCTCCTGCCTGCAGGGACACACTGCAGCCTCCACCCGCTGCCTCAGGCTCCCGCAAACCAGTCCCCCACGCTGCTCAGTCTGTTCTGCCTTTCACAGCATTTTGCTTTACACGAGGGCTGCGCATCGCGCCAGTGAGCGAGAAGCAAGAGATTGGACTGGAGTTCCGGAAAAAGGCTTTGCTTTCTTTGGAAACAAACTCAGAAGAACCTTAAGAAAAGAATAAAGATAGGCTTTGCTGTTGGCCAAACTAACTCTCAAAACAGAACAAACTAACAAAAAAAACATTTCTCTTTGGAGAAAATCTACTCAGATAACAAAGCACACTTGAAGATTACTGGTTGAAAACCTTTGAATGGGACGTCTGCATGAGCATACCACAAAGGGTCAACAAACTACAGGGCATCTCCTGCACACATGGACTAAGCATAGGTGGAGCAGGGAGTGAGAAGAACTGGCATTGTCCCAAACCCACCCAATCTCATTATACGCGGGTTTATAAGGGAAGGATAATCTCGTCTCCCTCCTTCAAGTGGCTAGTTCCTGCTGTCACTCACTCAAGTGGCCAGCCACCAAATACACTGTGAGATTAAGAGAGATTAGATAGGTTAAGGAGTGCATTTCTTTTATGAGCCATACATCTGCAACACCAGGGAACATTCCAATACAACAGAAGGACAGTAAAGGACAGAAGTGACATTCGATTAATAATAAAGCAAATTGATTGAAATGACAAATTGGGAGCTGGAAAATAATTCAGAATTTCACACACTCCTTTCAATAAGATTTGAAAGATCCAAAAAGAGGGAGCAGGATGGTTTATCTGGGAGGATTTAATGACAAAATCCAGTAATAATGTGACCGTCAAGCAAAATAATAAGATAGCCTTTAACTTTTCTTTGAAAAGATACAATGTCTGGTTAGTTGGCATAGTTTCGACCCAGTTGGTACTGGGTTCACGAAAAGCATGCATCCAACAGCTGAATGAAGAGAGAGCAGGTGAAGAGACACGGCTCGGGCAGCTCTGGGTTTGAGGTCAAGCTTTAGGAGCAGAAGGTAAGGCATGTAATGGAGTCCCGTTGCCCTAAGCATCCTGATGCATAGGACGAGCAAAACAGCACCAGATGTCCTCCAGCTCTAAGCCACTGCCCAGAGTCCCCAGGTGACACCGCCGAGGAGGAGGAGGTGCCACAGCGCTTTGGTCATGTTTCGATTTTTTCCAAGTTTGATGTTGAGAGGAAAAAATAAAATAAAATGTTTCTCACTGACACAACTGAAGGAAGTTGAGAGGTGGGGAGGGAAACAAATGGCCCTGAAAGACTGGGATTTGATGCATCTGCTTTAGCTCCTCTGCTTATTTTTTTTTATCCCCGCTGCATATTCTGATCCCAAAACCAAAAACAAGCATATTAAGATAAGCATATCTCATCTTGATCAGTGATAAAAGTGAAGTATCACAGCCTTGCCCGTAGCCGTGTCTAATCCCTGCCCCTCACGTCAAAGCACAGGCATTGAGGCCTGCTCTTTCCCAATCAGCGGCCTCCGCCAACTCGTCAGCGAGCATGGTGGTTAAGTGAAATCATTCCTTGGTTCGGTGCCACAGACACCTGTACCATGTTTATGTTGGCCCTCATCAACCCCCGCCCCCCCGCCGCTCCTCAGCCTTGCAGAGGTTTGCCAGGAACAGCAAGTACAAATCCTCCCACTTGTCCATCACCTGACGCAACTACGCCAGAGGTACGAGAGAGCAGTACGTCCTGGTAAGAATTTCTGTCAAATAAAAGACAACCGAACACGTCCATACTATAAACAGGAATGCATTGCCAGCGTTATTGCATAACGTGGTGAGCGAAGCTCAGAAAAATGGAACACATCTAGCAGCAGGTCAGGACTTGTGTCATGCACCCAGCACTCCTGCACACACACACACACACACACATATCGCCTGGGGACATGACATAGGTCATGGCGTAGCTGAGAAGAAAACGACGCATCTGTTTATCCAATGGTCAGAAACCATCTTCTGCTTCTAGAAAGATTTCTTCTCGATGACGTTTCCAGTAAACTAAAGTTTTCAGCGGTAACTATGTGGGGAGACAAAACAAAACAAAAGAAAACGTGGAGCAACCCACATTCACAGGAGAACAGACCACTGTGTCAAAATGACTGACAAACAAAGGCCTGCGCTATCATCACTGCATCGACTTGACAGGTCAGTTCAGAGCCCATTTGTGCTGTAACGCAAGTCTTTGTTTCCATCTGGTCTAAACTAAAACGAAGTCTGTCCATTATACGCTCAGTATTTGTGTTACAGCACTATCGAATTCAACCGGGCTCCATTTAAGGTATACACGCCTTCAGTATCTATAAGAGGCAGTCACACCGTATCAGTGTAGCAATTCATTTGTTCTGCGTCAAACTTTATTTGTACAGTAAATCTGCGCAGCTGAATAAGCTGTAAAGCACCAATTTGTCACTCACAGACAACTAAACCTTGCATTGTCAGACTGAATATTTTCAGAATGACATCAAAAGACGGTTACATGAGCAAAGTCGAACTCTTTTACTTGCATAGCTAAAAGCATGCCGTCCTGGTCTGGAAGACCTTAATACTTAAACAAACTCCAGACTGTCACAATGTGTGACAGATGGGTCCATATATCACCTCATGGTAGGATTTACCCAAATACTTCGGCTTTATTTCAGCAGATATGAAACCCCAACGAACAGCAGCTTTTAACGGCCGCTGAATCTGGCCGCAGCTTTTTTTTCTTCTTAACCTTCTCATCGAATGATAATATGCGCTGTCACCTCTGGCTGAATCCCTGCAGCTGCTCACCTACTCTAAATGCCAGAGTGTGGCAGATCTTCCTTATGGAAGAGCCCACTGATACACCTCCTTTAACCAAACGGAGAAAAATTCTGTGTTCAATTCAGAGTACAATTTTATCTTATGTTTAAGCTTTATTTGTAGTTAATCTAGTTTGGCTATTTCACTTTAAATTAAGCACGTCCTGTATATTCTACAAAATTACAAATCTTTCTGTGAAGTCTTTCTCCTCTATTCAGTTCGACAAATGTCCAGCCAGGCTGAGCTGTGGACTCTTAGCTTTGCATCTCTGCATCGCGCAGAAAGTGATACTGTGGTTGTTTGTGGAGCAGAAAAAGGGACTCATACAGGAAGGGTCAGCCAAAGGGGACAGACTGTGAGCTGAGACCACAAATTATGAGCAGAAAGACACACAAATTAGGCCAGACAGGGAGGAGCAGCGGAGACTCTCATGCTGGGCTAAAGGTAATAAAGGGAACTCGGATAACAAGCTATCCTATGAACAACAGGAGCAAATAGCTAATAACTACCCCGAAATTAACCCCGACCACTTTGGGTCCCCCCCCCCCCTTTTAACTCTGGAGTTTGGTTTTCTACACCTCTCACAGCAGAAAACAAAGAAACACACGACGATGTTCCAAAAGTTGCAAAACCTGATAATCACCAGATGGTAGAGTTTGCCTTGTATAAAAAAAAACACAATTCTGTGGCTTCAGTGACTAACGGGACTTTGTTTATGTTCATGTGAATGTTTTGCATATCAGTATGAGAAACGGTGCCAGTGTGGGCGAATCTTACACTGTATGAAAAAGGTACTCAAGCTTTGTTATTTCTGTCGTCGTGCAGGCTTCTGAAATTCAGCACTTAACACACGGCTCAGTAAAAACAAGACACAACTATCCCCTCAGGTGAAACGCTAACCGGCTCAGGATGGGTCCAACCGCCAAAAGTCTAAATCATAATCAGCTTTCTGTCAATCCGTGCTGTGCAAACCCCGTTAAAAAGCCACAGTGGAAAAGCCAAGTGACTCATCCGCTGATGCACGGCGTGACAACACGCTCATCAGTCCAAATGCTGAGAAATAAACAGAGGTTCCGGCCCTTTTAGAGATGGTAAAACATCATGTTTGTCTTCTCTTTTCTTTTCTTTTTTTTAAACAGCTTGCCAATCAGCAAAAACAACAACTGATGACTGTGACAGCACGACAGACAGGCAGGTGTTTTACGGCGGCCGTCTGTCGCCGCCCCAGATTTCACGATCTGACTCAACAGCAGATGCCAGTAATCAGTAGTTAACCGCCTGCAACAAAAGGCCAAAGCCAAACTTTTAATAAACTTACCTCTGATTTATGCGCCGCTCATCTTCACTCCCAAAATCCTGCAAAGCAGATAACAGGTGAAAAATAAATACCTCACAGAATCAGTATGGGTGTGTTTTACCAATGAATTCTGGGTTTAAGAAAACTAAACAAACTACATTCCCTCTAAAATTCTAACAGGGATATCAACAGAGATATCAAGGTAATCCTCAATGCAGATCACATATGATCATTGAGCAATTAGCTAAATAAAGTGAAACAATCTCAATGCAGCACAAATCCCAAAAAAGGTTTAAAAAAAAAAAAGATACTGTGCACAAGAAGAGCAAATGTTTCAGATACTGTGCGCGTACGAATAATGTCACGTTAGGTTATTCACTGATCATAATTAGTCAGTTTTAGGATGAAATTCTGTTCCACACTCACTGGCTCGTGCCAGCAGGGACATGCCTGTTTACCTCAGCTCTTTTCCTCCACCACAGCACCCCCCACCACCACCACCACCCCTCCCGCCCTCTGTTAGAGGATGACATCATAGCTGCAGCAGATCTTTGCCGGCTTTTTCTGTCACACCTTGACACGACCATTCAGAAAGAGCGAGGCACAGGGACTAAACTAACCCCTGATCCCCCACCAGACGGGATCCACTGGTAAAGGCTCACCTGTGCGGTGGCATTTTAGAGTCTGTATCGGCTTCACCACGCTGTGCCAGTCAGTGCCTCAGGATATTTTTGGCCAAACCAAAACACTGCTCTAGCCCAGACATTTGTAGCTCTAAATAAATCCAGATGTCAGGCCGGATTTGTCTGATTCTGATATGAAGTGCAGTGCTAGGTGAGCTCATCTGTTTACAGCTGGCAGGCAGTGCCCCCATCTGGCTACTATGTGCTTGAAAATGGTAAAGGGAACTTATCTTTGAATGACAGTGTTGTGGTACAGCCATAGCCATTTCCTTACTGTTAGTGTCCCCAAAGCTATGCAATCAGACTGTCTCTGTCCACTTCTTTAAAAGCTATAAAGAAGTTTTTCATCTTTTTCACATTCAGCTGAATGATAACCTAGCATTGTGATATCTCTTTTCCAGGGAACTGGCATCAAATCCTGTTTAGATGTCATGTTTACAAATGATTGTTTCCAATTTGTTTCCTGAAGAGAGGATTTTACTGCCAATGGCAGCTGCCAGAGCCAAACGCCAAAGTAGCAGATAAATTCAGGAAATTGCTCTAAAACGTTGCAGGCCAACACACTCTAAACCACGTTTTTTGTTGTTGTTGTATTGAGCTGTGGTGATGTCCAGAAAACGATGCTTTCAGTAGCATCCTTAACAAATCCTCCCAACCTTAGCTGTAGCTTACATAATTCATATGGCACATCTCAAACTAAGCTAGCATAGGCTATATAAATACGTGTACCTCAAAACACAGACTTGTCGTTTTTGTATAATTTACCGTCCTAGCATGATATTAAATAAAAACACACCGGTTTTCTCTGAGGCTTAAATTTGGCAGAACGTATCGACAGATTTGAAAGGGGCTATCGCTAGCTAACAGCCTAGCAAAGCCCGTTGACTGACGGCGCTAATTTAGCTGTAATCAGCGGGCCTTTCCCCGGCAACATCCCCCTCATCCTTCCTTCCGCCTAGACCAGAACGCATCCCTCTCGCCGCGGCATTTCCCCCGGCAGCAGCAGCCCCGGGGCCAGACTGACCTCTCCGGCGGCCGTGGTCGCTGTGCTGGCGGTGGACGCGGCGCTCGGCGTCGGCGACCGCTGCAGAGTCACCAACGCCATGGCTGGAAGCTGGGGATGAGGCACCGGGCGGCCGCTGTGGCCTGCAGAGCTGCGGCTAGCTGCTCCTGCTGGGCTAAGCACACATGCGAACTGATGGTTTGGAGGGGAGAGGGACCGTGTTGTTATCCTGCAGGCTGGGCTCCGTGTGCAGGAAGTGCGGCCCTCCGGCTCCAGGCCGTCCTGCCTCTGCCTTTCATGTAGATGTGAAGTTTTTTTTATTTATTTTTATGTCGAATGAATGAATTAAAGAAACCTATTTGGCTTTGGTAGATTGTCTCAGTTTTTGGAGAGTTTAAGTAAACATTTTGTTTGTGATGTAGCCTGAAATGGATAGGAAATTATCTGTTATTGCAAGTCTGTATGGGAGCTTAAAAGCGTCTGTAATGCTTAATAGAAAAACTGCCTCAAAGGCTATCGCACACAGGTTTTAATCACCCATCATTACATGCCTTTTGCTAGGAGGCCAGATTGTGTTACGCCTCATGTAAAAAAAGACCATAGAACAGAGCTGAGTTGGCCTTGCAAAGCTCTAAAACGTTGAAAACGGACTGACTCATTGTTTTGGGCACATCTATTGTCACAGCTGACAGACACCGGCGAAAGAGAACGTAAATGTTTGCCTGCCCTCAAGTGCTGTTGCTGCATTCAAGGACTGTGGGGTTAGTTAGGAAGAACCAGTTCTCAGCCTCTCGTTCCAAATTACAAGGTGCCAAGCTACAATGCTACCTCTATTATCACACCTGTTTGACAGAAAGATCAACACTATTTTCTGAGTGGTAAATACATATATAAGATTTTGCTTCAAGCGTCAATTTATTGAAAGATGGGTTGATTTTTTTGTTGTTCACTTTGATTAATCCTCCATGGATAAGTGGGGTTTACAGGACAAAACCTGAACGCCGCGTCTGCAGTGATTGGCTGCAGACTCCGCCCCTCGGCCATGTGACGGGGGCCCAGTCGGTGGCTTTGAGTGGTGACCGGAGAGGCTTGAAATCTGTTTGAGGTAAGACCAAACTTGTTCTAAATAAACATGTTTCCTGTCTGTTTTTCTGACATTGTATGCACAACTTGTAACTGCAGCTCAGTTACAAGTTCCAGTAACTTTCAATGAATATTTTGCTTCCTTAAACAAAGATGCACAGTTATCTGACAGCTGGCCTGCAATTACATAATCCAACTGAAGTTTTGCAGAGTTTCACTTGTTGAAGGGGTCAATTTGATTTAGAGGGGTACAATATACACTTTTTCTCAATGCATCGAACTAAACTCTATCTTTTAGGACCCATTTCATTGTGTGCAAACGTGATTTCATAAAATTCAGTCGTTATTCCTAAATGTTATAAATTGAATGTGTTGACTGTTTTTCCATCTAATATGTACTGGTCATGTGCATCTGTGCGCTCCCTCCAGGTGGGTGACCCTCTCCCCGTTTGTTTGTCAGTGCAGACATGCGTGTGGCAGTGATTGGAGCTGGAGTCATCGGTCTGTCAGCAGCTCAGAGCATTTATGAGCAGTATCACTCAAAAGTCAGTCCACTGACTATTGAGGTGTATGCAGACCGTTTCACTCCACTGACCACCAGCGATGGAGCGGCTGGCTTCTGGCAACCATACCTCTACGATAAGGGCAATGTCCAGGAGACGTGAGAGCAGTTTTCCCTTCCTCTACAAAAAATTACAACCTTTTTATTCATAAAACATATCACACCTTATTACCTGCATATGTCTTTATCTGTAGAAAATGGAACAAGGAGACTTTTGACTACTTACTGAGCTGTCTCAGCTCCCCAGAATCTGCCAAAATGGGTATTTTCCTCCAGTCTGGGTACAACGTCTGCACTGAACCAGTTCCAGTGAGTGCCGCTTTGATCTTAGACGATGTACTATCGATACGAACTCAAAGATAAGGTTTTACAATGACGAACAAAGGTCCTGTGCTGTGAAAACTGTACACGTGCTGTCGCAATGTAACCTCTCAAAACATCAACAATAAATTCATCACATGCCAGGGCACTACCCCCTATAAATAAAGTTCATGGGCAACCCTAAAGTGGAGCTTTGTTCGACCCCACAAAGGATGGCTGCCTGCAGTGGTTGGGAACCATCAATAGAGAGGCCTCTGTAAGGGATGGGTTTACACAGAGTTAATTGGGATTTTGCATCCAGACCTTATACCATCGCATCTAAGGTTGTGTCATGGTCCACTTGAAGATAAGTTATTTTTGTTTGCAGGAGCCTTCATTTAAGGACATTGTCCTCGGCTTCAGACAACTCTCAGAACGAGAGCTGCAGCTGTTCCCCGGATACAAGTGAGTTCTCTACAAAACGGCGCCAAAGCCCAAACAAATGAAAAAGAGCCCAGACAGTTACCCAAGCCAGCAGCTATCCCCATATCAGACTTCATGCTCTCCTCACCAGGCAATAAAAGAATTCCCAAAATACTTACAATAAAGAAAATGAATGCACATGAACGTGTGCATGATTTTAACACACTCCATACACATTATCTGTATTTCAAATGAGTGTAGTCTTAAATTACTAAGTATTAGATTTCGGATGACATATATGCATGATTGTGATTAGGTCTTACACATTTTCTGTTTCTAATTTGTCCAGTTTTGGATGGTTCAACACAGCTCTCATGGTGGAGGGTAAATCATACTTACCATGGCTGATGGACTGGTGAGTACCGTCCCTCTTGAGTAACTTCTCAGGATGTTGGATAAGCCCTTTAGTTGAACTGGATTCTTTATAGTGATGAAGCACCTGCTTACAGCTTGATTCATTACCACCATTTATTATTATGTGCTCACTCGTGGTTTCACAAGTGAGTCTGTATGACTCAACTTATTCTCAGCCAAATTGAGTGAAATTTAAATGATTAATTGAAATTCTTAATGACCAAACTAATATACACTTAAACATTTAAATGTTCAGCCTGTGAAAAAACTAGAAATATGAAAACAAAAATGTTTTGAGGGGTTTAACCTTCATGGTTCTGTTTCTAAGTGACCATGAATACTGTGTGAACAATGAGCGGTGTAAAACTTTTCATGCATGTGTTACTCTGCAAGAAAAGTAAAGGATTGTTTTCAGGTTTTCTGTGCTTAACTCTAAAAGTTTAAGATTGTATTCTACAACATAATATCCCCTCAGTTTCATTAATGGTTATTAAGTCCAAACTTTATATTTTCAAGGTCAGTCTTCTGTTGCGTTAATTGTTTTTTTTATGTTTGCAGGTTGAAAATAAGAGGTGTGACATTTCATCACAAGAAAATTGAATCTTTCAAAGAGGTAAATGAAGGCTTTCTGTTGTCACAAGTGCAAAATGAGTTGTTTTTTTTAACTTGCTGGTTACTTTTTCATTGTTTTCATGCATAAACAAAGACTTGAAGGCTGAATTTAGTCACTCGCTCTATTTTCTCTGATCATTGGGGACTGTTTTAAGCTTTCGGATGCTGGCGCAGACGTGATCATAAACTGCACGGGGATGAGATCCGGTGAGCTGCAGCCAGATCCAGATCTGAAACCAGGCCGTGGCCAGATAGTGAAAGTAAGACTGGAAGGTGTTTATTTTCAGAGAATAAATCAGAAGTAAATTAGCCATCATAATGTAGCCGTTTCACCTCTGTGTTTCTCTGTGTTTTAGGTTGATGCCCCATGGCTAAAGCATTGGGTTATTACGCACAACTTTAAGACTGGGGTCTACAATTCACCATATATCATTCCAGGGTAGAGCCAGTAACACTGAGCACCTCTGCACAAACACACAACCTATGCTTTTACAGTGTTTTTTTTTTTGTTGGATGTTACTTCAGTGCGTTTTAATGCATTTTAGTTGCATTAAGTGTTTCTTTCTGATATGACTTTAAGTCACCTCAGCTTGGAGCTATGCTTTTTAGCATTATTCCACTAGCAGCTTCATTGTGGTCCAGTAAGCATGTTGTCTTGTTGTCATGTTGGGATTTGGGATATTGTCATGCAGTAAGGCCTGTGTTGTTTTCATGAGAGCACAAAACATCTGTGTCTGCAGGAGCCGTCTTGTGACAGTTGGAGGGATTTTCCAGCTTGGAAACTGGAGTGAACAGAACAACTCCATAGACCATCATCAGATCTGGGAAAAGGCTTGTCAGCTTGAGCCAAGTCTCAAGGTTAGGTGATAAAACAGGGCCATAAAAAGACATTCTGTCTCAACCTCTATCAATTATTCACCACGTCTTCTCTAGCGTTGAAATACAGTACGTAACGTCTTGTCCTTTATAAACTCAGAATATTCTGCAAATGGAACAGTTAGAGGAAAAGAGATGTAAAATTATGGAATTATTTTGTTTAAGTCTTGGGGGGGGGAATAAATGGGTTCTTAAGTTCTGATGTTGCGTCTCCTCAGCATGCCAGGATTGTGGATGACTGGGCAGGTCTCAGGCCTGTTCGAAGCAAAGTCCGTCTGGAGCGGGAAACCATACAGGCCGGCGCAGCTAAGATAGAGGTAAACGGAAACATTAGAGCGGTACCTGAAATGTGAACACTTGTTTATTTAGCTTCAAAATCATTGTGGCACTCAAACAGGTGATACACAACTACGGCCACGGAGGTTTCGGACTCACCATTCACAGAGGCTGCGCCCAGGAGGCAGCCAGGCTCTTCGGTCAGATTGTGGAGCAAAATGGCAAATGTTTTAAAGCTCGCTTGTAGATTCGTCTCCACTGTAGACAATTGGTGTATTACTTTTCTCATGATTCAACATCCAAAATGTATCTTTCATTGTTGTTGTTTTTTCAACATGCTAAGATTTATAGCAAACCGGTCCTCCATCATCGTATGTCTAAGGGAAAACATCATGGCTTTAACCAGTGTTGATATCCATAAGAAACAGGGCTGATTTGAAACGTGTATCTTAATAAATTTAGTAAGTTTCACATAATTGTTTTTTTCATAATTCATTTTATAAATGTGATGAATCAAACAGATAATCACTCACTCAACTTCTTTGAATAATAAATGATAACATGAACCCATCACTTGTTTTTGAAAGACTATTTACTATACTATCATACACATTTACATCCAGTGCATTGACAAGAATCTGTGCACGCAGACACTTAATGCAGCACTAGATATCAAAGACTTGCAGGCCAGAGTTAGATTTCTGGTTCCTACTTGTTAATGTTTTCCTTTTTTTTCTGTAAGACTGTTCAAAGTCTGTCTCCACATCACATTTGTTACAAACAGAAGTAAAGACTACAACTGAACTGAACTGGGCATTGGTACAATATTTACAAAAAAACACAACATTACATCCTGGTTGAATGCCTGTTTGGACTCATGTGAGAGCAGACTCTGAGTCTGATAGAACAGAGCAAAAGAAACCATGTTGCTTCTTCTACTTTTTTTGCATTTCCTGAACATTTTCTGTCAACATTAAGCCAGAATTGGGTGATTAAAGAAATATTCAGATTGATCTCCTCATACTTTTGTTGTCTCTTGCCTTTATGTCCTGCTGTTTAGGGGTTAAAAACCTTGTTCCAACAATACATCACCAATGAACATTAACAGGGTCTTTTGGGGTCATGGAAAAGAAAAGGAAAAAATATAGAGATCTCGCTTGCTCTTAGAATTTTCATATAGCCAGATGCTTTAAAAGAAGATCATACTTTTTCAGCAGACCTGTAGAAGAAAATCAGGTTACTGTAGTGGACTTAACTGGACTTAGTCCATAAACTTTCTCTTTTACAGGAAGCCTGTAAATTTGCTAAACTAAATAGCACTTTGTTAGCAGTTTCATGGGGAGCATAATATTGTACCATTCTCAGGTGACAATTTTAGCAAATATTTCTGCTTGCTATAATCATACAACAATGTAAAGATCTCACTATTACCATGAAACCGCTGCATTGTTCTAACTTCTGTTACCAGATTTAATAAAACTTCTCATTGAAGTAGAAAATAACACTGACACAGCTGAAAGACTGATGAGATGTGTATATGAAAAAGGTTTGCGACTCACTGTACACTATGTCCTTTCAACCAGACTAAGGTGACCATCACATGAGAAAATGTTATGACTTTCTTTGATCTGAATGCTTTGTTTACCTGAAAAGCTGTCATTAACCCAAAAAATTGACTTTTTTTTAACACTGTGCATTTTCAGCAAGCAATTTGTGCGCATAAGACAATCCTGTTTCTTACACATGGATATATGGTCAGTATGCAAATAGAAGCAGCTTTTTCACTGGGTCCAGAGTGTGCCCATCAGCAACCAACCTAATAGGTAGTTTTAAGGCTCTCTTAAAGAAGGTAGCAGTTTTAACCAGAAGCCAAACATTTCGCTCTCTTTAGAATTCTCGCCGCTTGGAAAAGTTTCCCATTTAGTCCACTGTTTGCTCTTGCACTATTTTTTAGGTTGTTTGGTCTCTCAAAATCACCCTGTGTGCAGATATATAGTGGAAACACTGTGGCAGCAGCTGTGTTTACATACTATAGGTACAGTGTTAAAAGATAGTGCTGCATGGCTCTTTCATACCATCCTGATGTTGAAACAGAAGAAACACAGAACAGGGCCCAGAAAGCAAGCCTTCCTGCCTCCTCCCCTCTCAGCGGCGTACCCGGTGGGCGTGTCCTCAGCCCTGCGAGCCAGAGCTGGAGCGGGTGAGTCCTCCTGAGCTGTGACCTATCATTTCTTGTCCCCACTCGCGGTGGCTGGATTCCTGCAGACCTCGGCCCGTGGTCTCAATTGGAAGTGCGCAGGAGGCGACGGCAGCAAAGAGGCAGCAGCAGCAGTACACTGAGAGAGCCAGGTACACGGAATACTCCAACATCACCTGCGGAGTGAAGCCCAGGCACAAACAAATGCTTTCCGTGTCATCTCTTTGTCACTTCCCCCTGTTTTGCTGGTCAAGCACATTATTTCATATAATGTGATATATTACCTGGGCCACAAAAGGTGTAATGAGAGCACCAACTCTGGCCATTCCACTGCTCGTTCCCAGACCTAAAGCTCTGGTTGCTGTTGGGTACACCTGCAGAAAATGCAAAAAATGAGGCTGAAATCCTCTGGTCCTGTACTGGTAACTGTTTGATTATTTTTCACTCAGCTATCTTACTTCTGGAGTGTAAACATAAGCTGCCTGGAAGCCCCCGGCAATAAATGCTCTGGCAATGAATATCAACACCGTCATGGAGGTTCTGCAAAGGATGAGGCAGCAGCAATAAGAACGGATTAACAATGGTCCACAATTAGTGAAATGTTTGAAGGTCTAACTTTGGCCAGGCTTACCTTCCAACACAGCCGTACAGCGGAATGATGCACAGAGAGAAGACAAGGAAACACAATGCCATGGTCTTCCTCCTTCCCAGTCGATCAATAGCCCACAATGTCACCAGCAGTCCTATGATACATTCATATATTCGCAAACTACAATGATTTTTTTCTTTACAGACAGTTGCCCTGAATAAAGCTGTTAAAGATATGTTTAGGTTTGAATGTAGATATTTTCTGCAACAAGCATTTACACTGAAAAAATATAAGAGGAGCTTAAGACACTATCATGAAACCAGGAATTTTGACTTGCAGTCCTTTGATTACATTAATTAGACATAACAACTCTTTGAAAATAATCAGTGTTTAAAGATTACACAAATACTTTGTCATAAGAAGTTAATCTGTGATGAGTTCATAATTTACAGCAGCACTTCATACAAAGCCCCACACGGACAGCTGAGAAAAGCAAAAGTAGTTATAAGAGAACCTTTAAAAAGTGAACAGTTTTTATCCAACTCAAAGAAAATCATTATGGGTACCTGGAAATTCAGATAAAGTTGTCCACAGCAGATCCTTATAGTCATCAGAATTCAAATATTTACACTCCAAGCTGCATCTGGGATCCTTCTTGCTACCTTTGGACACTAGAGGGAGACATCAAACAGCAATCACCATCAGTTTTGTAGTTCCATGTTTTCATGATGCGTTTTAGCAAAAACCTCTGTCTGACTCACTCCCACAAGCACCTCCCTCCTGAAACAGCTCTGTGGTGAGCAGCACCAGGCCGTAGTAGGAGAAGGCGTTTGCAAACCTGTGGTGACAGAGATCAAATCTGAGATCATGCTAAAAAGAAACATCAAAGCTGAATGTAAATCAAATAGAGCAAAAGGTATAGGCACTAAAAGATCATAAGGCTTCTGAAGGTCAAAAGGAAAATCAGTTGTTTACCAAATGAACCACAGCAGAACAGTGGTCCCACGAAATTGTGATGAAAACAAGTCTTGAATCTTCCCACGCTCTTCCTATTTCAAAAGAAAGGACACTTAAAAAATCCACATCGACAGTATACTGATTGGTATTCATGTGTAATGTCTGAATTACATTCAGGGAATGAGCGTGGTGTACCTGTCTGGCAGTAATTAGTTTCCCCAGAGGCATGGGGGCTTTGTTCTCTGTGGCAATGCGCTTCAGCGTGGCCAGAGCCTTTTCTTGGTTCCCTGTCAGCACATCATAACGTGCACTCTCTGGAAGCCACTGTGACAATATCCACCCACCCCAGAAATAAACATGTCATTTGAAAAGGCTTTAATGCTGTAAAAGCGTTTAAGATTGTCATACTTACAAAACACAGGATGGCAAAGATGAAAAGAGGAATGGTGGAAAGACCAAGAAGCCAGCGCCAGCCCAGAGTAGGCATCACCAGGATTGCTAAGAGGACTTCGAACACAGTGCCCAGAGCCCAGAATATCTGCAAATGCAGCAAAATCACTAGTTGTAAGACAATTTTTATATTTGCTGAGATAGTACAAGGTAAACTTTACCTCGATGAGTAAGATGCATGTGGCTCTGGACCTCATGGGCAGAAATTCAGCATACAAGGTCACCCTAAAAAAGGACACTATTGTTTGAATCCAGAAAGTCATCAGTTACAATGTTGTTACTGATAAAGATTAAATAGAAGTACTCACGACTGCGGTGCCCCCCCAATGCCAAAGCCAACCAGCGCACGGAGGACCAGGATCCACCCATAAATGGGTGCAAATGCACTCATAAGGCCGTAGAACATTGTCCACAATACGCTCATCTTCAAACCCTGTGTGTGCAAAGGAGAGACTTGGTCTGACATTTTATTTCATGTACTGCACATTTTGATGTTTCACCCCTGATATTGAATATCTATCAAGTCCACACATGTAGAAATTCACATTCGGAAGTTTTAACCCTCCTAGTGTCAGAAACAAAAAAGGTCCACGGACAGACTGTCAGTGTTAAGTGTAAAATGTTTACTGTGACTTACTGTCTTTCTGCCATATTTGTCCGATATGTTTCCCCAAAGAGAGGAGCTGATCATCATTCCAATGAACACCGCCTGTAAGAGGAGCACTGAATGTCAGTGCTTTGGTAACACTGCAGCAGCTAACATCAACTTGGCTAGAACAGGACGATATGTTGCAGCATGACCCCTCTTGTTTTGAACCAATATAATGTGAAATATTCTTACCTAAATCTAAGCAGTGAATAATCACATGTATAACATTGTCTAAACTGCCACAGCTGTACCTTTGTTTTTTATCCATATCAATTTAGCTGTTCCGTATCACAACATACATATTTGATAACTCAGAAAATCCCAATTCTGACAAAACACATTAATCTCTGCTATGGTCTTTTGCTTCCCACATTGTGCTTTATATAAGCACTCGTTTCCCCCACGCTCTTAATCGATGCCTACCGGGACGGTCAGAAAGAACTGCATGTAGGAGCACTTTATATACATTACTGAGCCATTACCGACGTGAGCAGTGCCACTTCAAGGCTTGGCAATCTCCATTCACAGTGCAGCTGTGGCGCTAAAATGCTGAGGATCATCATCTCCATGGCATCAGCCATCTGAGCACAAAGAAAAATACATGATCGGTTGTTGTGCAGAGGACATAAAAGCCTCCACTAAATCATGTTTGACATGTGGACAGTTCTCACCCAGGACAGTCCAGTGAGGATGGAGAGCTTCACCTGAAATGTCCCAAAGCCTATGGCTTCTACGGCATCTTCTACCATGAAAGTGTCTGAGGTAATGAGAGAGATGAGAAGCTCTAGAGCCATGTGTGAAAAAAAGGAAGATGTAGGACAAATATGAGAGAAACTGAGACCCGGCACAATGTACCGTCTGTTGGATTGGCAAACTCTCGAGGCACTGGCGCTCCCTCTGCAAGAGCCACAGACTCCAGATCAGTATGATCCTCCGCTCTGACATCCTGAGGTCTGTTCTCCGCATCCTCCTCAGAGCGAGTGCTCTCTCCTGTATGACGGAAGCGGACCACGCTGCAAAAAACAAAACATTGAATGTGCATGAATGTGTATATTTCTGGGTTAAAGTCCAAGTGAGATGGGTCAGAGGAAATGATGTCAGGGCTAAGATGAGCACAGATAAGGCCTGGAGGCTGTAACCTTGGTGATTTGTGCTCCTTCTGGCTGTGATTTTGTTAGCCACTGATATCATGAGCATGTTAAGAAATGTATTAGACTTGTAAACCTCTATCCAGCTATATTGGTGTTTTCTACAGATGGATGGTGGCCCACAGTTTCCTTCGACATGCAGATAAATGATGGTTTGGTCAGGACCAAACACTTGCAGAAGCAGTGGTGTGTGCTGGTGATGCCTTAATCACAGTAATTACACAGGAAGCCTCTTTGCAATTTGAACTATCAGTGCTATGGGTGAGACCATGAGATGTCCATTAAGCTCTGTCTTTGATTTAATTGTCCTCTTCAATTTGAGGTAAAACTTTATAATCCAGCAGCATGTTGTTTTAGTTCAATTTTCCAAACCTGTCCTCTCCTTAAATGTATTTGCAAGAGGCTAGGTCTCAATAAAGCACTTCTAATACTGGAATTCCAGATGCATCACAACGCTTTCTGAGAAGGTGACTGACTATATCTTTAAGAAATGCCCAAAGCCACAGCCAATTTTATGGCCCAGCCTTTAGTTTAATTAACGCGTGCAGCTAGGTTTAAATAAATCCCTCAATGGTCTGAGTCATGACAGCAAATACAATAACAAGTTAAACCGGAAAGCCTAGCCATCTTAGGAATCACAGAAAACGTGCTTCATGTGGATAAATGACAGGTTACAGAAAATGCTGCGACTGTAAACAAACTGCGCCGCCACAAGAGACAAAAGATGCAACGATATTTACGCTTCATATTATAAATGTATGCGTGTTACTACGTATATGTTGTCAGATGACTGCCGCTTTTAAAATATATCCGATTATTTGAAGTTTGGCGACCTGATCGACAAATACCAGCCAGTCAGAGGGCAAATCGTCGGACAAACACGTTGCCGGTGCTCGTCCGACATTGAATAATTAAAAGCTTTAAAAAATCTTGTGTGTTTAGAATGTATGCTACTCACGGAAGTTGTCTCAGCTGAAACAGATCATCGTCCATTTTGGTATTTATTGTCTGGCGCTCCTGTTGGCCTCATCGCCGTTCACATTATCGCGACGAGCAGCGATTTCAGCACTAAGGAGAGCGACCTGCTCCCGGAGTCCCCGGCAGCCAATGAGAGGCCGCCCAGCGCCCAACACCGCGCGAGACGCGCAGGGGCGCAGGGTGGACGGCACGAGCTCAGGAACGAGCGCGACTCCAGGGCTGCTGATTACAGGGTCAGCACGTCTTATCAGGACGTGACTGGCCTGGCGGTGACCACAGCCGTCACCATTCATTATAACTCCTTCACTAAAGGAGTTAACCCGACATTTGATTTCAACTATGGAATAATACATTTAAAAAACTATTTTGGAATTGATTTGAATTGAAGTGAGGGACGTTTTTAGTTCCACTGATACCCCGAAGACTAAATGCTACATTGATCGAATAACCTTGCTACTTACCTTCTAGAACAGCATAAGAAGCAGAAAAAAGATTTTTACAAAAGTTAGGAAATTAGCAAGATTTAAAACTATTTCAAAGAAAGGCAAAATGTGTCAATATAACCTATTATAAAACCATAATCCATGAGATAGTAAAGATATATTGAATAATCCAAATATCAAGATTACATCATTACCTAACAAAGATAATTTGCAAATGGTGATACACCCAGAACAGTGGAGTTTTTCATTCTTGTTTAAACATCCTCCCCAACATCCTCTCAACATTTTTAATTAATCAAATCTAACTAAAAATATATCTAGATGAATCAGATTAGTAAAATATAACCAAAAATGCATGCAACTAGTACATGGATGGGCTTTGTTGTGACTTGTGGAATATATATGAATAAAAAAGCAATGAAGCCATCTGTTCATAAATCCTCAACATTATCTGTTCATTTTAAGCAAAGAAAATGCCCAATTTGCTCGTTATTTTCAATCCAAATATTCAAAAAGCCCTTTGACAGGTTTTATTGCTCACATTTTACATATTGCTGGGTATATTATTTGGATGAATGCCACACGAATTCTGCTAAATATTATGTATTTATGCAGGCAAAAGACAATCATTATTTTCTAATTACACAAATAAAAAAGTTTTAAGAGGTTGAAAAAACATTGGTAAAATAGAGACTTTGTACTTCCTTAGACAATATAGAAATCCCTCCTAAATGTACATATAACTACACAAATGTGGAGCTAAACATAACTCGAATGAGACTACAAACATAATATACTTGGCAATCCGTCATACCGTGGTATAAAAATCATCAAATGATCGAATCTGTTTATTTCCTAAATTAAATTGTGTCAAACACTCTTAGTTTATGTGCGCAACAACCTTCTTTTGGCCGGAATGTAAATTGAGTGACGCTTTTGCACGCACCTTCATGGGTCCGTGTAGAAACGCGTCCACTTTAACGATAGTTCCCCCAGAGACAGCAGGATGTTGTGGTGCAGACCTGAAACCTCTGATAAGCTTGTTGGGGACTTTCTTGGCACCGGACCCACAATCAGGTAAAACCTTTCCGGCTGACCAGCAACAACTGCTGCTTATACAGAGGGCACGGTGACAGCAGAAACTGTGGGTCACGAGGCCGCCGTCGCCGCACATTTAAGCCAAACTCTTACATGCGCAGACGAGCAACGCGAAGCCTGGTTTAATGTCCCTGAACCTGTCTCTGAACCTGTCGTCAAACACATACGGCGACATTATCAAGACGCGTTGCCCGTGTTTTAAAATAGGGTGCAGTTTGGATGTCTTGCATTTATATAATCGACATAGTTTTCGAGGAGAGGCCTGACCTCGGTGTTTTCTTCGGTAAGTTAGCTTAAACGCTAAAGTTCCCGGTCTATCCTCATCTTGAGTCTGGTTGGCATTAACTTATCACCGATTTGAGCATATACTATTTAAATCTCCAAAATTGCTATCCAGCAATCCAGGCCAAGGTGATACAGGCGTGTGTTTACAGAGATGCATAGTTTGTTTTTGTTGTTTTTTAATCCCAATTATTAGACAGCGAGTTAATCGATCGCACATAATATATGGGGCAGTCAAAAAAAGAATTAAAGTACACCTTGCTATATCTGACACTTTACAATACAACAATGCTTCGTTTACCACATGCAATATAAGCTCCTCTGGGTATGAAACGGCCACAGGCCTTGCTGGGGTTTCGACGTATTCCATCATCACGAAGACGTCTAAACTGGTCCCAGCAATCAGAAGCCATGTTATCCTCAGGAAGTGATCAAAACAATTCGTCCCCCCTGATTTGGAAAAGATATTGGCATGTTTTGGGGTTGTTTTTTTATTCGTAGGATTGCTAGTAAGCCCACTGAAATCTTGTTGACTGTAAAATACCATTACCATAAAAAAACAGGTGAATTTCAAAGGTTCAGAAAACTGTATTGGATGAAGGGGGAAAAAAAACAAATGAACGTACCATCAAATAGTAAGAATGGTACAATGTCTATTTCCACTTGTTACACATCTCTATTTTCATACTTTACTGACAGTCCCCTCTCCTTCAGAAACAAGATGATAAAAAACTGGGGCGTTATCGGAGGAGTTGCTGCGGCGATTGCTGCTGGAGTGTACGTTTTCTGGGGCCCAATTACAGAGAGGAAGAAGAGGAAGAGAGGTAAGAATCCGTGCTATATCTGGTCCTGTGTGGCCTCCGTGATTCCATCGCAGTAAACTACAGTGACGTGTTTTTTTCACAGGGATGGTTCCCGGTCTGTTAAATTTGGGCAACACCTGCTTCTTGAACTCTTTGCTTCAGGGCTTGGCAGCATGTCCTTCCTTTGTCAGATGGCTGGAGAAGTTTTCAGGTCTACCCACAATCCAGTCATGCAAGGACAACCAGCTATCCTCGACACTGCTGCAGCTTCTCAGAGGTGTTCTGTCCGTGTCTGTCATTAAGTCCCCTCGCTGTGGAGAACCTGCTGTGCTCATGTTCATTTTCTTTCCACCCAGCTCTGTCCAGTGATGGGCCTGCGGAGGAGGATGTTCTTGATGCTGGATGCCTCCTGGATGTCCTCAGACTGTACCGCTGGCACATTAGCTCCTTTGAGGAGCAGGTTAGTAGTGTGATCCGGAATGCTGCCGTTTAGTTAGCAGTTTTCTGCGCAGTGTTTTTTAATCCATGTCGATGCGTTTCCTCTAAGGATGCGCATGAACTTTTTCACGTCCTCACATCTTCTCTGGAAGAGGAGCGGGATCGTCAGCCAAAAGTCCCTCATTTGTTTGACATGCAGTCCCTTGAGGTGCGTAACCGTCTCCGCACCACTAAGGGAACACATCTGTTTTGCATGTTGCACCACTTTGCTTTGTCTCTTCAATTAGACATTTGTTGGCTTTTTGTAACAGAAATGTTCTCGCACCTTGTCTGTGTCTGTGTATTTCTTTTTTCCATCAGAGTCTCCCAGACGCAGATGAGAAAACTTTAGCCTGTATAAGTCGAGGTAAGCAGACAGTCTAAAGCTGCAGGTTGTTAATGACAAAACCAAAACCAACAATACTTGATCCTTTTTTTGTTCTTTTGTTCTGCAGCTCCTCTTCATCCAATACCGAGTCCATGGAAGTTTCATCATCCTTTTCACGGCCGTTTAACAAGCAATATGTCATGCAAGCGCTGCGAAATACAAGTGAGTCTGTTTTGCTTTCCTTTGTTTCCTGTGTTTCCCGCAATAAGTGAATAAAGCCTTAGTTTGTGCCATTTTTTGTTATTAAGGGATTTCTACTCCTGTTGTGTGTTTCTTTCAGAGTCCAGTGCGATATGACTCATTTGAGAGCCTCTCCTTGTCTATCCCTCTACCTCAGTGGGTAAGCATGTCAAGAATATGCAAGTTTAACTTGCTAAATGTCATTAGAGACTCACAACTCAGTGTTGTTTTTTTGTGTCAGGGTCGGCCGATCTCACTGGACCAGTGCCTGCAGCATTTTATTTCCTCAGAAACTATCAAAGAGGTGGAGTGTGAAAACTGCACCACGGTACGTCTCCTTTGTGTGGAATTTGTCTTGAAAAGGTTCTGCTAACGCAGTCTGGAGTGTGTGTGTGGTGTGTCATGTTTATCAGAATGCCGATTGTCCGTCTTATCTCTGTTTTTCATCCTTTCTCTTCAGCTTCAACAAAGCACAATAATAAATGGTCAAGTTCTAGAAAGCCAGAGGACGACGTTTGTTAAGCAGCTGAAACTTGGAAAGGTAACCACTTTCATGGTGCCACCGACTGGGAAACATAAAGAGCTGGAGAATTTCTTAGCCTTCTCGACAGTCTTCATGCAGCTGCAGCTTGTTTGTGATATTTCCGTCAGCTCCCCCAGTGCCTCTGCATCCATTTACAAAGACTGACCTGGTCCAGCGAAGGAACCCCCATCAAGCGCCAGGAGCACGTGCAGTTCGCAGAGTACCTGTCGATGGACCGCTACAAACACAGCAGCTGCACACAGCGGGGTCAGCGGTCCAGATGTGCTCCCAGAGGCACGAAGGCAGAAGCTTTAGATGATTCTACTGAAAGGGCCACAGCTAATGGGACTGGTGGGTGGAAAACCTGTTTTATGTCAAACTTCGTTGCTTCGTATCCCACTTTGTTTTTTATTTTTTTTTAACGTCCAGCAGCTTCCGTTTGTTTTTCAGATGCAGAGCATCTTAATAACAACAAACCCTTTCCTAATGGAGGCTGTCCTGTGTTTCTTCACTCGCCTGGCGTGACATCGCAGCTTAGCCTCACATATGACCACAGGTAAAATGTACAAAAACATAAGCCTTTACAGAAAGAGCATTCCACCGAAGCTGTGACTAACCCGTGCGAAATGAAACACGAGTCATCGTTTGTGTCCAGTACGAAGCTGATAATCCTCTCCCCCTCTTCTCCCCTGTGACCAGCGCCTTCCCCTCCAGCTGCTCAGAGTACCTTTTCCAGCTCACGGCTGTGCTGATTCACCACGGCGACATGCACTCAGGACATTTTGTCACATACCGCCGCAGCCCTTCCTCAGCACGCTGCTCCTCGCCCTTCAGCTCGCACTGGCTGTGGGTGTCCGACGACTCGGTCCGCAAAGCCAGCCTGCACGAGGTGCTGTCCTCCAACGCTTACATGCTCTTCTACGAGAGGGTCCGGAGGCCAGGCCTGAGCCCGCGCACCGAGGAGTGACCAGGCAGCCCAGACGCTCAGCAGCGGGTGGCTTTGCGAGGAGAGGAAAACCATAATAGAATTATTAATAGTTTCTGACGACAGCATCATGTGCGTTGTGGACACACTTCCTGCTGCTCTGATCACAGCAGGAAGCCTTTTAGCCCAAAGAGGATGGACCTACAGAATTTAAATCCAGTATCACTGATCATGTAACCTGTTTCTCAGAGACTGAAAAAGGAACTCCCGACCGTATTATGTGCACGAAGGTACCGGGCGTGTGCCACACGGCTCATGTGTGACTCTTAGAGCGTCAGGAGCATCGACTCCGCTCTGTCCACCTCATGTTATGCTATTTAGGCATCATACATGAGGGTGGTCCTGGTATTTTGTCCATTGCCTATAATCTACAGGTACTGAGGTAGGTAATCCACATTTCTCAGAGATGTTATATAGAAGTTGTTACACATTCAGACACGTTGGACGGGATGAGTCTTCGTTGACTCTGGCTCTTTATTGTCTTATCTGATTACTTGCCTAATCATTCCTTGCGGTGTTTGTTAACTATATTGGAAATATTGTTTCAACTGGCACGGTTTCAACTGTTCCCCATCGTCCTTACACTGTCATAACACGCAGGGCTGCACATTCGAGGTTAAAGTGCCATGCTGTCTGTAATGTTCTGGATTTTAAACCCATGAAACCACGGGTGCTGCCACCACGAGCGACCCTTCCAAAAGTGATGGTGAAAACGTTCAAAAGAGTAATATTGACTTTGATTTTAAAAGTATACTATCCTGGATATTTTTAACTGTGAGCAGCTGATGACTGCCGTTTCCTACTGAACAGATTTAAAAAGAGAAGTGGCCTGGTGTTTGCAGTTTGCACTGATGTATTTTCATGTAAGATTTGTGTGCAGTCTTTGGAGGTGATTGTTTTCAGATAATAAAAGAAGAAAGCAAATGTTAATCTGAGAGTTTTATTTATTCAATTGACAGTGATTTGCATGTTTTGATTTTTTTTATTTATTATGAATTGGTCATTTTCTGAGACATGTTTCACCGAAATGTTGATTCCAGTATGCTCTATTTAATTTGAAAGGTTAAAACATTCACGAGGTGCCAAAATACAAAAGAAATACAAATAACAAATGTAGGAGGTCCTCTCTATGTGACTCCTTCAACAGTCAGCAGGGAGTTTAATTTGATATTAGCAGAGGGGTTAGTGTGAATAGAAGTAGATAAATCATAAGTCTTAATTATTATCTTAGAATAATACTTTAATATATTACTAAACGTTTCCAAAGTGTGCTTTATTTGCTCTCAGGGGTCACAGATCCACAGAATATGTTTACGTAATGTCAACTTTTTAATCTTAGCCCCTTCTTTAAACAAATATCAGTGTCCCTGGTCTTACTCAGTCTGCTCTCCACAGCCTAACTACACAAGCAGCCCTCATTTTCCTCATGTCTTTTCTTAATGCCCATGGATATAATAATGTAAAAAATGCTTCTAGGACTCCAGTCAATACTCTGTACCTCTTCTTGGCTTGTTTTTATTTCTTGCTGTCAGTCTGGATGCGTCTAAAAGTGAGGTTAATGCGGGGTGTGATGACTCTTTTGCGGACAGGAAGGCTGTGGTACCAAAAGGTGTTTGTGGGTGGATTCATGAGGAGCAGGCTTCCGTGAGTGAGCTCCAGCTTCACAGGCTCAATCTGTCGGCGGTTCTGTTTCCCCCGAGAATCTCTGTGCCTGAAGACGAAGTCCCGCGCTGCTCCCAGGGAGACGGAGGCGATGGGACAGGAGGAATCCAACTCCTTCTCGTCGTCGCGATGCTCACCCATGTGATCCTGCCCGTCTTTATACCTGGAGGGGAGACCAAAACGTTGAGCACTTCAAACCGTTTCCTCCACCTTCTGTTTGAATGTCTCCTCACCTGTTGATCAAGACAAAGTTGAATGTCTGGGCTGTCGCTTTAGTGACCGCATCTCGAATGTACCGCAAGGTTGGAGTCCACGGGCAGGCCGAGCGTCTCACTCCAGAGTAAGTATACGTCAGGCCTGCGTCTCCATAGGTTGCCTGTTTTCTGGGTATATTGTACACCTTTCCAAACACCTGGACCTTTGCTTCTTCTCCTGGAAGGAAAAAATGCAACAATCCTTCATCCAAATGCAACTTTAGGTCTTAACTGCGCGGACCCAGAGTTGGTTCTGTACCTGTGGAGTACACCACCTCCTCCTCCAGCTGTTTGAATAGGTCGTCTGCTTCCTTTCTGGAGAATAGTAGAGCATAGTCGCAGTCCAGTCCTTCTGCCTCTATTTTTTGCCAAGGAATAGGATGAGAAAACTCCCCTACAATATCCTCCCCCTCAGTCCTCTCATCTTCCTCCAGTTTTACTTTCTTCCTTGGACTTCTCCGTAGGGCATCATTGGCACTCGGCCGTTTATTCAGTCCTCGAAGCAGAACTCTTTCCATGGCAACTGTCTGCTGCCCTCTGGCTCCCTGATGAGGTGAATTTCACATCCCTGAAAAAGACAAAGTAAATGAAAAGGTGGACATTTATTCTTTTTCCCACAACTTGAACAAAAAGACATAATAATCCAATCCAAGTCTTAGCATTAATTGCATTGGCTTATTGCTGAACAAATAAATACCCTGCTTTATTTTCCTCATTTTGTAAAATACGTATAAAACAGCCCAGGTGAGAATTTCTCAGCTTGTCATAGATAGAAATAACAACAGAAATAACTTTTTAAAATATGTCAAACTAGTCTGTGATAGCAGCTGAACCAGCGGCAGCAGTGGGCCGTGAACGCCGCTCATTAATACAACTGCTTTCGTCACATGTTTAGGCGCCAAATGTTTTCAGCATCACACAGACACGAGTAGGTAATTCCAGGAGTCTAGGACAGCTATTTTAGAGATTTGGCAATCTTGGTTACTTCACTGAACACATTGCCAAAGTGTTCTTTTAGCAGAATGATTGGACAGAAAACAATTAACTCATTTTTCACTCCGGTCTCGAGGAAACGCGTTTCTAAGGAGGTAAATGACACCGAGGATGATGCTGCAGAGCCGGTGAGCGTTTTCTTTTCTTAAAACAGTTGTTAACTTTAACACAATTACGCGTTTAGCTTTTGATAATGAAACATGCCGTGTTTCGAGTTTTAAAGGCTTGCAGGTCTCTGTGGTAATTATGTTTGGGTTTTTTTCGTTTCCCGCGATAAGTGCAGCCTGATCTGCGGTGCGTTCAGGGCCGCCACAGAGTGTTGTCAAATCTAACGTTTATCGCTAGCAAAACAAGAGAATGTTAGCACCCCTTCGTCGGCGGCTTCTGAGGCCAATTTTCGCCAAAACAGCGCGTTTCTCACCAGCTCTCCGTTCTTCGCAATACACAAAAATCATTCAGAAGAAGCAGAACTTGCTCGCTGCGGTCGAACCAGAGTCTGCCAGCCCGAACTCCGCCGCCCTGTCCCCGCAGCAGCTGGATAGGATCGCCCGCAATAAGAGAGCGGCGCTGGAGAAACTCGCTTCCGCCCAGACGCCGACGGGGTTCGGGGAGAGCTGGAGGACGGAGCTGTCTCCCGAGTTTGGAAAGTCGTACTTTAAACAGGTGGGAGGAGGAGGCGTTGCTCCGTTCGCTTGCCTTCGGTTGTTCTGTGCCAGTTTTTAACTCTTATTTCTGCCTCAGCTGATGAGTTTTGTGTCTGCGGAGAGGGCGCGACACACCGTGTACCCACCAGAGGAGCATGTGTTTACCTGGACGCAGATGTGTGGCATCAGAGATGTAAGTTTAGCAACGCATGCACTGTTTGTATGGCTTAAAATGAACTATAAAACCCTGAGATCTCATGTTTGGATATATCTCATGAGTTATTCAGTTTTAACACAGCTTGGGTTTGAAATGAAAATTTATAGCGTTTGTTTTAAAAAATACAACATTGATTAATAGTGTATCATCCAGCACAGGTAAACATTAAAAAATATTTCAAGTAGTTTTGTCTGACATCATCTAGGGACTTATGAATATGTTACCTTACAACTTTTAAAACGCCTCACCATCAACTTGGTCCACGTGACCTCAAAAAAGTTTGTAAGTGATTGAAAGTTGTCTCTCATTTCAGATCAAAGTAGTGATTCTTGGACAAGATCCGTATCATGGTCCCAACCAAGCTCATGGGTTGTGCTTCAGCGTTAAAAGGCCGGTTCCTCCTCCTCCCAGGTTTGAAGCATTTTATACTCTTGATTTTGTCAATGGATTGTTGTTGTTTTGTAAATGTATGCTCTAAACACAGTTGGCAACATGTGGAGATTTGAGCTCAGTAACAAAGAAATGAGTCCAACTGCCCTGAAGCAGTTTTTTTTTTTAAATGCTTTTCTTTTCCAGTTTGGAGAACATGTACAAAGAACTGGCCTCGGACATTAAGGGGTTCCAGCATCCTGGTCATGGAGATCTGACGGGATGGGCCGAACAGGGTACTTATTATGACGGATGATGGATGATGAAGCAAAACAAGGCTGTAGTCGACAAACCTGCTGTCCTCTCCGTCTGTGAACGCGCCCCCTCAGGTGTGCTGCTGCTCAATGCTGTACTGACCGTCCGGGCTCACCAGGCCAACTCCCACAAGGACAAAGGCTGGGAGACGTTCACCGACGCCGTGGTGCACTGGCTCAGCAACAACCTGGAGGGCCTGGTCTTCATGCTGTGGGGATCCTACGCTCAGAAGAAAGGGGCCGCCATAAACAGGGTGCGTTTCAGTCGAATCCTCTGAACCCAGCGCTGTGACCAATCTGTTAGTCTTCAAAGCATTAGCTCAGATACTGTTAAGACCATGTGAAATGTCACGTTTTCATCTAAAGTGTTGCTTGCTGTCTGATTTCAGAAGCGCCACCATGTCCTGCAGGCTGTGCATCCTTCACCCCTCTCCGCTCACAGAGGATTTTTTGGATGCAAACATTTCTCAAAGGCCAACGAGCTGCTAAAAAAATCTGGGAAGTCTACCATAGACTGGAAGGCACTTTAAACTTGTGTTGATCAACTACAGACAAAGTCACCCATAAGCTTCTTTTGCCCCGTTTCTGAAACATTTCTCTAAGATATCATTTAATCTGGTGTCTTCCTTCAAACTTAGTGTCTTATCTGCGTTGGCAGGTTTCAGTGTTTTGTAAATATTTGTGTTTTACACTTAGTGTTTTTGAGTTTGTACATTAAAGTTTCTTTCTTGACTTTCTTAATGAAATGGTGGTTCCACTTTAAAAAGGTTCTAAATGGACCTGTGGTAAAGGAAACAATAGCAGAAAAAACTTTCCCATCTGCTTTAAAGATGACCACACTTTCTTATCATCATCTTGAAGAACGTTTAATAATTCAAAATCCAAACAGAAACCATATAAAGTTCGCAAAAATGGCCTTAAAAAACAAAAGCAATGACAGCATTTAAAGATTAACTGTTTGCAAAATGGCTGTATTTAGCTTGCTCTCAATAACTTTGTCCTACAATCAAGAGTGAAAGCTTCTTATTTTTCATAAACTCACGTATCGTTTTAATCTTCATCACATAATTGTTAAACTGGATCACTGAAAGTCATATTTTCTCATTCAAATATGAGAATATTTCTCTAAATCTGAATTTCCTCTTAGTCAAAATCTGAAACACTTGTTTTAAATGATTGAGACTTGCGAAGAAGTAGCTGAAATAGTTTGAAAAGAGATGGGAAATGTCTAAAATTTATTATATTTGACCAACAGCATAACGGTGTACATTTTCCGACTCAATATATAAAAAGTAAAGTTAAACGTGAATTAATAGAAAACAGCCACCCGGGTAAAGTTGAAAACGCTACTTCCTGTTTGGACGTATGTTTGAAGGCGTGGCGTCATCAGTGACGCAATGACGTCTGCAGGAAGACGAACCTCCCTCGCCTCAGTCACTCGGTTCGGTAGTAGCTGTAATGTGTGTATTTTGACAATAAGGTGACGATGCCCGTGGAGAGTCTGCCCGTCCGGGCTGTGCCTTTGCATTTCCGTGTGCTCCAGCAGTACCTGGTCCTCCTGAAGAAATACCCGATCCTCACCAAATCTGTGACCAGGTCAGTGGCTCGCAGCTTCTTTACTGCCGCCTTTCTGACAGCGCAACGTGCTTTTGGTATGATGTTTCTTGAGCTTTTGCAGTTGTTTTATACCCTGTAACCACCACGGGATTGTCAAGTTGGGTGCATGTGTACTTCTCTTGTTTTGTCTCTTTCAGGGGACTTTTGTTTGCTCTGATCACACACTGGCACTTTGTCATTGCACTCTGGCTTTAACCAATCAGCGTCTGTCAGGAGAACCTCCCCATGACAGTCCATGACTTTGGTTGAATGTTTAATTCATGGAGCCTTACTGACAAAGTGACAGTGTTTAATGTGTTTGTGTGTGTGTGCTGTGTGGGTGTGTGTGTGTCCTCGTGCTGTCAGTGGCATCCTTTCGGCTTTGGGAAACCTGCTGTCTCAGATTTTGGAGGCGAGAAAAAAGGCAAAAAGAGGAATCCAGGTTAATGGGATTGACGCCGCTGGAGCTGCGCGCTATGCCGTTTACGGGTGAGATTTAACACGGAAAGGAAGCTGAGACTTCAGATGATTTTAATGCTGTCCAGAGAAACCAGAGAATGGACCATGTAAAGTAAGACAAGAGGGATTCTGAAGCACCTGTTCCTGCTTTGACATCTCCATCTTCCTCCTAAATGACTTTGGTTATTTCTGCTGGACGTGTTCAAATATGACCTGCCCTCTGCAGGCTGTTTATCACAGGGCCAGTCAGTCACTTCTTCTACCAGCTGATGGAAGCCTGGATGCCCACCACAGACCCGCTCTGCGTGGTCAAACGACTGCTGCTGGATAGACTGATCTTTGCTCCTGGCTTTCTGCTCCTTTTCTACTTTGTCATGAACATCCTGGAGGTAGGTCTCCTCAGAAACTGTCCGATTCCTCCCATTAAGGTAAAGCACAATTTCACAACCGTATAGTTAAGGGTTACAAATTATTTAATTATTCACAGAAGGACTCAAAGTGCTGCTGTAGAGGCTGATTTGTTATCAATCAATCAATCAATCAATCCATCAATCAGTATACTTTATTATTCATTGTCCGGCATCCCGTACAATGAAATGATTAATTTCAGTACAACCCGTCCAAGATCATACAAAGCAACAGACACATAGACACACAGGGTTCGGGAAGACTGTGGGGCAGCCCATCTGAAGGCCCACCTTTTTCATTCATAAAAAATGAGACATCGGGAAAGTGGTAGCGGGAAGAGGGGGGGAAAAAAGGCCAAGTGCCACCCTCCCTACAGGGCATCTAACAATGATATATAAAAAAAAAACCCTTAGTACAATTAGGCACAGATACAGTCGAATCACAACATCAAGGACACATATGGGGAGGAAGTGTGCCAGTGTGTGTGTAAGTGTAAGCAAGCTGGAGGTCCACAGTTCACAGGCTCGATGGAATTTGTCCTTGTGATGCGGATACTCATGCTTGGGAGGAGGGAAGGGGTGGGGTGGGCAAAGCGTCCATCTGCAGTACTCGCCGAGAGCCGGAAGAGGTTACTATAATTTGTCTAAAACAGTACCAGCAAACTATCTTCTACTGTCTAATGCTGTTTTTTATGTAACCATTTGTGAGAAATACAAAGTCTAGACAAAACTACAGTTTGTATTTTTATGTATATATGTGTGTTTATAGTCAGATGTCAGATTTGTTTTGGTGGCGTGGCCATTTAATTTGCGCAGTATCCAAACTAAGTTATTATTATAAGTTGCTCCAAACATCTTATTTAATCCTACAATATGCATAGTCTTTGTTTTAACACCAGTGAATGGCAAACATATCTAATCTTCCAAATAAAATAAAAACAACATAGCATGTTATTGTTGTATATTGGCTAGACACAAAAGAAGCTGTTAACCATTTGTAAAAGTAGTTTATGATTATTCTTTTTTATGATAAATATCGAGCAAGATAATCTATATCAAGTGTCATTTTAACCACGTTTATTTAGCTACTATGCTATTTTAATTCAGATTCACTTGTATGATCTAGATATTTTTATTCATAGACTGTGTGGAAGGTAATCAGCTTAAACTGTCCTCAGGCCAAAGGTTGGGAGGATTTCGAGAAGAAAATGCGAACAAGTTACTGGACGGCTCTAAAGATGAACTGGAAAGTCTGGACGCCCTTTCAGTTCATAAATATCAACTTTGTGCCTGTTCAGGTACTCCAGCTCTTCTCTGGTATTCTGTCATCCAACAAACAGCAAATCAAAAGGTCTGCTGACACCACCAGCTGTGTGTGTGTTCCTGTGTGTTTTGTCCTTTCAGTTTCGAGTTCTGTTCGCCAACATGATCGCCTTGTTTTGGTATGCCTATCTTGCATCGGTGAGGAAATGATGCCGTCTGGTACGCCTTCACTGCATTCTCAGAGGACAGAAAAACACGGCTGACTTCCTCATCCGTTCTATACTTTCAAGTGCATTTGCTCTCCAGAAGAACGTTTTACAAACTGTGTTCCGTAGGATGAAGCCATTTTAACATGCTGCTGCACAGTACGAGCATCTTTACCAGCACTGCCAGATATCCAAATGACTAAACTTGAATTAAAAGAGTGAGAAATGCCTGTATACATACCGAAATCAAGGCCCATTCCTTCTGTTATTGTTGTGGTTGTGATCTTTTACGAGACAGAGCTATGCAACTGCAGAACGGCGAAAGAAACGCAACGAGATGTGTGCATTCTTAATACAGACTTTATTAATGCTGGCTGTCCTGTTACATCAAATGGTTTCAAATAAAACATGTTGCTGGCTTGTTTATTTTTCTGTATGAAATATTGCGAAAGTTACATGTGATGGAATGCTTTGATTTTTACATAAAAAGAAGTGCTAATAAATTAACAAAAAAAAAAAAACTAATCAGGAATGTAAATTAGCCATATGACAGTGTCCTTAGCCTCCTCTGAGGCGGAAAGTAAGGTAGATGGTGCTCATTTCTCTGACGTTGTAGTCCGCCAGTTTGTACCCGGAGGCCATGTCCTTGCCCTCGTGAATGAGCCTCTGCTGGCTCTCCGGGACCCCCTCTCTCTTGTGGACCTCCCTCTTGAACTCGTCCACGGTCTGGTCGGGTTTGACGTCGTAGGTGGTCGTCTGGTTCTTCTCGTTCTTGAGGAACACCTGGACGGTGGCCGGCTGGGTGAGGAGCAGGGAGACCCGGGAGCCGTGCTGGAGGCCGTAGGAGCTGAGGGCCCTGGAGTCGTCGTTCAGAGGCGTCCTGGCGCCGTTGTCGTACAGCAGCCTCTGGCCCCGGGAGCTGTGTCCCAGCTTGGCCTGGATCTGGCTCTTCAGGGAGCCCACCGTGTCGTGCGGCTGCACCGTGAAAGTGTGGGGCGTCCCGTTCAGCCCAACGACGATTATGTTCATGATGAGAGCGGTTCTGTAATGATAAGATAGGTAAATGTGTTATTAATGTGATATTAATATGTTATAACAAACAATAAGTCAAACGAAAAAAAGTTTCGGTAGGTTGTCGACTTGGTTCATTGCGGCTGTGATGAAAGAGAATCTTACCTGGCGAAAACTTTTTCTGCAAAACTTGTCCAAAAAGTTCAGAAGACGGTTCTTGGAGGAAGATGCTGAGCGCGATTGTGCGTCAGTCCCAGCTGAGCGGCTTTTATAGGCGGCCAGCCGCGCCCCCCTCCCTCACTTAGCATTCGTTTTCCCTGTCTGCCTTGACTTTCGGTTTCCATTCTCAGCACATGCCTGTGCTATTCTTCAATAGAGGTCTAATGACGCTATCTCTACAAGCAGGTTTATTGGGAAGGCTGAGCAGAGGATCAGCTGATCGGGGAATTTTCTGTGTTTTTGTTTGTTTGTTTTTACAGCTGTTTGGAAAAAGATAGTTAATTCCAGGACTCTGTTCCACTGAAACTATAGAAATTAGGTTGTTTATTGAGATGTCAGCATATCATAAAAACTGTACAGAAAGGGAACAAAACTTTTGGTGCCAATGTGTTTAGCCAAGGTGGTGATTGTGGGGTTTTGCTGCCTTATCTTTAAGGCTGTTTTGGGGTAGGGCTGTTTCTTTTTAAGACTTCAGGCTTTTAGACGTCTTGCAAAGAAAACAATCCAAAAATCAAATGTTCTATTTCAGGTTGCAATGCCAAACAATGTGAAATGTGCAATATTGAATTTATGTACATTTGAGACTAATTTCAGCATAGTTTCTCTTGTAGCTTGAATTGATATGAGTTGGATCTAACTGAATATTTAAGGTGGCCTAGTAACTACAAACACTGCATCCAAGACACTGGAGACAAGAGGGGACTTAAAATGTTGATAAACTTTAGTTTTTTTCATTTAAAAGAAACAGACCCTGGCAGCTGTGTAGAGAACCTCTTTATTGGAAAATGCAATCATCTGTGACAATGAGATCTAATTCAAAATAAAGTCTGACAAAGTGGAGGTAAGGTATAACAGAGCATTATCACCAGCATGTGTACACACTACTCCGCCCTGACATCTCATACCTGTGTGTCAAAACACAGCTGACTCACTTTGGTGTAATGGATTCTGAAAGGGAAATGAAACAGAAAATGAAAAGAGGCTTTTGAGGTCACACTGAAGTGACAGATACAAAACAATACAGATACATAAATAGGTATATATTTATTTATTGCATTACTCAATATGCACTTCCACTCTAAAAATACAAAACCAAGTCAATAAATATTCCCAAAATCTTCGGAAACATCAGAACTCCGAGTGCTTCAGTATGGCAGCCCTCTCCTCTCTCTTGGGGAACGGAATATTTCCTGTGGTAAGAAAAGAGAAAGAAGCAATGATCCAGCAGTTAAAATCTAAAATGGGATTATAAAAAAAAAAACATGCGCTATAATCTTTATTTTGCCAAGTCATTATGTAATTATGTAGGTGAAGTTCACAGGCTTTTCTCTACCTGGTGGTGCAACAAAATACTCTTCAACTGTGTTTTTGGAGAGCTGCAGCAGCTCCTCGGCACAGTTCCCCTCCATCGGCGCGTCTCCCCTCAGGTACAGGGCCCTGCACAGACACACACAGAAAAAATCAACAAACCTAAACTTTTCATCCCTCGGTAGGTCCAGCTGCCATATGCAGCTGAGTACCTGTCCTCCAGAACTGAATCCATGGGCTCGACCCCTGACGTGTCCACAACGTGGAGCTGGTCGGCGAAGCGTATGGCCTTCTCCAGGCAGTCCAGACCCTGCTTGGTGCGGAAGTCAACCAGGGCCAGTCGCTCCAGCTTGTCCACCAAATCAGCCGGGATTTTGGTGGGCTGTGAAGGCAAAGGGGCAATGTTTTTTAACTGTATTTGTAACAGCTAAGCTCCATGCCAATAATAAGTATATATATTTTTTTATCCATTACCAAAAATTGTTTGGAGACAAGTCAATAAAAAAAAAAGAGTGTACACTCCCAACTAAAACCAGTAAAGGTAGTTTCTACCAAATCTCTCTTTTGTTTTCTTTGACTCATAAGTGGTTTGATAACAGGTGACGTGAAAGGAAAGTCCAACCCCATTCTCTTTCAGCTTTAACTGAGCAGGACAAGGTAGTACACATAAGGGTAAGTCAGCTATCTCTGACTCAGGTGTTTTCTGGAAGGTGTGCTGCTTTTGTTTTTTTCCCTCAAAATCTAAAAAGAATGAGATCGTAAACACATCACATAAAGGTGACCTGGAATAACAGTGCATAACATGTAGCAGATCAGATTCTTCTATAGGGTTAAATCAACAGAAAACCGCTCTAAAAGTCGTTTGCTAAACTTATCTTGGGAGGATCTCATCACAAAAAGCAAACCCCGGTTTATTTTTTTTATTTTTTATTTTTAGCAAACCCCAGTTTGTGATAGTCCTGGCACAAAAGGCCAACATATAAGCTCGATTCTAACACCGGCGGGCACCGCTTGGCCGTTGTGTTGACATCTGTGCTCCTTACCGGGGGCAGCTGGTCCTCCGGGACTGGCTCCCATGTCGGGGACTCTGGCACCTGTTGGAAAGATTACATCCGCCCTTTTAGGAGTTATGGACGCGCACTGGCCGCTGCTCGTCCTCCGGACGGATACATTTGTCTTACCTTCGGATTGTGGGTCTGGGAGCAAAACGAACACGTTAGGTGTGAGCTGTGGGTCGGCGGGCAGCCGGGACGCGTCCCCACGTTTGTTACCGAGCATTTACGATTTGTTAGCAAGTCGAACGGAGGCGCCCGGAGGCGCGCGCGAGACACAGCCACGCGAATAAGGGACATTTCTGCCACGTTAACTAGCCAGCTCTGGTATAGTAAAAAGTATAAATCACATGTCGGTTTGTGTTTTGCCCCGAAAGGTCATTACTAGCACAGCTAGTTTCTCGTGGCTCCCGCTGTAGGGGGAGGCGCACCGAGGGGAAACGATAAGCGAGAGCACTGCACCTACTTCCTTGTTTCCTGATACGTCACCGCCGCCATTGTTGACGCCGTTTGTTGACGAAATACAGTTTCTTACATTTCAAGCATTATTCGAATATTTGGGAAATTTTAAACGATATGTTCATTGCAACCTCTTGGCATAAGGGAAATGTTTACATAAGCTTAAAATGAAATGATGCAACACGTTTCAAACGGTAAACGTGAAATGTTACAAAACTCGCTCCCTCACCTACCAACTACCCTTACAAAACCAGAAGCCACCCCCTCGCTGAACGACTGCCCGGATAGCTCAGTCGGTAGAGCATCAGACTTTTAATCTGAGGGTCCAGGGTTCAAGTCCCTGTTCGGGCGATGTCTCTTTTTCCTCACATTATTCCTTGATAGTACATCATCACCTCCGTAGCGTTGGGGCTGATCAGAATATATATATATTTAATCAAACAGCATACTGTTTATCTTTAGCTACATGTAAAGTCAGCACAAGGGCTTTTTGACTTGATGGTGCTGCTAATCGGATGGCAGAGGTAAATGTATAAAATGATCTAAGAGATAAATGTCTGTCCCAAATATTCTTGAAACCCTCTCCACAAAACACAAATAATATCAACACTAAAAGAGGGCTCAGTTAGAACACATTCTTCGCGGTTATTCACGCTGAGAGAAAAAAAACATGATGATGTTAACAAACTAACATTTTTGGTTTGTGTATTCAAAATACACATTACAATATGCTTTGGAAAAATAATCATTCCATTTTTTATTTTTCATAACAAGAACATGTACCATTCAATTCAATATATAGATATATGACCTAGGAGTGTATATAATCTGATTAATAAACAGTACACATTTAGAACCGACCAAAAAATAAAAATATCAGCTTTACAAACAAAGCAGCATCTGAGTGAGAGAAATAATCAATAAATACATTTAAAAAACAAAACACAAGTACTTTAGCATATAAAGGTTACAATAAATTATAAATAGTCTGTATTACCATTCACAAAGAAACACATATGTTAAATGCCATTGAACTTGCTATATTTGTGAAACAACACTTGAACATTTGACTGGAGTTTTAGGCTATGAATGACAGGCACGAGTCTTGGTAACTTGGACCAAGGGTGAATGTCTGATCAAAGTCTGCCAAAATATTTAAACTGTTCACTTCACAACATCAGATCAGTTGCAGTTAATGTTGAAAATGTGTCTTACTGTACCTTCCTTTTTTCGTTGTGTTCTTCAAACCACATTTTGACAAAAATAATTTGAACAGTGCCTCATTTGGTCATCCCAAATGTCACTACTGCCTCATCTGATCTGCCCCAATAATCTTTTACAATCTATAAACTAAAATATGATTTAGCAAGCAGCCACCAAACATGACAAGAAATGTCTATAATCAAAGTTATTAAACCCCACAATTAAAAAAATATACAGAGGTTCACTGGATAATGCAAAACAGCACACAAGGATGATCAAATTAGGCTTGTTTTTTTATACATATAAACTATCTGCCCACACATCCGTTAGCCACTCAGCTATTAAGTTATGATCAACAAAATGCAATGTATTTGTAATTTTCTTACACATTTTTCTCGAAGGACTCAACATTTCATAGGTCATTAGACAATTGGCAGGCAAGTTCAATAACAATGACAACACAGATTTAACAATAGTGTTGTTAAATCATTAAAATGGTGCTAAAAGCTTAATGATCATGATGTTTGCATGCTTAACAGAACAGTTTGGGTAAAATATCAGGCTCTCGGTCAGTCTTCTGGATTAGTTTGTGTTATACAACCTTTATATAAAACCTATAGACATTCACTAAGGGATGACTTGCTGATAAATGTCATTTCTTAAAATTTTTGGCTAATAAAATAATTCATATAAACTACTATCACAATCTATATTCCCATAAATATAGTCTCTAAATAAATTCAGATTTGGGTTTTTGGCTTGAGGTGTGCAACAAGAATTACTTTTTTCTCAAAGCGCACTCCGATCAATACTGACACCAGAGGGATTTCTAAGGAAATCACCAAGAAAGTAAAAGTTTAGTAGTTTCACCTGCTTTCTTTTGAACATACAACACACATTAAGCTTAATATTCTGATATACCTGCTGACAACTAAAAACACACAGAATAAAGCCAATGATGTTCTTAGCAGCAAACTGATTGTGAGGGCTTTGTGTAGTGTGGTGTGTGTGAGAGAGTATGTTTTTTTTTTATTGTGCTGCTACTGCCCATCATGCTTTTTATGGAAGGAAAACAGGACAACCAGCACATTCACTTGTTCTCTATCAGAATCTGCACCTTGCAAACCAGGTCTCTGGCCAGGGTCAAAATCTGCTTGATGTTGTGCCGCTCGGCCATTTCTGAAACACAAAACAGAAGTAGTAAAACACAACATAAACTTCAAGGAATCACGTGCCTGACTGAACTGATGGATAGCTGTACGCTCAACAGTCAAAACTCAAAATGATTATCCGTACTGCAAGACTATATGAAAAGAGTTTTTACTACACTATAATAGAGAAAACCAGATTTGAATGAAAAAGCATGTGTGGGTACACTGAATCCTTCACGAAGAGTGACTCATGGTGATTAACTGTACCCAACGGCTGATAATCCAATTAAAAGCTATGAAGCTGAAAAACAGGTAACAGTTCATTCATGCTGGAAACCCTTTTCACAAATTTCCAATGAAAAAGCTTTTATCATTGGGACCAACTGTAAGACTGTAAACAGGAATAACCTTGGCCTAAGAGACACCTGTGGATGTTTTGAAATCCAGTAAGTCTTCTTGAATTTATTACAAGGCCACAGATAGATATGAAAGTACAACAGAAAATACTGAAATCCTCCTTCAGCCTAATTAAAATGGGAAAAAAAGAGTTAAGCGACACCGTTGTTACCAGAACCATCCGGAACAAAGAAACCAAAACAATTGAACCAATGAAAGGTTTCATTAATGTTATCAAACCTGCATGCTATTTGGATCTACATGAAGAATTTGCAATAGCTCAGCATCTGTGTGGACCAACAGTGACACCTTATGCATAACAACATCTAAGACCAACAAATTTAGCGGTCGGAGCTTCAGCAAACGTTGAAGGATATATGGCTTTCATGAAAGCCATTGAATACACTTAGAAATGCTCTACTGACAGAGGCCAGTTCTCTCAAATTGTGAGGCTTTGACAGTCTGTGTTCATCCTGAAAGATCAAGACTAAATTAGCTTTTGCCCTGTCTGCATCATGGGAAACGTCTTTCCCTCGACAAGAGAAATGTCTGTTTTAAAGGCATTCGGGTTGACAAACGTTACTCTGCAGCACTCGTCATGTGAACAGCAGCTGTACGGTGATTTACCATTGAAGAACTTAATAATGTCGGTGAAGTCCATGTTGTTCTCCAGAATGATGTCCCTGTACATTTCCACCAGCGCCAGAGCTATGAAGAGGACGAAGTGATTGGAGGAGGCATACTTGGCTGCCCAGATGGTTTCCCAGACTGCGAACACGTCATCATACACCAACTCTGGAACACAAAGAAGGAGAAGTTTGGCTAAGATTTTGGTTCTTGGACTTGTTTATTCAAGTTTCTGTCAGGTCTTCATCTTTGTCATCTTTAAAAAAAAAAAAAAAAAATCTTATTGTCCCAAGATCTCTAGTTAATTTCCTTTCTTGAGCGTGCCACGAATAATCCCAGTCTGCACCTTTGCAGACTTGAGCATTTCTAAGTTTAGTTTATGAAGTGGCCTTCTGAAGGTTTAAATGACTGAGTGTTTCTTAGTGTGTTTTCTTAGGGAATGGATAAACAGATTAACCTTACATGCACTACTTTGCAACACTGTACTGTCACTTTACCTCTCTTGAAGTCTAAGAGAAACCAGCGGTAGCAGAAGTAGAAGTGCGTGTAGTCTCCATTCTGGTGCATTAGCTCAAACAGCTCAGAATCCAGAATCTTTACAGAGAGCATATGACAGGATATTCAGAACAAAAAGAGAAAATGTGGAGCTATTTAATGGATTTAGTGGTAGCTACAATTTGTGCAAAACATGTGCTTTGTTACCTGGATGAGAGAACGCATGTTAGCAAAATGAGTGTCCATTGCCCCTCCGTGTGGAAAATTCTGATTCATTCTCTTCATGAGTTCAGTGAAACAGTTAAAAGCTAGTGCCTCTGGAAGGAGAAAGAATCAATAACTGTAAAAATACACCAAATACCACAGAACAGGGGAAGAAACTAACAGATCCGTGTATTGACTCACCATCATCCAGAATGACTAGAAGTGGAGCCAGCAGGTCACACATTCCCTGAACATATCCAATGTCAAGGTGCCTCCAGATATAGCTGTAAATACACAACCAGTGTTTAGTGTTACAACCCATGACGATTTTTCTCACGTCTTATTTGCACTGTTTGTACACTACTAAATGCATTTAGAGGTAAAATGACAAATAGAAAATAAATTTAAAAGATATTTAAACAACGATGTAAAAATATATATGGACATTACATTGCATTGAGTATGTGTTAGGCATTAATCTAAAACCGGCTCCATTGTTTCTTATATAGGATCTGAGCTGTCTGTTTTGGAAGGTTCATGAATTCCACAAAACGCATCCATCTTCATTTCTGACACTGCCTTCTTTGCTTTACTCAACAAATAAAATAGGCCATACAAAGGAATTCTAAGTGGGACAGTGAATGCCATCATAACCTAAACCTAATTATTCCATCATGTCCCTGCAGGTGTCAGTTGTATACCTGCACATGATGTTGCGCAGCTTCTCCAGGTTGGTGGGAGTGAAGTACCAGTAGTTCCTGTCACAGCGCTGAACGTCCTTTTCAATACGGTGCAGATTGAGCGTATACAGGTCTAAAAGTTCTTGCTGAAACAAATAAGAGTAATAGCAATGGATCAAACAAACCACCAACGATGCTACTCCTCCAGAAAATGTATAAAAAATGCTCAAACGTTTTCTGACCCCCTTTAGAAAACAGGTAAAGTTCCCAACCTTCTGCCAAAAAGCCTTTACCATTTGCCTTCTCAGGGGGTCATGAACCAGTTCGAGAAGTGCCAACACAAAATCATCTAATATTCTAAAACCTTTGTGCATACAGAGTAAGTGCTCCCAGCTGATTCTCCACAGGTCCCGTCCTTCCTTGAGTTTCCGGGCGTGGATGTGGACTCAAACGGAGGGTAAAGGCTCTCCATCTCTGGTTCTGACAGGTTGGATTCAGACCCCTCTGGACTGAGCTTTTCCTCCTTCTGCCTGAGCTCCATGTGAGGGAACGAGCTGTCAAAGGCAGACGAGGTTTCACAATGTCCCTTCCTGCTCCAAGGCACCGTGGAAACTTTGGGTTTGGGGATCTCCTCCATCTCTAAGGCTGAGGGAGACTCATCAGACTCGGTCATGATCTGAGGCTTCTCTCTCTGAGAAGAACAGTAGGCTTCCCCCATTTCAGAGACTGGTGTATCTTTGGAGAGATCAAGATTCTTTTCCACTTCAGGAGCCCCGGGTCCTTGGAATAATTTGTCTCTCCCTTGAGTCTCTAAACTATTCGATTTATCTATTTCCTCAATCTTTTTCACAGTTGCTTCTTCAAGTTTGGAAGCACCTTCAATGTCAACTGTAATTTCATCCTTTTGCTTTTTTTCAGTGTACTCGCTTTTTAATTGTGTGGCTGTTATTTTCATGGTGTTCTTTTCAGACACTTCTTTTCTTGGTTCTGGTGACTCTGCAGGTTTAATTTCTTTCACAGCGATGTCAGGGTTTTTATCTTTAAAACTGTTTCCCTCTCTCTTAATAATTTCTGAGGCAGTATTTCCTTGAGTTTCAGAGGGCAGAGCTGTTTCTTTTTTGCACAAGTTCTCATCTTTTATCTTAGACTTTGCGTTTCCTGTAGTTTTGGTACCATCGATCACCTTTTCCTCTTCATTCCCTCTGTCCTTCCCTTCACCTATCACCTGGGTGTCCGTTCTCTCTGTCAGAGGTTCACCCTCCTCCGCTTTGACGGGGCCCTGTGATGGCTGAGGCACAGCTGCAGATCTCTGGGTGCTGTCGGGGGCAGAGCTGTCCTCCGTGCTGAGAGATCCATCCGACAGGCCAGAGGTGATGGAGAAGTTTCGGGAGGACGGATGCCCGGAGTCGGGGGAGCTAGTCTCGTTTTGAAGAGCTCCATTGGGCATTTTGGCCACTTGTTTGGCCTCCTCATTCTTGGTTTCAACCTCTATCTGGTCCACCTCCTCCACAGACTCAAACACCTGAAAGAACAAGTCAAAAGGAAGCAGACTACTCCAGGGGAAGGGATGGGAGGATGTAAAGAACTAGCAGGAGAGAGAAAGCAACAATGAGGGGTAATGAATCAAGGAGTCCATGCATTACTTGAGTTTTATTAATCAGACACGTGAATCAAAATGTGAAGAAATTAAGAAATAGAGGTCATATTCAATTGTTTTGCAGGATGTTTTTATACCTGAGTGCTGTTGCTGGAATCACTCTGCAGGCGAGCCAGACTCTGCCTGTCTGAGCTGGGGGAGGACGGGGACTGCAGAATAAAATACAACGTGCGAAATGTGATACACGTGCAAAGTTCTCTGCCCACGTGTAAATATGATCATTTAAAAATGTACAATAAAGACCATAGTGAACAAAGCCTCAGACACCAGGAGAGACCGTACAGTTAGTTCTAGGCATAGATGAATCCTCAAATATGTGTAACCTCAAATTATCTTTGCAAAGAACTGCACATCTAAGGCATCCACTGCAGTTGTCGTGATCCCAGGGAACAAATTTATCACATGATTTGAATGTTTTCTATACCAAAACACATCAGGCCAATGCACTGTGGCATCTGGTTGTGGCGTTATACCACATTGGGATTAAACGTGTGGGTCAGGGTTAGACTTTGTGTAGGCGTTGGCGCGAACCTCATTGCTCACTGTGGAATCACGATGGATCATCCTCTGACTGGAACTGTCCATGCTCGCCCCAGTCGAGCACTTGGCCAGTGCTGCAGCATGCTGCTCTTTCTCTCTTTGGCGGACGATCTCCTCGCAGCTCAGCCACTCACGCATGGTCTGCTGGTAGCACAGTCGGATTCGTTCATCCACCTGCGTTAAGGGGTGAGGAATATCGTCGCTCGGTGGTCAAAAGGGCAAATTTCCCTGAAGCAAAGCAACAGTCACTGGGAGAAAAAAACAAACAAACCTCTTTCCTGTCTGCCTCAGTCATTCCGAATGTGTAGTGACCCAGCAGGAAAGGCCACACTTCTTTACGCAGCGAGGGCTCCACACCACCGAAGTACACCAGACGGAGCAGCTCCTGCTCCTTGTACGCCTGAAGATAGAGGGAATCGTTACAATCATTTCAGAGGTTGCCTTTTGGCAAGCTGCAGTTAAATACTGGCCTAGCACTGATATTAGCCCCTATTCAGCTCGTGACTGCTCTGGCCTATCAGCAGACAGGATACCATCTGCTGATGGCACTGGCTGGTATTTATCTGCTGTGTATTCCTCGTGTCACTCTGACTCTTGTTGGTCCATATGAACGTTTAAAGTCATTGCGTTGGCACTGGATAAACACTATAAGGCGTGTTTATAAAAAAGCTATCAATTTATTTTTAGAAACATTCGATGAGAAGCGTTATATAAAGCATGTAGGGTTTTCTGATAATTAAAAGAGAGGATGATAAAGGACTGAAATGGCATTAATGTTTTCATCATATTTATTTCCTTGTTTATCTGGGATTTAAGGGTAATTGAAGCCTAAATGACACGCAAACACACACACACACCAGAGTCCTAAATGTGCAAAAGATATTTGGGAGCAATGGTATCTCAGAACACATATGTCCGGAGCACTCTTTCCGGAATTCCTGTAAAGATTTTTCTCCAAGCTCCCAAGTCACCAGATAAGACAATGTGCCAATGTGTCAGCAAATATTTCTCAGAATTTTCCTGCTGTTGTGTCACTGAGTAGGTGTGTTCCATTTAGTCTTTATGCTTCTGTCGCTCCCTGCTATTTTGGATAGGTAGAAACTCATGCAATACTCAAATCAGCCAGGAACAGGGCCTCATTTGCTATTGTCAGCCAATCCCAGCAGATATTGGGTGAGAGGCCAAACAGAGAAAAACGGCCACACAGGGAATACCTTTCATCTCTGCATATAAACTATTTTTCTTTCTCGATCAAACCTTCATTAACCTCACATGATCATAATAAAAGTCCTAATGTGGACTTCGTGTGACATTAACTGGGCTGTTAGCCACGCTTCATGCACACTGTTGTGAAACTAATGGCGTGAGCAGCATGATTAACAGCTGATGAATAAAGATGAGACAGGAGACTGACAAAGTGAAACGGATCCTGGCGTTTGACGTGCGTGTGTGGACAGTGTGCTGTCGGCAGTTGCTGTGAACTTTGCGTCGCAGTGCGGTGACACCAGCGATACTTACTGTGCAGTCCTGGAGGAAGGTCTTCCACACATCCACAGTGAGTCCACCGTAGGCGTCACAGGGCACATCCGGGGCCACGATGGCGTGATTGACGAGAGCGGAGAGGTGTGTGCGCACGGTGGACAGGTGACGGCAGTATGCCAGCCCTGATTGACGATACAGTTAATCATCTAATCCCACTGCAATAGCAAGTTATCATTGTAATTTGGCATGCAGCACGTTTTCATTGTGACTGAAACGTTAATCAAAAAAGCAATCACATACAGCCATAAAATGCCCTGGAGAAGATCTGATATTTCATGTTGTCGCACAGCAGCTTCAGAGGAGTCCTGAAAGATGATAAAGCTCCGATTATTTTACTGGTGCTGGGTCACAACGTGGCTTGATATATGGTTCCAGCTCTCTTCTGATAGAATGGTATAATTAAACCCCCACTGAAACAGTCCTCACATGCATGTGATTTCTATACTATATCTAGCATAAGGCCTATTATAGGTGTGAGAATGACCTTTAACTAAATGATAAACTATTGTGCTGTCATACAGAGAAAATTAGCCAGGCAGATTTTTTTTTCCTGCTGTGATTATCACCCTATTCACCTAACACATCATCATTCTAGTGAGTTAAAGGTCACATAACTGTCCTCGGGTGGTTACTAAGTAGCTATTCTGTCATTCTTTATCCTCCAGTCTCCTCCGTATTGTTCAGGATGTCAGGTGAGCGAGTATATCTGAGGTTTTCAAAACCATTATTCCACATTTGTGTCTCTCCTACCTCTCGTGGTTGCACCCCTTGTGTGTCACCCCATCAGAGAAGCTGCCCTGAGAACAGGAGGAACACGACGACTTCCTGAGAGTTGGATGCCACATTGAGACTCCCTGATCCATGAGATCTGGAGGAGAAGCTGTGTGCAGAAACCCACATTTTCATTATCAATTTAAAGCAGTCCTCTGCTAACGTTTTTAAGGCCTATTCAAATTTGCACAGCTTTTGCATAAGAACAGTTTTGATCAACTGTGACCTTTTTACAGCCCTTCAAAGTAACAACTGTATTGCTTTTTTTGCTGTTAAAGCAAATACAAGAATCTTAATAAGCAGAGAGCACAGAGCCATCATAGTTATTTAATTATCAGGAAATGGATCAATGGAGAAAGAGACATTTTCAACCAGCAGCCAGAGCTGTAAAAAGGCTATTAAAGGTTATGTCATCATAATGTAGAGAGAAAGGTGTGAGAGAATGTGGATTTAATGATGAAGCACGTCGATAATCTTTGCCTAAGGCGCAAGTCAGACCAGAAAGATATTAGAAGCACAGAATTTGAGCAAGGCAAGCTGACAGACAGAAAAACAAGCCAAGGCGTGACAGTGCTGCAGCTGCTTCCTGTGAGTGACTGGGATTTCTCATGACAGCTAAAGGACCTCTTGGGTCCACTCCATTGAAGGGAGAGAGGAGTCAGGTGGGGAGGGTGGGTGAGGAGGGTTAGGGTTAAAGTCTCGGTTAAAAACAACAAAGCTCAACATGGCAACTCCCGCTGTGCACTGCTTATGCAAAACTACTTTTATGGAACTAAACGTACCAAAATCTGGCTGGCTGTTTGGAAACGTGATGCGGAAGACATAGTCTGTGGCCTCGTCCTCCTCTTTGTCTGAGACCGAGTCTGAGGATGCAGATCCCAGTGGTACCCTCTTCCTGATTTTAGGGAACACCTTCCCCTGCACAAAAAGACCCCAGGTCAGTCACCTCCAAGCAGAGACGTTTCTGTGAGTGCGTTGTTTGATCAAGATGGAATACGTGTAGCCGGTTTTAGTTTTTCACATTAGTGCCGGGACAGAGCTGCTCAAGGCTTCACAGAAGCATTCTCTTCACACTTAAATGGTGATGAGGTGGTGCTGAGAGGGAAACAGACAACACCTTCATCTGTATTAGTCCACACAATATGGACTGATTCAAAATGGAAAATTTATGTTTTCCTGATCAAACAAGACTTAACTCGATATTTCCTAAAATAAGTCATGTTAAACGTCTGCACTTTGACTAAAATGATGAGACAACCTTCCCCCTCTGGGACCAGAGTGGAGGGTCCAGTAGGCCATGAGGAAGCAGGCCGTTTTCCAGGCAGGAGAGGAACTGGAGCAAATGGCCTCCTCTGGGGAAGCGAAGTGGAGGCCGTTGGATCCCATCTTGACTGACCAGCACCACCGTACCCCCACTGTCCACTAAAAGGTGTATGGGAGACGATTTCTTTATTAAACTGTTCATTACATTTCACTGTGTCTGGTTACACAGTGATGATTTAAAAAAATACTCATGGTGTTGAGTAGAGTTCTTTTTTTTACCTTGTTGGTGACAGTGCAAGTAAACTATCTCCTCCAAAGGGATTGTCATGGCATAGTCCCAGTACACACTGAGGAGCAAAGAATAAATAAGAAGTTATTAAAGCTACAACTCATGTCTAATCTTTGAACACTGGATCTTTGAAGATCTAGTGTAAGTTTTTTGTTTGCTTCTACTGAGATTAATTTTGTGTCTAGTAAGATGGCTCTTGACAATGTGCACAAATCAGATGGGCACAACTGAACAAAAATCAGCTTTTGTGGTAAGTGAAACCATGTGCAGACATTGGAACATAACATGGTTTGCTAGTTTGTGCGATGTCTGACAGGGTCTCAGTCAATAAACCATCTGTTGGGCGCTGGTGTGCTGAAAATAGGCCTCATCAGATCAGCGGCGTTTATTCAGCGTACTGAGCCCTGAGCGACAGACAAGCAAACTGCATTATTCACTAACACGCGGGTCTAACTCAAACAGCTCAGTGAAGCAGAAAAGAAACAAAGCCGTGCTTTGATGCGTTTGTGGAGGTAATTTGCACATTTTTAAAACATAAAACAATAACTAGTAATGTCACCATCATCATAATGATCCGGATGCTTGTGAGTAATTCCTTTTACCTGCGTTCATAGTCCAAGTCTGCAACAGAGCCATTCATAAGTTGATTTGGAGTCCATTTCAGTGTCATGAGGTCAGCAGTCTGGTGCAGAGAGAGGTAACCTGGGATGGCCTCCATGTCATCCCTCTGAGACAACAACCAGGGAAGACTTTAGTGAGTACGAAGCCGTGGCAGACTGTATTGAGTCTAAAGAAAACACCACAAGTGTTTACTTTGGTCAGAGCAAATACGTTCAGTTGATCTGTGTTTGAGAAATGTGAAGGTGAAATTTAAAGATTCTGGAGCTTCCTGCTGTGTATTACGGAGGTAGATGGTGAAGAACTTAAGTATAAAGTTGAATTAGCTTAAGAGAAAATGAGGAAAGTCTTGTAACCGGGTTCTCCGCTTTAATAGACTACGAAGCGCTCCTTAGGTCGTGTTTGTAAGTGATGACGATGAGTCAGACAGTTACCGGCTGTACGAGCACGTTGTTCTTGCCGAACAGCAGTGTGGCCCTGTTGTTCTGATGCAGTGACTCCACATATTCACGAGCTGATGGGGAGGGGGAGGGGCGCTCATCCATGCTGCTGCTGGAGTGTCGCTTCTGGATCTGCACGGCACAAACGCAGTCGACATCAAACCCAATAAGGTGACGACCGACTCCCCCCTGTGCTCATGTGCACCAAAGGAGCACATTGTTCCTGATGCCAATGAGTCTTGATTTGCCGGGGACGCGCATGTACACGGAGCACATCTCCACGAGCCCGTGAAGAGCACTGCGGCGTGTAAGACAGGCCGTGTTGACCTGTCTCGCTGACAACATGACAACTGAACAAAAGACAGGGTCTGAGATACGCTCTGTTCTTTCTCCTGGGATGCACTGTACTTTACCCAATGCATCTCAGATGTGAATGTCTGCCAGCGCATGCAAGCTAATCCATCAGGGTGAAAACATAAGAAAAAAACCCCCAAAACTAGTTGAGGGGAACTTTTGAGGGTCAGTGTTGCCAGCTGTCACACTTACACACAGTGCGGGCCTCTTAGTGGGTGAATCCTGCCTGCAGTGACCACTGTGGATGCGATGTCTTTGCACTAGCTCGTCAGCAGAGGGGTCTGTCCAGAAGTGGTCAGCCGTCTTCATTTTTGTGTACTCCAAAGCACAGGGTCCAACTGTCCACACACCCCACACACACACAACGCCCGTGCAGTCAGCTTCAGATTATCTTAAACACTGTAAATGCGTCTTGAATGTGTTGCATTACAACAGAGATGTCCAGTAAAAGGACTCAGACCGTATATAATCTTATTAAAGATCAATTACCAAGAACTTTATGACAGTATAGTTTGGTGTTTGCTGAGTTAGGCAGCCGGCCCTCATCAGCAGAGCCTTAGAGTGTGGAACTGTGAACGACTGTCAATGTTTATCTGTGGGAGCTTGCTAAAACCCTCTGATTACCGGTCTGCTACAGTGAAAATGAGGATACTTATAAATTCATGGAAAATGGTCGGAATTGATATTAGATTACAGTTATTAACTGCTTCCACAGTCACATATCATTACCCAACAATGATGCAAGGATAGGTCCGTCTACAGGGTCCATTAGAAAAGCTTCTTTTTCGTAGTATTTACTGGAAGACAAATATCAAAGGGAAATTTGGAAGCGGCACAGAAACCTTTTCACAATGTCTAAAAGAGCATTCTCTGTCCTTTGATCACACCTGCTGTTCTCCACCAGGTAGAGGACAATCTTGTCCAGCACTTTCTCAAACAGAGCCGTCCGGATCCACAAGTTCTTGACTCCCTGGGGATTGAGGCTGGGGAGTCGGGGCAATTTTCGAAGGCTGTCCTGACTTTGCAAACTCTGGCTTCGCCTGACAAAATAAAAAAATGAATAAATAAAAAAAATGAAAATAAGGTTTATACAAAACAAGTCTTCTTTTTATGTATAGTATAACCTGTTTTTGCTTCAGCAACAAGCTAAGAGCATGAATGATTCATGTTCCAAAAAGCCAATACAAATGAATTATTTACAAGCTTTCAATGAAAACGCATAAAAGAAAACAACCCCTTCACACAGAAAGCAATTTGAATGATTTGTTGGGACAAAGAACAGGACTTTGATGCAAGCTTTGAAATCAGTTATGATGAGACAGAACAGGTTGTGATGTGTGCATCTCACTTTGTCTCAATTATCTGCTCGAGCTCCTGGGCCTTCCTGCACATCTCCTCAGCCGGTGGGAAGCTTTTCCCCACTTTCATGAAAAGCGCTGCTATCTTGTTGCTACGAAGAAAGCCAGCTGCTCGCCGCCTTAGCCCATGCAGAATGCAGGCCTCCACTGCAGCTGTATGGACACAAACATGAGATCGGAATAAGGAATACATACCCTATAATCAGATTTTTTTTTAGACTGTAATCCCCAAGTGCATAGGAGTAAAGACACAGAAATCCATCAGCAACAAAGACCTCAGCTGGAGCCAAACATCACTTTTGTGAAAAAATAACAGCAGTCATTATCAAGATAAAGTACTTAGGTCAGGTTTAAATCTAATATTCTCCCTTCCCATTTGTTTTGTCTTGGTCTTCGCCACCTGCTGGAGAATAGGACGAAATTGTTACACGACATATGCTGTTGGGTGTACAGCAAAAAAAGAAATTAGCTTAAAGATGCCAACCCACTTTTTAAAGCCTCCTCAAGACAAAACAATATCAAGTGACTCACTGCTAACGTAAGATGTGATTTAATGCAGCTCTGTGGCACAGACAACTCATATCTAATGACTTACATCTAACATGTCCTGCAACAAATTCAGCTTTAGATACTTAGATATATAGCAGACACTCTCGACACTGCTTAATATATATAACGATAGCAACACATAACTTGAAAGGTGAGTAGGGTGTTAATTTCTGCGAATAATTTCTCTGCAGACGCCGAGGCTGCCGTGCAGTATACACTTTAACGAGAAAAAGCACAAGGCATCTCTCAGCCTCTGAAATAAAGCTATTCAAAAACGCCCTCGATTACTTTCCCGTTCTTTTCCAGATGCCTCTATCCATTCTATTCATTTCAATTTACTAGAATATTTCCTGAATCATTTAAGCGGCGAGCTATGCTGGACGCGGGAGTGGATGGTGGGCTGACACACATTGCTTGACTGTGGAAAAGACCAGACACCCTGCCTTCCTCTCAGGCCTACGTGGCACTGCCTGGAGCTGTGTTGACATTTGAATCCTCTGTCAGGTCTAATCCTGTGGCTCTGTTCACATAGGGTCAGAGTGAAGTCGTCATGACAACCCCTGTTGATGGTGCGATCAGCCTCCTGTAAGGGAGGGGAGAGGCAGCTTGCGACTTGTGAGCATCACGATCTCTCCGTCTCCGCTCTCGTCGCTCCAGCAAACACAACCTTTTTTTCCCCTTAAATCTGTTTTTCTCCCTAAAGAAAAAACAGTTAATCAGGCCCCCTTCTAACAGCATTTCTTTCCTTCCAATCCCCCCCCGCCACCACCACAACCCTATATGCAATCTACAACCTCTTGTTTTGCATCATTAAAAGACCAAGAAGGTAAATGTCAGAACAAAGCACCAGGGTAAAAGGTCACAAACTAAAGTTCATGCTCTTTGCTCTAATAACTGATCTTATATGTTGCCTCTGAATGCAGAGAATAAAGATAAAAAACATTTCACCTTTCAAACCACTTGTCCTACATACTACACTCAAAACAAACAAAGAAATACCCGGAGCACCACTGGAAGTTATATAAAAAACACATAGGAAACTCAACATATTTACTGAAATATCCCAAAATTACACAACTAAAACAACAAATCAATAATGACATTTAAAAGTATTCCCAGGAGCATGTGCAGTGCATGGACATGTGAGGTCTACACTGGTTAGGATGCTGTGCTGGTGGGATGATTTGATTGTGATTTTGGAAATTTCAACATCTGTTTTTACAAGTGACCATGTACAGTTTTCGAAGCTCTGATAAGGCCTAGAGTATAACCTCAAATCCAGATTTACAGCGAGGAGATACCGCGGATGGTGAGCAAGAACAAAATGCAGAGGAGGAGGAAGCTTAAAACATTTACTCCTTTCATCATCATGAGAAATGTGAGACCATTGGCAGATATAATGACTGAGCTTGGAGAAGAGATGGGTGTAGTGGGAATATAGGGATTTATTGACATAAACTGAATGACAATGATTGATAATGATCAATGTGATAATTGATTTGACACTAAAAACGGCAACAGTCACAGATCTACCTAATTCTAATTTGTCATTTTAGCAAAGAGTATGCTAAAGTGAAAACTATGCAGCTTATATATTTGTAATGGGAACCTTTATGTGACATGATAGAAATTTGATCACTGTTATATTAGGAAGTAAGATAAGGCCAGTTAATAGTATTGGCCTTTACTCTTACTACTGATATACTGAAAATAGTAAATGTTTTAATGCAAAGGGATGGAAATAAATAGATAATCCTGGATGTGCCTGTGTATTTAATTATTTTGTTTCTGCTACTTTCTTATTGTGTTTTAACCCAGTAAACTCTGTTGCTCTAGCACATGTTCCCAGCGGTTTTGAGATTTCATTCAGACTCATCCAAGGCAGCTCATCAAAGCAGCCTTGATGGTGCGGGTTAATGGCACCGAGTGAAGTAACTGAGCTTCCCCCTCATCCGTCCCTCACTCTCATTTCTGAACAGACCACCGCTGAAATATAGCAGCACAAGAGTCAATATAAGGATCACAGGGGGGGGACTCAAGAGGAGGGAGCTGGTTGGCAACAAAACAAAAAGATGAAAGGGTCATCTTGAGCTGCCGGTTTTCCACTGGCAGAAAAAAAAACCTTGATCCAACAGACAACGTCCGCTGACATGCTTCAATGAAAACACAGCCTGCGCACCCAAACCACTCCACGTTCAAATGTGTAAGAGGGCTGAAAACTACTTTCATATCTCTGAAAGAACTAAATAAAACCATCAAGTAGAGTTGGAATAAGCGTATTAATATATAAGAAGGATTTCAAATGTAATTAAACCATTGGTTTAATAGGTTTTCATATAGTGTTGCAAATCTGTTTTTACACAGTGTCATTCAAAAAGGCTAAACCTCCTTCACATTATGTGAGGTGGAAATTAATCTTAAGTGGATCTTATGTGATAACCCAGAAAACACACAAAACATCACCTTGGTTACGATACATTGGACTCTTGTTCTTCGCACTTTTTATTTTACTTTGACTAAGTCTAACTTCACCTTGTCTTTGTCAATCTTTGCAACTAAACTTAGTGATTTCACCCACTGCCACATCAGTTTTTGTGTAATGCCATTGTGCAATTGCATTTCCCCACGCACAGAAGAGCAGAGGGGTCTACAGACCTGACAAACCATCATGTTTTCATCGGTGCGTCTCTCTGCACATGGTTATGAAGCACTACCGTGACAAGTGCTAATTATATACATTATTTCCTGCATCTTACCCAGAGTTTATGTCATGAGAAGGCTGTGTCACTTTTCTTCTGTTTATACCATGAAATTACTTTCTCACATTTCAAATTCAAGAGTATCATCATATGACTTACATCGAGCACTTAAGGCATTAACCCAGTAAAACATGACATTTTCTGTGAGCCGAGATTATTCACAGTAAAAACTGTATCTGGTTATGTCTGGTTATAGCTCTGGTCTGAGACAGTGTAAAATAATAGGAGAGTGCATGTGGGCAGGGTGTTTTTCACAGTGATCATACTGTGATCTATCACGTGCGCGTTTGAGGCAAGAACGATAACATTTGGTGAATTATTTATGCAAAAATGTATCATGTTTCTGTCCAACAATATTTGAATGAAGCAGCTGATATCTCAGCTTCCTGTTCCGTTTATTTTTAAACAAATGTAGAAAAATCGTTGAACAGACAGATTGTATGAAAACCAAAAACAGATGAAAAAGCAGTGATTCAACTAATTGAATCAAAGCTGTTCAACTACCAGTGGTAAATTGTATCTCAGTTAGCTGGATATATGTATAACCTCTTTGATTCAGAAGCCTTCCCTAATTTATGTAGTTACTGAACAGTGTTTGGAATCAATAAGAGTCTGAATAATATACTGATGGACAGGTTACAGGTAAAAGGCTGATTTATTTATTGGCAGCCAGTTACAGGGGGTTTCCACATTCATGTGGATTATGTAACACTTTTTCTCAAGACAGAGGGGCTAATAGCTAGAGGTAATATTTTGTACAGCTGTACATATAGTGAAAGTGTGAAATTAAAAAGAGATTAAAGACCAAACAAAGATGTGTTAAAGGGATGTTATTTTGGGAGCATTAGCACTAAAGTACTAAAGCACAGCATTAAATCACCTGACATTTGGAGGAAGACGGTTGTCTGATTACTAAAGCAAGTCACTTTAAAAAGGTGTGAGTGTGAAAACAGTGACGAATGGTGATGAGTGGCTCAGAGCATCCTTAAAACGAACTCCTCTGGGATGGTCCTGAGATGCAATGAGACAAGGAAAGCCACCCAGTGAAATAACGACCAAGGCTCAGAATCTATCAGCAGAGCTATTAGCTCAAACCACTGAAAACAATTATGTGACCACAACATAAATGCTGTGCATCATGCTATGTAACTGTCAGAATGCTCAATGCTATTCAGGCCTTGTCCACCACAGACAGCCTCCATGAATCCCATTTCCTACTCAGTCACATGGACAACCAGGTGCACGCGCATCAGGATGAGAATTAGTTAAAGAAAGGGAAGTAAGACAGGGCGGCCCACATTCAACTTTTCCAACAAACAACATGTGCTGTGTTCTTTTTAAAGCAGATTAATGATGCATTGTGCTGAACAGCAAAAAAGAATTTAGGAATATTTTTAGAAACATAGAAAAATAGGTTATATTAAACTCTATTAGTTTTTGTCCTGCTACCAAGAACAAAATATATAAGTGTATTTTGTGTTAGCTAATTCTTGACGAGGCATTGTTGGATAAATAGACCATGTTTAAATTGTCCAATCAATCGTGATTATACAATAAAAACCAGGTTTCAGTTATTGCCTGAGCATCCTATAGGGGAGGCGTGGACTCCACAGGAACAAATAAACGCAGCAAATGAACCACCTCTTTGTGATGTGTAGATACTCACCACAAAAGGACACGATGTGGCTGCTGTCTTCATGAACAAATTTCCTGGTGACAGCTTCCTCCATAATTTGCTTCACCTGTCAACCATACAGCAGATATGGGATGACTCATTCATTAATATGCCACAAGTAGTACAAGCAGTGTGCCACAGGCTTTTTGGCAGAGATTCGACTGAGTGTCAAAAGAAAAGATAAGACAATTCATTAATCAGATGCATTTCACTGTGAGAAAAAAAATCTAGTTCTAAAAAGAGACAGAAAAATAAATAAAGGATAGAGCAGAGCTCAGTAGGGAAATGACTTTTCAAAGTTATGGGAGGGAAAATGATGAGTGAGACTGCATGTTTAGATGGTGGTGAGTCACCAGCTCTTATCACAAGGACCTCTGAGATGCTACGTTTGGGGTAGAGGGAGGGGTGTATGTACATCCCTAGTCCCTTTATCTGATTCTGTTGAATCAAATGCTGGTAAAAATTCATTTCATCCTTGCCTTTCAAAAGCATGAATTAGGTTACGCACGCATGCTCACAAGGTAGCACTCATTATTTCGGCTTTGTTGTCACAGCAATGTGTCCTTCTCCCAGCTGACCCAACGACGGCTGCAGACCATTAGTTGAGATGAGTGAACCCTCCGGTGACTATGGAGATATCCCCCTGTGTGGACACCACTCTGCAATCTGCATGGAGAATATCAACCTCCGGCCATGGTTCCACAGATAGCTGTAATTTCCTGCTGAAATGAGTCTGTCCACAATGACCATATTACATTGACATGGTCATCATCTGCACACACGAACACCCTCATGCACACACACATACCCATGTTGGCTTTGTACAATTGACATAACTTAGTCTTTAGAGCTAAATCAGATGTTATTTTCAAGGCCTAAACAATACATTTTGTCCTAAACTTCAATCTAATCTGAATCCTAAAGGAAAATGCTAATTGTAGACAGCCTGGAGTAGTTTTCCCAACTCCCTCACTCCCACAGTCATAAGCTAACTGAAGCCTCATTTAGATATCCTCTAAGCTCCAATGGTTTCTAATCACTCAGATCTATTTTACTCCTTTTTCAAATCCAAACATTGTTATAATCCCTCTGGTGTCATCAGTTCATTTCTCACAAAGGCAGTTTGGAGTTTTATAGAGTTGGAAATTTAATTTTGTTGCACCCTTGAACTGCCAAAACTTTTACATCAGTGTATTCTAAATCAATTTTAAAAACAGGGGTTGGCAAACAGATATTTAGTAAATAATAAATGTGAATACACATACAACTCAAAGATTTCTTACTGCTTTCTGTGTGGTGTGAAAAATGTATCTCTCAATCCTGAATCAGGAACCAATCAGATTTTTACTTTTTGGTTTCAAAAGATTAGGAGAAAAACATCTATCTTCAACCTCGCACCCTGAGGATATGCACATATATATTAAAAACATTTACTAATTAGCTGGCAGTCATTAAACAGCACGAGTGGTGCTGTTTTCTTTAGCGTGGACAGCACTGATTCATGCTGCCAACATAATAGACAGCCTCAGTCTGTCGATGTGAAGCATGCAGTCATAAACTCAAACATACAAACGCGGACGAGTGATTCTCTTTTATTCTCACTCCTGCAGATACACAGAAAGCCGACTGATTTGCTCACTTGTGTCTCTCATCTGGGCAACTGATCAGCCCTCTGAGGATTATATGTGGTAAAGTGTCTGTGCAGAGAGGTTTCTATGGAGACCTCACGATTATCACAGTGGATCACTTTCGGCAAAGACACGCATAAAAAAACAAACATTTATTCATTTCTGAAACAAACAAATAACTGCAGTCCCATGACAACTGTTACTTAGAACATCTACTTATAGAGTGCTTAGATCACTTTGTGTGTCATCCAGTGATGCCTTAGCGTGATCAACTTGCGTGAGCAGAACAAAAATCTACCAAGACATGACCACAGAAAGTAGCCACGTCTAACAATAAGCAAACAGAAGTATATTTCTGATTCAATTTTCAGTTTAAACACTAATTAAATATTAGTATAACAGTAAAGCCTGATGAATACTCTCTGACTAACCAGACAGCGTGACAGCAACAGTGATAAAACATCTACTGAGTATGCCGATCAAGTCTGGCATTAGAGCCAGGAAAACAGAGCCAGATACACAGCCTCATCGACAAATACCCACCCAGTATCATTCCAACTATTTGTTGCTGTTAGAATTGAAAGGAGTGTACAATGAGAAGAAAAAAGATTCAACATGAAATCATTTGACATGACACTTGAGGTGCAGCTCAGCAGAAGCTCCACCCTTCAACACAGAAGCTTGTCTAGTTCATCAAGCCTTTGATCAGAAATCAAGACAGCACAGGGAGTCAAGTGATGTAGCAGCAATGCACCTCTCAAGATAACACTAATAATCATCATTATACCCTCACCTTTAGATCAAAAACCCTATTCTATCTGTAGGCTCTATCAGTGTCTATGAGGTCAGTTGTAATCAAAGAAGCTTTCATTTTGTGCATCAATACACCACCAGGGATAAAGAAAATAGCCATTTCATTTCTGATAAAGAATGACACCAATGGATGTGAGTCAGCATTTTGAAGAACAATAGGAGAAAGGAAATGCTGGTGTTCTTCCTTTATGTCTCTCCTTTAGCAAACACAGGTGTGCATTAGTGTGTGCATGTGTGATATTCAAAGAGGCACCAGGACCAGCGAGATCGGAGCACAACAAAGCCTCACAGACAGGTAGAGAGCTCTCTATTAAAGCCGAGGCAAACAGGAGTTCTGGTTCAAGCCGATTTTGAGCCAGAAGGTAATTCTGCAGTCAGACATGCTCAGCTCACTGGATAATGGCCCAGATCCAGGTATGTCTGAGCAGACGGATGGCATAAAACCAGCTGGAAAGGGAGAGACCGTAAACATACAGCTAAGACAGCATATGGAACAGCTCAATCTGAGAAATAATAATCAAAAACTAAGAGATAATAACTTTTCATTGAAAAATGGTTTTATACTGTGTCATGAACATGTACAATTCTATAAAAAACAAGCAAACATTCAGTGCCCTTTTAATTCTTACGTTATATAATTGCACAGTGAGAGGTCAACGATTCATAGAATACGTTTTTTTATATGACACATACGTTTATGTTGATCCTCACAAAGAGTCATTGACCAATGAACTCTTTAACAACTGTTGATCCAGCCACAGACTTGAACTTAGTTCTGAACAAATACCAGAGCAAAGGGCCTTATGTATGAACATCAGTGATACGTGTACACCGAAAGAAGTTTTCACCATGGGAAGGATATGGCCTCCAAGATAAGACTCCAAACAGGACGCAGGCAACAACAAATCAGATCAAAGCATTGTTATTTTGGGGAAGCCAAAGCATCAGCAGTTGGAGGAGACAGAGATTAAGATTGAAATCCAAAAACAAAACTGTACATAACCTTTTTCTCTGTCATTGTGCTAGCCAGAAGGCTTGTTATTACTACGGTATTTCCTCTTAAAATGTGATTGTTATTCATTATTCTGACTATATTTACAAGAAAATCTGCTTTTTTATTGAATAAGGGCTCTGAAGAACAGCTTGGAGCTCTTCAACCAGATCAGGACCAGCTGTCAAAGAAAGTGTAACAATAGCGACCATGACTCTATACTAACAGGTTTATCTATTTCAGAAAGACAGTTTACTTAGGTGGTTTGAATTGACAGAGGAGTAACAAACAATAAAACATATGACAGATGAGTTATTCAACCTTTTACCTGATGCAACTTAATTCTGAACATCTGTATTTACTTTCATTCTGAAATGTTGTGTGACTTTTTTCAAAATCCCCAAATATTCATAAACATTTTAGAGAGCTGGGAACCTTATCAGGCTTAACATCACCTGACGTGTAATTCTGGTCCTCTGCGGCAGCAGGGAAACCCAGCTCACTGAATCACCAGGGCTGCTTCTGTGTTTGCCTCCACTCAGCGCCATATAACTAATTACAGGCATGACACACGCACACACTGACACACACTTTGTGTCTAACTAAAACCACCAAATGGCTTGGCAGAAGGCTGGTGGTTTGCTTTTCCATGATCCCAATCCCTCAATACTCTGTTTCTTTTGTGCAGACCCCCCCCCCCCCTCCGAAAAATAACCAATCAGACCAACTGACACCGCCTGATAAAGACAAAGGCTCTTAATAGTACTATAATTTGTATCATTCCAAAGACAAACACAGTTTTTCTGATGGATGCATCACAGATGACCATTTGGACTTCATCATAAGCGACAGACAAGTGTTATTCTTCAACGATCAGCCAAGAAGTTACAATTTGCACAGTCGAACTGCACAACAAATAGTCCAAACAACCAAGAAATTTCTTTTTCCGACACTATAATTGATGAAAACACCCACCTCCTTCTTGGCGGTGCGCAGCAGCTTCTGACGGGTCTCTGCCTCTAAAACACATGAGAATAACCCACAAAGATCATTCATAGTCTCTTACTCAGCCAAGTGCGTGTTTTAAAAGCTGGCAAGTAGGTCTTTAGAAATGAAAATGTAGTTATTTCCCCTTTTACCTGCCATGATTGTTACCATGGATCCAGCCTCCAGTCTGCGCGCAGCACCCCTCCCAGTGACTGAGTGCAGCTGAACGCTGAGATGCAGCTCACGACTCCACCTCTAGAAGACAGATCCCGGCCTGCTATTGGCTTAACCACACGTCAATAAATAAGCCAGCGATATTTTTAAGCCCCAAAATATATTTGATCAGTTGTCTAGTGTCATTCATAGAACCTGTTACAGGTGTTTTGTGCTAAAATAAAACCACCATCCTCGTGTCTCTCAGATTTAGTGGAAAAACAACACAAAACAACAACACATGATGTGCATTAAAAGGAGCTGAAATGTGGACTTCCCACATCTGCTTTGTAAATAACAATTTTCCTCTAGATGCTCCTCTTTATACTTTCCCAAACGAAACATATGGTAAGTGATTTTTTTATTCAAAACACATCTAACAAAAATTCAAATATCTCTTGTGTGCCATCTTGTGGTCAATGCATAAAAGGACAGTTAGGAAAATAAACTTTCGGGGGGAACATGAAGATATCGAATTACAGATAAGGAATTGAATAAAAATGATACATTGAAAAATATGCTGGTAGGAATATGTCTCCATAAATTGGCACCACATTTTGAATATGATTCGAAGTGCTGCTGGATTTCCCATCAGACACATCCCTGACATCAATTGCAGAGCTTCTATTGCTTCATGTAATCAGGAAACAAATGACGTCAGGTAGGCCAAGTCAAATTTCTGGCTTGAAATTAAAATGGACAGCAAACAAGATACCCCACTTTTTTCTACGTACACAAAACAAAGCAGATATGATCCAACTGTCTGTTAAGGTTATGAAAAAAAAAATCCTTTGTCAGGGATAATAAAAACTCTAAATATAGATCTCAATACACATGTGCTTAAACACACGTAAACTAAAGAAAAAAGAAAGGATTTCACTCGTGCTGTCCAGAAGAGGGCGATAGTGTCCTTTCAGTTTTTCAGTGCCTGAGTAGAGCCAGTGAGTCCATGTGAATTACAATAAGGCAGTTTTGCTGAAATTTTGCTGCAGCTTTCACACTCATGCGCCGCTTATGATACAGATGACAGTCAATAGAAATTTCCATGGGAGTGGGAGTATGAGCAGGAGTTGGCACAGGCTTCACTGAACTTAGGTGTGAGGTCTCTGAGCCATGAGCCAATCTCTGCCCGGAGGACTGAACTGTCAGGTAGATCAGGTGGGGCAGAAACGGAGTGATAACTCGAAATGACAGAGTGAGAGGAGCGAGGCTGGATCCCCTTCTCCTTCTGTTTACCTCGCAAAAAAACCCTCAACTCGGGACTCTTTCCCTGGGCTGAATCCCACCTGGCAGCGGCCCTACATGATCTGAGGAAAGAGCATGTGTTGTTAAATGTCATGGCAGGACTTCTGCCTGGGTAATCAGCACACCAGAGCTTCTCCTCCGTCAGCCCCTGCCCGGTGGTGAAAGGACAACAAACAGACCTGATCCACATCAATGCATGGCACAGTTTTCTGCAGACATAGTTTGTGGGGGCTCCTGCAACATGCCATATGCAGGAGCCCCCACAAACTCCTGCCATAAAAAGCAAACTCATCCAAAACAGATGAGAGTTCAAATTGAGAGCGTCAGAATGGAGGGAAGTTTGAAACAGTGTTTGAATGACAAAACTATCGATGGATGTTGAAATACCTGTAAACCTCCTCTGTTTGGAATAATATCGCTGTCCTATCAACAGCCTATTGCCTATGAGCATCTGGGCAGATGTCCATGTGTGATTGGAGTGGACGTGCTCCTACAGGCAGCAGGGCGTGTGATGGAGGTCCCTGTCAGTCCGATGTTCTTCTGCTCATGTGTTTGAGAACGCCAATACTGCATGGTCTGTTGTTTTGTTATGATGGTTTTGGCCCTCTGGAGCCTCGAACTTGACCACTACTGCCTTTAGTTTTCTCCTATCTATCTATCTATCTATCTATCTATCTATCTATCTATCTATCTA